TCCCTGCATTTGGGGATGTAAGATGTTATGTTATGTATTCCGATGTATTCATATTACATCGCCCGTGCTGAAGACAAGCCATGCATACGCCTTACATACAGTACCAAAGGTACATGTACATGGACTCTACCACCTTATTGCGTGTAGCCCTGGCTAGATACACCAGGATTGAACAGAGGGGCGGATTTTGGAAATGTTGCCAAGGAGGTATATTCGGGCCTTCGTCCCCCTTTGGTAGATGTGTGTGCGGCGGTTCTTCACTTTGCCACAGACAGTTCCACGGAATGTCGGGTACCTCTATCGACGTCACATTTATGGTATGTACATATTGTCTCAATCATGTCACTACGAGTATACGAGCGCACATACCAGCGAATCACAACCCATAGGCCGTGATCTGGGTCTGCCAGACCATGACCTTTTCCTTTGTCTTTGTCCGGCTTGCTTTCCAATATTGTATTGATCGCCATTGGCATATCACTGATATGTTAATAATAGTGGGTTGGCTGCTATCCCTACGTAATGGGAGTGTCTGATCTACTGTCTATAAGCAGATGTTTCAAGTGCTTCTTCTTAACCCAGGTGCTACTGATCTTTCGAGTATACCGGCTAATATCGGGTGGATCGAGCAATGGTATCTTCGAGGCCAGCTGGCCAGCAATCTGCTTTCCTATAATAGTTACTAGTTTATTAAATTGTCCTTTATTTTTTTTTTCTTTCGAAAGCTAGGAAATCGGTACCGCGCGCAGCGAATCCTTTGGTGGGTGATTTTAGTCCTTGTTATTGCCTACTATGGGGTGATACTGGATGTCTTGGATTATGCGTGCGAGATGAGTTCGCTGGAGGATAGTACCGGTCAGTATCTCGCGGCGCTTGTGCGCAGTCCCGAATACTAATGATGGTCAATAGAGCTTTGTACAAGTGCACATTCAATCTGGTACGAACGCGTTGGTCTAAAGATAGCTACGAGCATGGATATCGGGTCGGACGCAGCCAGTACGAGTTTCCCTGCTCCTGGATCATCGAGACTTCGTCTTTGGTTGACATTGGCTAACTAAATCACCCCCAGTCATTGTTCATTCCGGCAATGTTATGTGGAAAGTTCAGATAAACTGGTCAAAGAAACTGGCGTTAATCGGGGTTAGCTTCTTGACAGGGTTCATTATTGTCATTGCCTTGGTGCAGCTGGTACTCAGTGTCTCAGGAAAAGGGTATCCTAAACCCAGCATGGCTTGTCCTGTGGAATGTGGTTGAGATCTGCGTCGGTAAGTGATGCTCTTATAAAATCCCTCATGAAGAATTATCTAATGGTGAGAACAGCGGTTATCGTTGCCTATCTAGCATCTTTTGGACTTTCTATATCAAGTTCAAGCGGCCATCATGCGATCCCATTAAGCGGATGCATCACTTTCCGAACGGCAATTACGCCTCCCTCGAAACACCGATCTTAGTCGAGGAGGGTATAAGTCAGAGTGACAAGGGTCAGAGGTCTACTAATGAGGTCTACCGAAGGCAGAGCCCGACGTAGTGACCACCTCCCTGATACTGTGCCCAAGGTGGATAACCCAGGTCTTTGATTTACCGGCGTACGTTTTTGGTAAATATCAATCAGAAAATGCCCCCCTCTCCCGTTGAATCTAACGGCCTACCTACCAATCCAAGCTGATCATGAGTTATTACATAACTTCCCAAGCTCAACAAGTATACTCTATAGCCAAATTCTATAGTGCGCATGTTCAATGCATCGGGACTTCCTGGGTTGCTTTTTACATAGATCCAGTGTTTCATGTTATACAGTCATTCTTGCAACGGGAATGAACAGTACTTCGCGAAGTATCGAAATACTGGGCAGAGGGTCATGATCTTTCCCATATAGAAGGTCTTTTTAGTAGCTAGAAGGTAATTATCCTTTACTATGTATCATGCTCCTACATGTTCTAACCGTATAAACATAAATGAAACCACTCTTATATGAGAGACAAAGGGATATATCACCAGTGGGGGATTCCCCCTAATATTTAATTTGACCCATAGCCGCGGATAGTGAAATTGCACCAGACATATGATAACCATACAAGATAGACTACGTTATTTTAAGACTCCTATCAGTTAATCTAATATAGTAAAAAGTAAAGGATATCTCGGATGGTTTTGATCAACCACGTTAGAATTGCTGCGCCGAAGGAATATACTTCGTGGGGCATTGAGGGCAATGCCCTACTCAGCGCATCCCTCCATAACCACATTCTCAAACACCTGTCTTGACCATATGGATCGTGAGCAGAAGGATATGTGGTGTCACCCCACTCCGCTCAGTGAGATACTCCAATATGGCACTCTTCTTTGATTTGGGCTAGACTTCACGCGCTCCTCGACCAGGGCGTTTGGTAGATTCACAACTCATGACGTCTTTGCTGTAACGTAGGAATCTCATGGCGCTGTTCTAGTATGGGGTGGCCTGTGACAGGCTTTTTGCTTATATGGCAATAAGGCGAGAAGGATCCAGGGACTGCCCTCCCTCCATAAGGGCATCCAGCTCCCAGGGGGCGGAGAAGGCACCTCCGAGGGGGTCAGAAATATACTGCCGCTTCACTGTAAATACTGTAGGCGTGGCCTGACAAGAAAAAAAGAAAGGAAAACATACAACAGGAGGGATTCGCTGGTGGTCACCCACCCAACTACTAACCTCCCGGCGTGTGGCTTAAGTACGGCTGAGCGGACGGGAAGCCCTGTTCTCCACACCCTGTGGTCGTATGTACTGGACCATCGGAAGATAGAGGATCATATAGCGCAAAGACTCTCTGTGCATGAGGTGTAAATAAAGTAGCAGCTTATTTTAACGTGTATTAAAAATGGGTCTTCCACAGGTGTTGTTTTGATCATTGCTTTTCCTTTTAGTAAACTAAACAATCCCTCCATCAGGTCACATATTCAGGGCGCTGTTGGCAGATAGAATCTACGGCGAGACTCGATCTTCCGATCTAGACTTAGATTTATCTAGCGCTCTTGTGGTTGGCCTGTCCTCAATTGCTCGTCCCTTTTGCTACGAGAGGAGCAAACTGCTGGAAGTCGAACAAAAATTCAGTGGTGCCTTTACGTGCCCCCCGGCATTTCACGGATACTCTTTTTCCCTCTCACTCTAAACTGCCTAAAACAATTGTTAGGCGCATACGCCACCTATCAAGGTCTAGCAGATTTGGACTGATAGTGGCCTAGAGTTGTTGATAGGTTATGGTCAGGTTTTATATTTAGAACCCGCCCCAAACTCACCTCTAGAATGAGCTTTTTATAAATAATGTATATCTACTTTGAATCTATAGAGATATAAATTAACCTAAGCCCTAGATTCTCTAATAAAAATAAGTTGGCCAGATTGTTCGGTTGGAGGCACCACCAAATGCTTAAGGTATTTTGGTCGAGTATCATAACTCTCGACAATATATATATGTGTTAGACCCCATGTAATACTGTCGTTTATATCTAGCTTCTATGAATCAATTTGAGTATGATTAGATTTAACTTTTTCCATCGAATTCAATCTAATTTGTTAATATATATTATATAATACCGCCTATAAAACGTTCTAGTTACTCATGAAAATATTAAAATACAAAATAACTAATCTAATTATATTTTGATATTGACATAATAACTCGAGTACATTAGCAAAGCCAACCGCCATCAACATTATAAACGGTGCCCGTCACAAAAGATGCCTCGTCGCTCAACAAATGCACAATCACGGTAGCTATCTCACTCGCCTCAGCCCTTCGCTTTTGCACCGTTGCTTGCAGGCCGCGCTTCACATCCTCAGGGTTCTCTCCCTGAGACATGGGGGTGTTTACAGAGCCTTGAGGTCGAGTTAGCATTGATCGTTATCAGCCAGCAACAACGGCCGAGATGATGTAGTTCTCACCTGGCGCCACACAATTAACTCTTATATGCTGATTCTCCTTCGCTGCCGTTCTCGTCAACCCAATCACAGCTGCTTTACTGGCACAGTACGGAGCAACCCCAGGCGAGCCCATTTGGCCAAATGCGCTAGCCGCAGAAACCTATGGTTTGATCATCAGCAAATGCCTTTATCTATTTTAAGCCTACAAACAGACTTACAATGCTACCACCAGCCGTCATTGCCTTCAACTGGGCCCTCAAGCAGAAAAAGACACCTCGTGTATTCACGGCAAAGTTGAAGTCCCAAGTCTCATCGGTCTCTTCAGTAATCGGTTTGGCAGGTGTGATGACTCCAGCCATATTAACTGCGCCATCAAGCTTGCCCAACTTTTCGACCGTAGATTTGATCCATGAGTCAACTGACTGGCTGCTACGTACATCGACCACGGTGTACATATGCTTATCACTTCCGGTCAATGACTCGGTAGCCTCCTTGACCGCCGCTTCGTTGATATCGGCGAGGGAGATAATTGCTCCGCGGGATGCAAGCAGCTTTGCTGTCGCAAGCCCCATGCCGGAGGCTGCGCCGGTTATAGCGATCTGGTGTGAGCGGCATCAGTTGGACATGCCGCAATCGGTGGATAGCATTATTACTTACTACCTTGTTTTCAAAAGATGTCATATTGATTTAAGCCAAATACAATGACAAAAGCTGTGCCTAGTAGAAAAGTGAATGTTCAAGGGTAAACTACTATTCGGTTCATCTACGGCCTTATCCATGGTGATTTATTACACATACCCCTCCTTGAAAATCCTCCTTGGTGGGGTTACACTATCAACTGGGAAATCAACCCAGGTGTAGGTTTCCCTTTGTTTTTAGAGCAGTTTCATCTTATCTCGGATGCATGGTTGGTGTTGCTATCTCGGAAAGTCTAAGGTGGTCATGTGGGTCTAGACTTTGGCCCTAACGCGCAATAACCTTCCTAATCTTCAAGCTTCCCCACATGGCTTATCATCTCCCCCGCATCCAAGACACGACACGATATAACCAGTCATTCACGGAACATTAGGAAGTTGACCTCGATTGAACACCTTCCACCCTAAGAATGACCACCTTAACGGACGAGCAAAGCGCACAATCTCACCCCACCCGCACTCGGTCATTCGGGGGGTGCACTACGGTAACAATTGCCTTCCCGAGGACTGGCCATGTTCTCCTCGCTAATTGCACTGTGTGCAGTGTCGAAGCCGGCATGTGAAATGCGACGAAGGCCGCCCAGCATGCGCCATGTGTCGGTATTTCGGGTTCGTCTGTGCGGGCTACGAGAAGGGTATCTTTTTTGACTTTGAGAATTCGACGGACGAAAGACGCTTCCGTCGGCCCTTGCTGACCGAGGCGGAACGAGAGCGCATGAGCCAATGGCTCGTTTCAAGCGTCCCACCGGAATCTGCCCTACAATTATTGACTCGTATTGATGATCTATGTGAGAAGGCGGCTCCTTGCCGTGACCTCCAGGTGGACTGTGGGCCTTTTGGAGCATTCAGATTGAGTCAATTGCCCTCTGCTCCTTCACCGGATGTTGTTCCAGAAGAATCGTCGGTCCCATCTACCAGTAGCCCTCCAGAAGACGTGGTTAGATTCGACGACGATTTCACAGTTCCTTCGGATCCCCCATTGACGCCCCGTACTCAAAGAATAATCGAGTCTATATTTGGCCAGTCTGAGCAGGCACCCAGCACGACATCCCCGGATGGTGGGGACATGGAAATGGATCATTGTCGCATTGAAGCAGTCCTCAATGATGCACCTCTCTCTAGCTTTCAAGATTTTCCTATGACATCCATGACAGAAGAGCAGCAATTCCCTCAATACCCGCAAAGTGCTGATCTAACTCAAATACCGCCACCGAACCCCTCTTTCTCTTTGACGACTACCAGCAAAGCAGTCCCTCAAGATGTGATGCTCCTACTAAAGCACTATACAACAACAGTGATCAGCCTGATGACTCCTGTCCGACACGCAAAAACACCCTGGCACATTCTATTCATTCCCCACGCCAAGACCTGTCTAGCAGCCCTCACTCTAGGAGAAGATTTAGACAACGCCAGCCTAACAGCCTTCTACGGTACACTGGCAATCAGTGCCTTCAGTCTCGGCGGCCTCTCCCAGTCGCAGATGTGGCTCGTCCAAGGAGACGCATACAGACAGCAGGCGCTAAAACATGCCAGACTAATGCTGAGGACGGCATACGACGTTCCGAAGGTAGCCAAATACAAATCCATGATGATCGCACTTCTCACCATTGTCTACGTATCAATGTTCTCGGTCGACCGCGATCAAACAGAATATTTCTTTCTGGAAACAGAAAGACTCATAAGGTTACGAGGCCTGAAACGGAAAAAGTCAAGGAAGGTCCGTCTTCTCCATCACTGCTACGCCTTCGAGCGCTTCTTCTATGAAAGTACCTTTACCGGCGGTATGAACTCACGACAACGCCATTACTTCCGCCGATCCATTGAATCAAGTGGACTGGCTCAATACAGTCGAGATGACCTTTCCTTCCGGCTCCGCGGATGGGAGAATCTCGATCAAGAGATGATGGAAGTCAAGAGTCAAGAAGACGGGGAAAATGACTTACATCTCGAACGACCCGGGATATTCTCAGCAACACTCTACCCCGAGATCTTCGGCGTCCCGGAGCCATGGGTCCTGCTGCTATCACTGGTGATTCGACTTGGGAGGGAAAAGGATATCGCAGAGAGCCATGACCTACCGAATCCCCTGACATTGAAAGACTTTTCGAGTCGAGCGAAGGCAATCGAGAGGCGGATCAATAACCTCGAACGGCCAAGCCAAGCCCAGTTTGATGAGCATTTAAACAATATGCTCGACGCAATGTACCACGCACTGTCTATCTACTTCTACCGAAGGGTGTATGATATGGAAGCCTCGATGCTCCAGCAGAAGGTCATTGCCGTGCGGGATTGTCTGTGGCGGTGTGCAGATCCCACTGTGTTGCATGTCTCTGCGGGGTTTATGTGGGCTGCTTTTATTGCTGCGTGTGAGGCTGATGATGGGGAGCTGCAGAAGTCGTTTTCGAAATGGTTCAAGGACTCTGCCCAGCGAAGTGGGTTATCCTCGTTCCGGGAGACATTGGCTAAAATTGAGAGGATCTGGAGGGAGAGGTGTTGTGGGAATGGGATCAGTGCAACATGGCTTAATTCAATGAGAATGGACGCTCCGTTCACGGTAGGGTAGCAGACAGGAGGTCACAACAATAGTCCAGCAAAGCATATAGCATTTGAATATTTCAACATCCACACATAACTTCCCCAACTATAGCATCATATACCTAACGCTGCGTATACCCGCCATCCACAAAAAGCGCAGTCCCAGTAACAAACGAGCTCCTCCCTCCAGAAAGATAAACCACCCCATCAGCAATTTCCCTTGGTTCCCCCATCCGCTGCATCGGCACAGCAGTCGCCACCCTCTCTTGCATGGCCTGCAAAACCAACGGCGACTTTGTCGTCATCGGCGTCTCCGTATACCCGGGACAAATGGCATTAACCCTCAACCCATCCTTAGCATAGTCCTCCGACGCGGTCCGCGTCAACCCAATAACAGCATGCTTCGTCGCCGTATAAGCAGTCGACAACGGGATCCCCGCGACGCCCTGAATGCTCGAGAAATTCACAATCGACCCCCTCTGCAACGGCCGTCCATCAATACTCGACCGGATCGGTTCCTGGGCCAACATGATCCGAGCCGCCGCCCGCAGAACGAAGAACGTTCCCGTAAGATTGATGTCGAGGATGCGTTGCCAGTCGGATGTTTCGACGAAGGCCGCGCCACCTTGATGTTTCATTGCTATTCCGGCTGCGTTGACCACGTAGTCTAGTCGGCCGAAGGTTTCCGCTGCGCTTTGGATCACTTCGTTTACCCGGTTTTCATCGGTGACGTTGACCGGGTAGATCTCTACACGGCAGCGGGGTGTTTTATCAGGGCTGAGCTGAGAGTTTATTTCGGCTTGCACGGTTTCTAGGGCTGATTTGTCGAGGTCGAGGAGGGCGATGCCGCTTGCACCGTCGCGCGCGAATGTGTGGGCGCAGGCGCGGCCGATGCCGGATGCTGCGCCTGTTATTAGGGCTATGCCGGGGACGTCCATTGTGGAGGTTGCAGAGTAGAAGTTTGCGGTTGGTGTTTTGGTTGCTATGTCAAGGAGCTGGAAGTTGTTTTAGGTATTATAGTAGGTGGTTTATGTAAATGAGGGCGCATATATATGAAGGTCAAGTATTCCTCGTCTGCGGGGTTCAGGGAAATACCTTCCTCATGATTCAATATCTTGAGTCATTATTTTTTCCCGCAATATCACTATCAGCATATACTTTCCAAAACTGATTTCATGGTATCTATTGCGGGGTGATTCACATGAGTAGGTGCCACGCTTAATTGATCGACTCCCGCTGATACGAGATCCAGAGTTTCCGGAAGGCTTCCCCTGCGTTGACTTGCCTATCTGGATGCCAAGTAGTAATGCGGGGTTCGGACCTTCCTTAGTTTGACAACGATCATGTTACATTTTCTTCTCATCAATACTACGTCAGTGCATATGGCAGGCTGGGGGGTGATGATGCATGGTATGTGTTGTAAATATAGAATCAAATGGTGAGCAGAGAGAGAGACCGTAGCCCTAGTTATAATACATACTTGTAGTGGAGATCAGATGTAGGGGATTATATCCCTGGATAGCGATATCGATATGTTTTGCTCCAACAGATGCTCACTTTAGTCGAAGAAATGGATGCTCGAGCAATTCTCGTGCCGTCTTTCTCTCCTCCGGGTGCCAGGCAAGCATTAACCTCACAAAGGACAGGACGTTTTCTCTTTCCTTCTCTTCTAGAGAGGGGAGTGTAGCCTCGAGATTCCTATCCGGAATGAGGTTGTTATATAAGAACTTTCCTGTCAGCTTGTTAGCAAGACCCATAGACTAGCTTCGTTCAAGCAAGCCAAATACCATCGCTGTCAAAGAATGGACCCCCAAAGAATTGATTAGAACTTTCGTAGACCCTATAATCCACCGTTGTTATAGGCTGAGGCCATTGATACTCGAGCAACGAGCGATATCTTTTGATCAGCTCTTGGGGTGGAGGACCGAGCAAGGCTATCATCTCTGCCAGATGGGCTCTTGCCTGATATTGGCCTTGCTCATCATAGACTTGGCTGAATAGTTCCTTGCCCTCAATCAGGTCCCACAGCTAAGCTTGTATTAGCCATGTAACAGATCACGATAGGGTGCAAACGCACAATAACACCCAAGTTCCATATATCCGTGCTCATCCTCCAACCACAACCAAGGACTACCTCTGGGGCACGATAGTGGTCTGGCTGAATAGGATACATACCCCAATCGTCATCACAATCGAGTCTTGCACAATGTCCAAAATCAACGATCTTTGGTATAATATTTCTTAGTTGTCTCAGGGGCCCAAAATCGTTGTGACGGCGATATACCGGTCGGCCGATGGAGTCTATCTTGTATTCCATTGGTTGATCAAAATGGTTGTTCATGAAGTCGCCCATCACTGCTGGGTCTTCGAACGAGACCATGATATTCTCAAGCTTCAGATCTACATGACATTCTGTGAGCTTGGCATCATGGCCATGAATCGACCAGCAGAGAACTACGTACCGGTATGTACTGTCTTGCATTCTGTATGAAGGTAATCGACACCCACAAGAAGAATGCGAATATAGGCCTTGATAAGTGGAAGAGGGATCATATCATCGTGGAAGCGTCTCCGAAAGAGCCAAAGGGGCTCCCTCATGGGCTCATATGCGAAGCAAACATGTCGTCCTTCCGGACCAGTAATTTCAAAGCACTCTGAAGATGTTCGGAGAACTGCAAGTCCACGATGGGATGCGTCTTTTTCAGCAATATACTGCTCAATTGCGCGTTCGTTGTCAGCTATATGCGAGTTGGTGTTAGCTATCTTCAGTGCTACAACGCCTTCTGGCTCGTCTTCATTCCTAAAAGCAGTTTTAGCAGCTATCGCATTTATATCGAGAATAGGAGCGATAATACCCCCGCATATCACGAGCAAACCATACAGTAGACGTGGTACCCCAGCCAACTTTGACAAGGATTTGATAGCGATTGGCGAGTACCTCACCAGGCTTCGCGGGGTAAAAGTCCTTGGAATTATACCCTGCACGTAGTTCCTCATCCACAGGCTCGCTCTGGGATAAAAGAGGCCCAGGATGGGGGATTGGAAACGGCTTCTTGCGAAGTGAGGAAAGGGAACGCGTCAGTGAACGTCTGATGGAGTTCATTTTACGTGGCGCTTCAACGCGATTTATCGTGAAAGAGACATATGACGTTCATGCAAAGGTAATATATTTTAAGTACTGAATCTAAAGCTAAAGATAACAAAAGCTACAGTGAGGTAGCGATTCAGAACAACTAATGTGAGGGTGCTGTAAACAACGACAAGAAGGAAGCTTGGCGGGCCAATCGGTACGGCAAGCCATTGCGGCCAACGCGCATTGATTCATTTTCCTACATTTTAAACGCGTTTCTGCCGGCAGAATAGTCTCCTATACTGAATCTACTTCAATTACTGACTTAGTCTGCTTAATCTGCTTAGTCTACTTTGTCTTTGTGGTCTGTGTGATCTATATAGTATATTATAGATATAGTACACAGTCTGTAGTCTATTTAATATAACTTACATAACTATATAGTTATATAACTGCAAACTACTGGGTTAATTAGGATTTAGAACTAGGATGAACTAATCCAAAGCAGCCCGATAAGCGGTGAGAGAACTCGAGCAGAGGAGGATATAAAAACCTAAAATAGTATAGGAAAATAAATTCATACGTGTTGGTCGCAATGGCTTGCTGGAGGGCGTAGCCGAGAGATAAAGAGCCATTCCACCAACGTCTGTTACCCTTGTATTTAGCATGATCTGAAGTCTTAGAGCTAAGCGATGTAGATACGGCTGATATCAACATATGCCGCCTGAACTGGGGCATGAATTATCGAAGAGTAAAATTGTCTTGGTACAGAAGAAATAAGCATGTCAAATGGAACCACACAAGAGCTTAACTAATGCCAAGTAAGCTTGAGATATATAATCCTACGGAGCCGTCGTACACATCTCCCAAGTCAGTCATGCATAAAGTTACATGCGTTCTCGGCAGCATTCGAATTTTAGATGAGGATCGGCACTTCTCATAGAAACTTTTTACGTTAAGAAATATCAGGAAACTGGGCACGCTACCTGGTGAACAAAAGTCCAGGAAGACTGTCAATGATTGAGGGCAACGGGGCCACGTGCCCGGGATCATGAGTAGGACGGACCCGCCCGTCGTCGGCTCGGATCATCCAATCAGCGACGGAGCCTGCAGCAGCTGATCGCCTTCCAGTTTGGGACCCGGCGGATGATCCCCCGCAGCCAGTGAGCGGTCCTCCATTTACAACGTGCAGAACTGCCCTCTTCAAAGTTACATTGAGATTGTCATTTGCTTGGTAGAACGGAAAATTCCGACACTACGAGCCATGAAGTCGTATGGGTCATGCAAGCAAAGCCTTGGACCGGGCCAATGCCCAACTACTATCCCCACTTTTGCAATTTTGCATACTAGCTCCTACGTAAAGGTATCGATTCTTCATGCATATAAGTAGGGGACGGATCCGACTTCCTGTCTTCTTTCCTCTCCTCCCTCAACTCCTGTAAGAGGAATTCGAGTATATCTCAATTGTATTATTCCTCTTTCTCCCGAGGCACCAGGCATCATGCTTACCAGACAATCCCTCGTAGCCCTACTTTGGGGTCTATCTCTCGCCGCCGCTCAGACATCCTCCGAGCAAAACCCCTCACTAGAGGAAATCCAAGCTGCCCAGGCTACTGTTCTGCCTCATTCTCCGGTCTCTAATGTCAAGGGTCTTGCGTTTAACCGTTTTGTGAACATCTGGTTAGAAAACACGGTATGTCCGTTCTTGCGCACCACCCAACGTTTGCAAACACGTGCCCAAGAGTCGTTCTGACAGTAACTCTAGGACTATGAGTCTGCCGCTAAAGACCCTCATCTCTCCAAGCTGGCCGAGAAGGGTCTCCTGCTCACTAACTACTGGGCAGTCACACATCCTTCGGAGCCCAACTACTGCGCTTCCGCTGGAGGAGACACCTTTGGTATGGACAATGATAACTTCAACCAAGTTCCCGCCAATGTGTCTACCATTGCCGATATGTTCGACGTGAAAAATATTGCCTGGGGTGAGTACCAGGAGCACATGCCGTATCCCGGCTACCAGGGAAAAAACTATTCCAATCAGGAAACGGGAGCGAACGACTACGTGCGGAAGCATAATCCCATGGTCTTCTACGACTCGGTTACCAAGGATGCCACCCGCCTGCGTCAGATCAAGAATTTCACCACCTTTTATGATGATCTGAAGCACGAGCGATTACCTCAATACAGTTTTGTCACCCCAAACATGACCAACGACGCCCATGACACCAACATTACCTTTGCGGGCTCTTGGACTTGGCGTTTCCTCTCGGAGCTTCTGGAGGATGAGTACTTCACCAAGGACACCCTCATCCTCTTGACCTTCGATGAGAATGATACTTATGAGATTGGCAACAAGATCTACAGTTTCTTCGTTGGAGGCGCTGTTCCGGAGCACCTTCGGGGCACGCAGGACGACACTTTCTACACTCACTACTCCATCATCGCCTCCCTTTCGGCCAACTGGGGTCTCCCATCGTTGGGTCGTTGGGATTGCGGAGCCAACCTGCTCAGCTGGTTGGCCGAGAAGACCGGCTACGTCAACTGGGAGGTTGAAACCGGCAATTTACTGCAGAACGAGACCTACCCCGGTCCGCTGTCTGCTGGAGAATACAACACTTTCTCTCCAGAGTGGCCAGTCCCACTGACCCAGGGAAGCTGCTCTGCCGGCCATGGCATTTTGCCCATTGTCCAGCAAACGTGGAAGAACCTTACTGCCACCTTTAACTACACCAGCCCTATCCCGTATGACTCGGTCAGTGGGAACAATGTCGGCGTCAAGTATAGCAGGACCTTGGTATATTACTCCTTTGCTAGCATTTTGGGCTTTCACTTGCTTCAGCGCTTTGCTAACGTTATTCTTACCAACAGAAGAACGGAAAGACCGAGTCCGGTATTACTGCGTAAAGACCTCTTGCCATGTTCAAATTGCATTCCTCTGATGGATATGGCATGTAAATATTTGATTCCCTACATATCACTAATAGAGAATGTGGTTACTGATACCACAACTACTGTGTTCATAAATGATCGGTCCACCCACTGGACACGACGACCTTGTAAACTAAACTATTGTCAATGACCGACAGAAATGTAGAATATAGTGACTTTGATGGATGATGCAAGATGACCTTATCTTATCGGAACCCCACAACTTCAGTGGTTGGGCGATTCCTCCGAGGAATCTGGACCAATCGTATTGACTCCACCCACTCCACGCCGTCTTATCTTGGCCACATAAGGTACGGAGTCCAGTTCCAGTTCACACACCGTCTGCTCTGCTCTTCCCTCCGTTGACTCCTATCCGAGTCCTAGTCCACGCCCACCCACTCTTCTCATTTCACCATCATGCCACCCAACAAACGGCTTCGGACCGAGCCGATTGTGCGCGTGAGGACGGGCTGTTACACCTGCAGACGTCGAAAGAAAAAGTGCGACGAAGTTCGGCCATCGTGTGGGGGATGCGTGCGGAACAAGCTCAATTGTGAATGGCCGGTCAATATACCCGCCAGCTCGACACGGCCAAGTGGCTCCAGTTCTATCGATCAACCAGCTGTACCAGACCAACCGGGAAGCCCATGCACAACACGAACGCATCGTGGCTCGTCGGGGTCACCGACTTCACCATCTGGATCGGCAGGGTCGCCATCTGCAATGTCTAACGGCTTCGAGGCTACGGAGGCATTCTCACCACCGACGGATGAACAAGCTCTTCTAGTTCCAATAGGCTACTCCCACGCTACCCCTCGGAGTTCTATCTCGGGGCCGGACTCGCCCACGTCAATGACAATTGGGAACTTCATGCCCCGCAGTCTATCCATGCTCCCGGGGTACAGCCCGGAGTCCTTTCAACTCTTGAGTCATTACCTCGCGACAACAGCCGACGTCATGGCCAACGGCTCGACTCCCGTCAACCCCTTCCTGGTTCAGATCGTTCCGCTAGCGTTCACCAGTGACCTGCTCCTGCAATTGGTTCTCACGCAGAGTGCGGCGCACCGGGCGTTTCGGTGTCGCAACGACTCCGACGAGGTAGCTCAGAGCCATTACACCAAAGCGTTACAGCTTTTCCGAAAGGGTGTCACCGAGTTTATCGATGGCAAAGAGTCGAACCCGTTAATGCTCACGGTTGGGGCTCTTGTGATGTGTTTCACCGAGGTACTGTCCCCATTACGTAAAAGAAAAACTAGGCCGCTAACACCGAGACAGACAGCCAAGGGGGACATGAACGGGACGATCTTTGACCATCTATCAGCTGCAAATTCACTGCTAACACGTCTCCTCTCACTGAGTGATGCGGCCGTGCCGAAGGACCTGAAAGACTTTGTCATTGAATACTACACATACACTGCCGCCGTGAGCATGATCTCCATTGATGCGCGGGTCAGCCATCAGTTGTTACTCAACTTCGACCTGGAACAGAAAGCTCGTCAGCTACTAGAGTCCGAGTATGTGGGAAATCTCTGTGGCTGCTGGCTAGAGTTACTGCTCATGATACCGTGCATCTTCGATCTGGGTCGCCAGTGGATGATGCTCGATGGCCAACCGGCCATGCCAACGGCCGATGATATCGCGATGTTTGGATCCTTGCAGGCTCAGATCATGCGATGGAACCCATTTTCGTTCGTCACTCCTGAGGTCTTTTTGGCTGGTCGAGTCTTCCAACAAGCTATGCTACTGTATTTATACACCTCTCTGGGGTCTTTCTCCCGAACAGAGGACGGCATGCATCAAGGGTTGATCAATACTGCAATTACGGAGGCCATGACTTATCTGAGCCAGCTATCCGCGACCGCTCGCATTAATTCTGGTCTCTGCTGGCCTATCGCTGTGGTCGGATCCTGTCTCTATGACATAGAGCAGCAGGAGCAACTACGACAACGGCTGACGACAATGGTCAACACCTTCGGTCTCGGAAACATGCAAAGGACACTTCTACTACTGGAAAGTATGTGGCAAATGCCTCTAGATGAGGCAGGCCCGTGGAATATTTGCCGGGCAATGCAACAACATCAAATCTGGATCTCGTTCGCATGAGGGTTGATTAAAAGGCTATATTCATACAGTACATCATCATTCATGAACGCCCGACACAACGACGGTCTATCCCCGCTTATATCTATTGACCCAGGTTCTTGGGAGCCTCCGTGGCAGGGCCCTCAGGAGTCACATACGCCTTGGTCAGACCCCCGTCGACGACAAAGTCAGCGGCGTTAACGAAACTGCTCTCATCGCTCGCCAGGAAGATGACGGCATGAGCCTGCTCAATAGCTTCACCGAAGCGGCCAGTAGGGAAGTGAACCTCGCGACGGAAACGCTTCTCCTTATCATCACCCAGCCAATCTTGCAAAAGTGGCGTACTACAACACCGTCAGCTCAAGGAGTCTCTCACAGAACAAACAAGGAACAACATACTTAAGAGGAGCGGGGCACAAAGAATTAAAGCGGAAGCCCTCCCGGGCGTGCACAATAGCCAACTCTCTAGTCATAGCCAACACGGCACCCTTACTAGCTGTATACGCCAATTGAGGGGTCGCAGCACCCACAAGCGCAACCATGCTTGCCGTGTTAATCACACTACCCTTCTTCTTGCCGTGCTTCCGCAGGCTCTTCACGGCATGTTTGCTTCCGTACCACACGCCCTTAACATTGATATTCATCGTCATGTCCCAGATCGCCTCGGGTGTCTCCTCTGAGTCTCCATCCTTGGGGTGCATGATTCCGGCATTGTTGAACATCACATCAAGGCCGCCCCAGGAGTCTAGGTGTGCCACTGCCGCCTCGACTTCGGATTCCTTCGATACGTCGACCACGCGGTACTCGACCTTGCCGTCACGCTGGGGCACCACCTCGTTTACTTTCGCAAGGGCCTTCTGGAGCCCCGGTTCGCTGATATCGGTCATGAGGACGGAGGCACCTTCGCGAAGCATGAGGATGGTCGTCTCGAGACCAATGCCTCTGCCGAGCATTCCTAATCAGCAATCAATCCGTCCAGGGCTCAGATCTTGTACATACCCAGCAGCACCGGTAACGATGGCATTCTTCCCAGCTAATCTTCCGACCATGGTGTGCTATGATTGTAAGAACTTGGTTATAAATATAAACAAAAATCCAGAAATAAAGGAACAATACCAATTTTCCAGCTCACAAGTAGTTAGTTAAGTTATTGAACAAATAAATACAGAATCGAAACTCCCCCCTTTTATAAAGTAAACCCCGCATCGACCAGATAGACGATAACCAACAATTGCGGTGAGGAGAGAGCACCCAATCCAAGCTCCACACCGCGGTTAGAGTTCCAACCGTGCATCCCCTTGCCTCTGGATCGAAATGCGATCCACAACAGGACCACCCCTCATTGCCTCGGTTGCGATAAGACGGTGATAAGCGTGGGGCTGTTATTACTCACTTGTTACCCCTCGCGCGGTCCCGGAGCGCGCTCAAGCATATTACTCGATTTGGTTTAGTTTGCATTCTGGAATCTATCTTTGGAGACCAAATGCTTCTGCGGTACGTCGCATCGTATGCGACGGGTGATTCATGGAGCCATTGTCTGCCGGCACGGAGCACGGAATTGGGATGTACGTGAACGTCTGCGAAGAGATCGGTGTGGATCAATTATGCTTGTATCATTTTTTTTTTGTCTTTGTCGCGTCCTGTAGTGGGTTGTGTTGTACATACTTTGCAAGCTGTTCGGGAGTAGGGCTTGTTCCAAGGGAAGTAGCAGAGGACCGAAAGTATTGTCACTGTGAGGTGGGTATGCAATACCGACGTTGCTTGTGTCCACTGAGGCATCAGAAGATGGACTCAGAAACAGAAAAGAAAGGCGGAAGTAAGGATGGTGAGGAAGGTAAATCAGGGCCGGAGAAGCAATGCCCCGATTCTCAGTACTATGGGTGATATGTTACATGGTCCAGAGTCCAGGGTTACGCAAGGGGTTTGGGGCATCTTCTCTTGTCTACTTACTATTTTCTACTGTCATATGCCGGTCAATATCAATGAACGACACCGCATACATGCCCTCAATGCTACCGTATAGTGGGGGTCCCTCTCAGGGTAAACCTACATAAGGTAGGTGATGATCAGGGAGATCCAAGGTTCCCTTGCGAGTACGTATGCCTGGCTCGTGAGAACTATATTTGCTTATTGTTTTTTCGGGTCCTAATAACGACTTCCCTCTGTGAATACTGTCTACAGTTGCGGATATTTGGCCATACCGCAAAACTATGACTATTAAAGTGATTGTTGTTGGCGCAGGTGGCATCCTCGGCCCTTACATTGTGTCTGCCCTGGACAGCGACCATCGCTTCACTGTTACTATCCTAACCCGAGCTTCATCCAAATCCAAATTCCCCTCTCATATTGCCGTGCATCGTGTGGGGGACAACTATCCCGATCTGGAAGTAGTTGAAGCATTCAAAGGCCAGGATGTTGTCATCTCAACCGTGGGCGCTGGAGCACTACAGCGACAGAAAACGCTCATCGATGCAGCAGTACAAACAGGTGTTAAACGTTTCATTCCATCGGAATTTGGCCACGATACTCGCAATAGTAATGCAGCGAACTTGTTACCCCAAATGTACCACCAGAAGATGGACATTGTGGAGTACCTTCGGGTGAAGCAGAATGAAGGGCTTGAATGGACAGCATTCGTGACGGGGCCGTTCCTTGACCTGTACGTTCTGCTATAAATCACTGAGGGACAAGCAAAAGGCTGAAGGACGATAGGGCGATCACGGATTTCCTAGGCTATAACCTCAGTCAGCAACACGCCACCATCCTCAATGAAGGATCGGATCGCTGGTCAGCCACGACTCGTGCCATCGTTGGTCTAGGGGTCAAAAACTCTCTGTTGATTCCTGCGCAGACTTCAAACAAATATTTATTTATTGACACCGTGACAGCTTCGCAACTCGAGGTACTTCGGGCCCTTGAGAAAATGACCGGTACAGAATGGGCCATTGATTCGGTGGATGCGGAGGAGCAGAAACGGGTTGCAATCCAGCATCTATTTCACGGCCGCCTCGTTGGCCTTCCCATGTTGGTAAGGTACATTACCTGTGTCAATGGCTATGGCGGGAATTATCTAGAGTATGAAACAAGTGCGAACGAGCTACTTTCCTTGCCCGTCAGCAACGTGGACGAGGTTCTGGCTAGTATTCTAAACGGCTGAGGTCGTACAATGAATAAAATGGTTTTTTTCTTTTTCTTTTTTGTTTTTTTTTAACTACAATGGGGAGGACATCAAGCTTATGTAGGTAAATATTACATAAATATGGCCCTAAGGAAGGACGGAGGGTGAGACCGAACGGTGGGGAGTCTCGTGCGTGTGCAATATCCAATCTTGCTCGCTCCTGGTGTGCAAGGGGTTTAATCCTGTCGGTGAATGCTGAACGTTCAATGCGTGCTACCACTGGGGAAGTCTTCCGATCGCGGAGGCAGTCTCAGCATCCCCAGTACTAGCGCTATAACCGCCAATAAAAAAGCAACGATCAGCCAGGGCAGTCCAGTCCAAAGTCCCCCTCTTTCTAGTCCCCAGTTCAAACTATTGGTAATATACAAACTTGCCGCCACTTCGCCTATGGAAAGTGTTACCTCGATGAGTGTATAGAGGCGTGCAGTCTCCTCTTTTCTAGCCAAACCTGTCACTAGCCCTCTAGCTATAAGGGCAAAGCCTGCCCCAGCCGCGTGTAGAATGAGACTCGGTATTAAAGTGTTGATGGATGATGAAAGACCAATTCCGAACAGTCCAAGGGCGAGGAGAGAGACACTGATTCGTGCTAGATGGAGGTCTGATTGAAGTCTAGATGTTATTTCGAGAAGTCCCTTGGCGATCTGGGGTATAATGAAAAACAAAACCGCAATTGTAAACGCCTGTTGAAGCGCAACGAGGAGAGTAGCATCTGCAATGGTCCTGTGAAAACGGATGGAGATGTATTGAACTAAGAATGCAGAGCCCCCAGACAGTTGGGTTATGAAGAATGCGGGCATGATTATTGCCACTGGATAATTATCGCAGATGAATCGATATGAGGAAATGGTCTTCTTGATCTTCAGGACGAGGTAGGCCGGAGAAATGGAGGTGTCTGCTGAAATGGTTGTCTCGCGAGATTTCTTCCTCAACGTTTCTGGCAGAAGGTTCGCGACGAGTAACCCGGCGAGAAGCAATCCACAGCCAATCATGAGTGGGACTCGAGAACCAAGTTGCATCAGAAATGAGCTGGCGACCTGGGCAAGAAAGCCTGCCGAGAGAGTGGCAGTCCCAAAGCGAAGGATTACTGTGTCCTGTTCGGAATCGGCCGTCGCATCAGCTATCATAGACCAGAGAAGCGCGAATAAAAGAACCGGACCACCACCTAGCACCCAGCCTATGGCACCAAACCATATCATACGTAGTGGAAAAATACTTGGAAGGCATAATGGGGCTAGTGAAAAAGCTGAGTTGAACAAAAACCCAACACTAGCCAGACGGATAGCCAGCTTGCGTCCACAGCGGTCGGCCAGTAAGCCATACGGAAGGGCGAAGGTCGAAGCTGCCAATGTATTAACCACCAGAGATCCAGGAGGAAGGATACAAGAAGGTCAAATATCAGGACATACTCAGGAGGGCATTAAAAAACTCCCTGTACCCGATGATACTAGTCACCTCTTTTTGCACCTCAGGAATCTTGCACATTGCCTCCGAGATCTGTCCTGGAGTCGGTACCTGGCTCCGGTCATGAGCATTCCAGTAGTTCTGACAAGCGATAGATTCTACGATTCTCGTCAATGGACTTTGAATCATTGGGCCGCCCATGCCGATGGCTAGGTATATCGCAAATAGCTTGATGATTAATCCGTGGTTAGAGTACTTTGGGAAAGGTCTATCTGATCCCAATAATTCTGGACATTCTTCATTTACCGCTGGTAGGAATGGAGCCCCTTCGCCATCTAGGGAGGGAACACTGCAATGAGAGACCGAGTCAGAGGAAGGCATTATGATTTTGAGGAAAGATTGATAAAGTCTAGTTTCAAAATAGGATCGATTGAAAAGTTGTAAGTTGTGTGTACACTAAGGAAATAAAAGGATCGCTTTAGGGAACGGGTTCGGAAACCGAGCAAACAGTATTACCATTACCTGGCCAATGCCTTGTTCCAATTTACTGCAGTTAACGAAGAATGAGAAAGTACATATATACAAGGTTTACCGTGCTAGGTCTATCCCCTTGGTAGTTACATTGCTGCAGCACTGTGGCACATGTAAGGGATGGAACGGTCTACAGCTTGGAGGACAGGAGTGACGATCATCTTTCACCGCTGCTCAGCTGTTGTGTAAACTGTTTCTTAGTTGGTCTGACGAGTGTAGGAAAGAGAATACACGCCATGCCCTGGTACCATCTAACCTGTGCTTCTTTCACGGTTGATTAACCAAATTAACTACTGGATCATGATATAGTACCTAAGGATAGCCCGCCAAGAAAAGGACACGTAAATTAAATCGCAATACAGCCTTTTTTAGCTTCAACAAGCCCCATGAAACTAATCTAAATGCACTACTCGCTTCAATCTAGTCGCTAATGGTGTCCGTCAGAATGTTGGTGTCCACCTTGCCCTAGAACCCCCTCTTGCTTGTGGTGTTTACCCAATTTCTCCCCGAGTTCAGACTCCCGGTTCACCCAAGGTGCAGGCCACACATAAGCATCTTTGGGAATTGGCATATCATCGAACTTTTCAACTTCCACGGAGTTCTCTAGCTGCCACTTATATATGGCATCGAAATCTCTACATTTGCGGTTGACACTGAAATCAGGCCACGGCTCTGCGCGATCTTCCACCCAGGCCAAAGTGAGTACCTCGGTGTTGGCATTGCACTGGATATTTTGTAGCAGTATGTCAACACAGTGGCCCAAATGTGTCCACTTGCTCGCGTGGCTGTTATTAGTATCCGAATGAGCACCAGTCGGGATGTATCCGGGATAGTCGTGGAATGCGGCTTTGCGCAGTACATTCAGGCAATGGACCTGCTGCAAATCCGACATCGATTGTTAGCAGAATAATAACACTTTCATCTCGACTGATATCTCTTCAGACAACTCACGTGCATGATGTCCAGTTGAACCATATAAGCATCATCGCCAAACCCCCAATAATCATCGTCAAAGCGCATCACAGTATCAGGGTCCTTCCCCAACCTCAAGATATCTTCACGCGAAACAATATGCGTGCGGATGATCTCATATTGCTCCCAATCAGCGTCATTCTTCGGACCGGGCTCTTCGCGTGCAATCGACACCTCTGGTTTGGGAAAGAACGTTCCGTTGAGTGTAGTTTCGTAGGTAGGGATCTCGATAGCGTCGAGAATTGGTGCTGTGAGCCATTCAAATTAGCCATCTTTAGGAATATCGACCTATTTGATCTCAGCAGCGCAACAAAACTCACACCACCATGAAATCGGTCGCAGGTCTGCATTCCTCTCCGGGTACAGCTGGCAGTGAGACGTCAGGATCATAGACACAGTGAATCCAAGAATAATTAGATTCGCCATAGTCCACAGGATCCAGATACGAGACTTGGTTGTCACTGCCTTTCTCTTGAGACGTTCGTGCATCAGCATGTGTTCTTCGTATTTGTCTTCGAGTTCATCATCACTGGCCGATGAAGAATCAACTGCGTAAAATTGATGATATCCGCGAAACGGCTTGGATAGTTTAGAGAGGAGCCCCATATTGCAAGGTTGTCTCAAGCACTTTCGTAGTTGGAGAAAAGAAAATGACTCCTTGGTATTCAGCAGGTTAGGCCCCCTCGTGGTCCAAATCTTTAAATGACTTACATACTTCCAATGGAAGAAGAATAGCCTATGAATCAAGAAAAGAGTTGCGAAAAGGAGTGCTTCGAAGATCCCCGAATAGGGTTCGAGGGCCTTATGACCCCGCCAAAGCCCCTTGCAGCAGCGATGTCATACCATATTCCTTTGCTCTTGCATCAAATTGTCCAGCGTTTTCAGAGTTACAGTGCAGCAGCTGTTCATCCCTCATGTGTCACTCAATCTAGCCAGGTCATGCAGCGTATCAGGGCTGGGTTGGCGAATTGATGATTACACTTTAATAAGCTTTGCAAGGGAGACATTCCTCAACGCACTAGGCAATCTTGTCGCGAAAAGATGCACGTCTCACACCGCAATATGGCACAATACGTTCAGAGAGGTGTGGTACACTGGATTTCAAAATAGATGTGCTGTACCCTTTGCAGGATTCGATCATGGAGTGCTTGCGACCTTTCCTTGTCGTTCTTTCTATCAGTCTCCAGTCATTCCACTCAGTAGTATTCACACCTGTAGTAACACATCTGTGATAGATCCTCAGTAATATTGCCAATACGAAACAATGGTACCCTTTACAGTTGCCCTGTGTATGGAAGCCAGAGTGCTCAGGTCAGCCTTGATATCACAATGGTGTCAAACGGTAGATACCGTAACATCCGTCAGTAAGTGAATAGTGTCGGTCAAGGAAGCGTCATGTGTGGCTGCGCAAATGCAGCGGTATGCAATGCAACAGATAAATAGTCTATGTGCAAGTCGTCTTCCAAGTGTATGTTGTTACTGTAGTTGTATATGATTTCCAATGTGAACTTTTCTCTGTAAATTACTTCCTCACATGACCGTAACCCTTGCTACTACTCGTGGATAGGGGATGGACGTTCCTAGCCCCGTGGCGACCGAGAGATATAAAGAGCCCTGTTATCCATACATCCATCTCTGAGACAATATACCACAAAGGAAACCCGTTCTTGGTGTTCTTCTTTTATCAAAATCTGAATCTCTTCTATCTATTAATCGACTATAAACGAATAGCCTCTCGCTAGGAGCGAAGTCCTGATCTATCACCAATCTACCTTTAAGATGCATCTCTCTCACTATATTTCCATATTGCTCTCGGTGTTGAGCTTTGTCTCTGCTCTTCCCCTCCAAAATGACGCGAAATCCGACGAAGCATCTGAGCTCATACACACGGCAGTGGTCACCTCAGCCGATAACATAGCTACTCCCGAGGATGTTGATAAGCGATTCTATTATCATGGCTACAAGCGCTCTGCCGAAACCCCCGAAGACGTTGATAAGCGATTCTATTATCATGGCTACAAGCGCTCTACCGAAACCCCCGAAGACGTTGATAAGCGATTCTTTTATCATGGCTACAAGCGCTCTACCGAAACCCCCGAAGACGTTAATAAGCGATTTTATTATCATGGCTACAAGCGCTCTTCTGACACCCCTGAGGATCTTGGCCAGTGATTTGCGTACGGTGGCTACTAGAGTCCTGAGGTCTCTTAAAGTCTCATCAACTGCTTCACTGGATAGGTGCCATGGTTTCAGGTTTTGTTAGTGCTTTTACTCAGGCCTTGTGTCGCCGATCATCTGTCTCACCATTCTCGATCCAGATCTAAAGTTGGGTAAAATGAGAATTTACTTCATTTTGAAGTATTGTTTTTCTCTCGGATGAGTTGTCTTTGGTTCGCGGACTGCGGGCCGTCTCTCATTTTTAACCGGCACTTGCTTTGGCCTTTCATTATTCCATCCACAATCTTTTCATATATTCCTGATCTACTGCTTACCATATTCAAATCACCGAAGCGCAATAGCTGACAGAGGTTTCCTGGCACAAATCCAAACTCACCGCCACATGCCGTTCTATATGTGGCCCTAGAAGTTTCGGCGCTAGTATTTTGCTGCTCCAAGACGCCTACAGGACTCCTTATTTCACTTACAGGTTAACGCAAATATTTTCCACAAAACTTTCGGGTGGTTCATCAGTATGCAATTATACATGTCAATGATGCAAATACCAATATTTCTTTTCAGACGTAGTTGAGCAGCTTTTCTTCGCCGCCACTTCTGGGAACACTTGCATTATACAATCTCTAGGCGAACCAGACAACAGTGAGCGATGTTCGACTTGTCGCATAGTAAATTTTGTCTATTTCCCCGTGTCTGACGAATTTATCTATTTAACCCAGACTATCCTTATTTTAGAAAAATATGGTTGCGCACTAGATCCTGATGGCGCCGGCATGTGTCGCCGCTACCGCTATAAAATTGTAGTAGAGTTACTTTGGGCAGGGCTGGAATCATCCCATTAGAAAATAGTAGGAATCATGAGTACCAGACCGTAGAATTCATATGGAACTATAGATTGGAACTGCAGTCGAATTGGATTCTATCTACCCGTATTTTATCAAAGCCCTACTAGTAGGGCTGGTTCCGTTCGGCGGGCTCAAAAGCCCCGCCGTCGCCCATACATCCTTAAAAAGACGGAGCCTAGTCACTTTCCTTTTCTAATGCTAGGAATGTTTTATTTCTGAGCGTATTAGTGACGCTTGAGATATTTCCATGACGTTGACTGAAAGCTAGGCAACTCCTGTAAGGACAGAGGGGTCAGTCACTGAACAACTACCTGATAAATTACCATATAGAGACCACCTGTAGGCGATACAGAATGTAGATATCGGTCGCCACAGCCACATATCGCCAAAGGCGGTATACGACCATGAGCGAAACACTCCTCTGAGAGGTGCCTGAAGCATCTAGATGAACTCGTGCGGGGTTGTTTGGTCTCAGTATATTTTTGTGTTTACGGTTACGAGATTTATGCGAGCTAATAATAACCCGGTGAGTTTGCAAGGTTGAAGTTTCTGAATGTTCAAGGGCAGGACTTGTGTACCCTATAAAGGTAATTGATAGTGGGTATAATAATCATCCGATGATAGAGCCTTTCACCTGTGACCATTCACTAACCATCCCAAGTCGGATCCAGAATGCTGTATATAATTATTTCGCCATGCGTGTAAGATAACCAAATTTATCATGACACTACGGAACTCATGGTGAAAGTACAATGTACCAACCTGGCGGAATGGCTCGACTTTGAACTATACGCATCAGGTGTATAATTTTAACCCAAATCCAACCATGTAGCTAGTAGGCCCGGTTATATTGTGTGCATAGCCCAGTGTCATTTCAATAGTGCATTTTATGTCCTGAGCCATCAGTATATGTTAAACGATGTTTATATTAGTATTTATATTAACCATGAGCTTTCAAGCTGAACGCCTAGAAGTCGGTTGGGCAATTGCTCTGTGGTACAGCTTTGTACGAACTGGGTTTCTCTGTATATCTGGCTACAAAATAATGATGTTCACATTAGATACAAGAAGAAGAAGAAACAAAAAGAACCATAAAAATCGTGACCAATATGATTACGTCCCCAGAAATTTGAATAGATGTAAGGACTTTCTAGGCAAGCGGAGGCCCTATCATGCCCAATACCAAACACCAGTTAGCCGCTAGACGAACCCTAGCACATGGTTGACCACGGGCCCTTCCCCCATAATCAACATTATAGTATCAAAACAAAACCCAGATTTTCGAGGTCATCGGAAATGCCGATAATGTCGGCAAGCTACCGAACCAAGTCCATCGGCTTGCTTCCGAGCCCCGACCCTCGGCACGCTACTAGACGCTATCTGTATGTAACAGTCACCCATCAAGAGAGATTTTCCATTTCATTGCTCTTTCAGTTGGCTTAGTTATTCCTGGTCGGATACTAAGTTGTATAGCTTAGATCTAGGTTACATACTGCAGAGTAAGCTGTCTGTAGATGCACCAATACCCTCCTAGCTTGTATCACCGGGGCGGGCTGGTTCTGCATGCTGCTCATCTTCATCAGACCATTGGGGCATCCTGTGGTCTTTAGCCATTCAGGATTGAAAGCCAGGGTCGGACCTCAAAATCGTCGTGGAGTTAGAAGGGGGTTTGAGCGTAGAAAAGTAACCACTGAATATGTGCCTGGATCGTTGTGTATGGTAAGTTCTCAAGACTAAGTTTACTTTCAGAATATCAGGATGGGTGTTTAAGTCGCTCGTAATGAGACTTACGGTAATTACGCGTTCTATAGAGGGACCTCTTGATAATACAGAGGAAAATGTATCTAATCCTTACCGAGAGAGCAGTATGTCTTGATAAAAGTTCGACTAAACCTTTGTAGTTGTTAGTAGTTTGTCATCTTTCACAGTGTGCGGACCGTGTTATAGCGAGCTGTCGATCCTTCAATACGGAGGATACACACAGGACTTCTTGGATATTGCGAATAGATAGGTGAAACGAGCAGATGGTTCGACTCCCTGAATAGCGAGGACCCTGGCATGCTAACCACCTCCTACTTTAGGATTAGCTTTGCTCACAAGAAGCCCTCCACTATATCAAGTTGATATGGATCAGCTCAGCTGCAGTGCCAGTGCGAAACACATGTGATCCTTTAGTACTACCGTGTAAATGCAAGCACTAGCTTACTGTCGTATCCTCGTGGGTCCAGCCCCCAATATCATGCATAATCCTTGTAACTTTGCAGCCCGAATTGGAAATCGCTCTGTGAAACACTATAGTGAAGATCAAATGAAGGCTGCAGTATGAGGGTATAAGAGATGGGAAATATCTTCTCGACCATCCTGAAATCCCATCTCCGGATATCCTCCATATCCTCTCCGTGTATATCGGCTTCTTGACCAAAGCACAATGCTGTTCCCCTATGCCAAACTCCTGGCCCTGGCCTTGACCTTTACCAGCGCCATCGCCTCGCCCATTGACATCGAAGCCCGGGATGAACTTGACAAGCGCGCCACGCATGTCGTCATCGGCTACAGACGAGTGCACCCTGTACGCCAATCCCCAACCCGTTCCTGGAACAAATCTATCTATAACCCACCGTACTAACCAACCCGAAGAAACAAGCACAAATCTACGCGAAGGCAGGCGAGACTCTCGTCCTTGACAAGCCGGTAGAAGTAGCCCAACTCGGCCAGGGGGTATACACCAGTCAAGATCGCGACGGCTGGCCAGCCAACACCGACCACTGGTTAGTAGTCTAATACACCCCATCCCATCCTCTGACAATGACTTGTCTTTTCTCGACAAAATGGCCTTACATTCCTCCAGGTACTGCGTTATCTCCGCCAGCAAGACCAAGCTCGACGCAATCAGCAAAGCCTGGATCCCAGAGAATGAGTGGTCGGGCAAGGGAGACCACGAGAAGAGAATCGAGGGATATCTCAAACAGCATCACGTCGATCCTAAGAGGACTCTGCGCCTGGCTAAGATTAAGGGGTCTAATGAACTCCAGATGTTAATCCCTCCTGCTTTGATTGGTGGTAAGAAGAAGGATGATCGCGGTGAGTTGGATATCTATGCTAAGTGTACGGCCACGCCGGGTACTGGACCGGCGCCACCGCGTGTGGACTATGCCAGCTGGACCCATGTTGTGGGCCAGCCGCAGCATTAGGTGGAATGCTGCTGGATAGAGAGTTGGCAGTTGGGGTCCATTGTCAGTCGACGAGTAAATATCAACATCGTCTCAGGGGGAGGCAGTAGTCAAGGGGTCGTGAGATTAGTTGGGGGCTCAGTTGTGAATGTACTATAGGATCCGTGGTGTGTAATAAATAATGGGGGAACTGCAGTATTTGATTTACTCGTATTTTACCGAACACACTAGTAGGGCTGGTTCCGCTCGGTGGCCTCGAATAGGCCGCGCCGGCCATAGAATAAAGTCTTAAAAGACGAAGTCTAGCCACTTTGCTTCTCCTGATGCTACAATTCTTTGTGTAAGATCGCATAGTAGTGCTACTCTGAGATCTGTCCATGACGTCAGCTAGCAGCTAGGCAACTGCTATAAGGACAGAGTGGTCACTTACAAACACAGCCTTATAAATTGCCTGAAGACTACCAACGGAAGCTACCGTATCTAGCGGGAGATATCAATCACCAAAAACCCCATAGCTGCACGACAGGATATCACCATGAGCCAAACACTCCTCTCCACCCTAGTTGAAGAGGCCTGGTCCTGGGATCCATACGAATCGAACCAAATCAAATTCAACAAAGATGGCACAGGCACAGTACGTACATACACATACATGCGTATACCTCAATCCCGCAAACCAACATCAACCGTAACTAACCCACGCTCTCAACAGCTAATCTGCCGCATCGAACTCGTCGTCTGGATTGCGGCCGAATTTGACTGGAAGCTCAAAAACCCAGAATGCCTCTCTCAATCCATCGACCTACCCACCAATCCCCCAAAACGCCCATCCCGCCTCACCCAATTCAACATCGAGATAACGCTCACCAAACGCCGTATTGCTGCACTGGGAGACGCGGTCAACCGTCGTATCATTAATGAACAGCTGCTCACGGATGCAGCTTTCCTGCCGAAGGAATATACCATTACATTGGAGACTGGGCAGTTTCTCTGCGCGTCTGATGTTGGGGGCAGGTTTGGCGATTCGCCGAGGTTTGGGACTCGTTTGTCGTTTGATAAGTCGCCATATCCGCCGAGGCAGGAGTGGAGGGAGACGGATGGCGGTGTGGATGCCAATGAGTTTTGGGAGTGGAGGGAGTTTTGCTCGAGGAGGCTCCCGGAGAGGACGGGGTTGTTTTCGAGGATTTTGGGGAGTTTCGGGGGTTGATAGGTTCTGTGTTGATATGGACTTTCGACTGTCTAATCGTGTTTTTCTGTTATTGAGATCTTGTACTCGTTAGTCTTGTTGGTTCTTATAGACGCATTACAACAAATACATGTTTGGACAATGGATCTGAGAATTACGGCAAGTCTCTCTATACGTTATGTCGAACGGCTACGCTGATGATATTGCTCAGAATAGATTGTTTCATGCATATAATTATCTTTTAGCATATATCACTAAGCCTGCTCCTCCTTAATATGGAAGCTCTTCAACTTATAGAACCCGTCAAATGCGTGCGGTCCTAACGTACATCCGAGTCCGGAGTTCTTCCATCCAATCCAGGCCAAGTCCTAATATTAAGTCAGTCAGTATGAAGCTTCCCATGCAGAGCGATGGACAAATAAAGGAAAACATACCGGACTCGGGTAATCACATCGATTGATATACACAGTACCGGCGTCGATCTTCTCAATCAACGTCTCTCCCGCCTTAATATCCTTTGTCCAAACACTAGCCGTGAGACCATAGTCACTATCATTCATGAGCGCAACGGCCTCCTCATCAGAAGAGACTTTCATGACGGGGATAACAGGACCGAAGGTCTCCTCGCGCATCGTAACCATGTCGTGTGTGACATTCGTAAGAAGTTTAGGAGCAATATAGTTCCCTTCAGCGGGCAAGGAGGTAAATGTGGCATTGGCAGGTGTGGCATCAATAGCACCCTTAGATAGTGCATCGTCGATGTGGGACTGAATGTTCTTGAGAGATTGCTGGGAGATCACCGGACCAGTTGTGGTAGTTTTATCGGTTGGGTCGCCGAGCTTGTACCTATTTATTGTTAGTGTTGCATGAGGTGATTTGATCTGGCGTGGAAGTAGTTTTACTCACGTGCTCAGTTCCTTCTGTACTTCGGTAATGAAGTTCTCGTAGACATCGGCATGAACGTAAACTCGTTCAATTGAGCAACAGCTCTGTCCTGAGTTGAAGACGGCCCCATCGACAATCTGTGCGGCAACGTAGGCTACATCTGCGTCTGGTCGGACGTAGGCTGGGTCATTGCCTCCTAGTTCGAGATTCACCGGAACGACACGGCGGGCGGTTGCTTCCCGCAGGCGGATTCCACCAGCCGTCGAGCCGGTAAATGAGACAAGCTTGATCTGTGGGAGCTTGACAATTTCGTCAAGAACCTCGAGCGAGCCGACGTGGAGGAGTTGGAGGACATTAGTGGGCAGTCCAGCTTCCTGGAAGTACGACACAAGGCGCTCGCCGAGGAGGGGCGTTTGGGGAGATGGGCGGAGAAGAACAGTATTTCCGGCGAGGAGGGCCGGAAGAAGAGTATTAACGGTAATGAGATACGGATACTATGGCTGGTTAGCTCGTGGCCAGAAACTCCATGTAACTCCGAGCGCGCTGCCTTACATTCCACGCAGTCGAAATCAACGTGACGCCAAGTGGTTCCTTCTTCAGAAACCGTCTGAAGCCGCTCTCTGCCTGCCCAGGAAGATTCTTGAGACTGTCATCTGCAATACTGAGGAGGTAGTCTGCGCGCTTGCGCATGGTGTCAATCTCCTTTGTGCAGTAGGCGATAGGGCGGCCCATTTGAGCCGTGAGCTCATTGGCAAGAGTTTCTTTGTTTGCATCGACGATGTTCAATGCCTTGACAATGATCGCCTTCCGCTCAGCAAGGGAGAGCTGTTTGTAGGCCTGGAAGGCATTCTCTGAGGCTTGTGCGATAGCGCGAGCTTCGTCGAGGGAAGTCCCCGGGTGCTCGAAAATGATTGTGTTTGTGGAGGGGGAGAGTGTGCGAATTTGGTTGGTCATCTTGGTGGTTGTATATGTTCGAGATATGTGAGGAGATTCCGGTGTTAGGAGGTTGTGGTTGCTGGCTACGCAGCTCAGATATACTTCGAGCTAGAACGTTATCGATAATCGATAATAGCGCGCTCCGATAACAGACAGCGCATAGTGGGAGGGCGCGGTAATTCTCCATAGTGGATCCTAACTAATTCCCTAGCGTTTCGTAGTCGGCACAGTTCACTTCGATTCCCCAGAGTTCTGGTTCTCTCGATGGAAATTATTGATCGTTATTCTCATAACGTTACAAAGGTGCACCGACATCTAGTTCACGGTTCTTAGTGACATCTTATGCTCACGGTGTATCTTTCTAAACCTGTCATTCCGATACTAACCCCTTAAATCATTTATATGTTACTCAAGAATAAATTTACAAGCGACCTTCGCAATGAGCTCACCATCATGGTGTTTCCCAGCTCTTGATAATCCATCTTTAGCGAGCTCGGCATCGAAACGTCCCATCGCATGTCGAAGCTTGATCAACTCCGTCATCACAAACTCATCGAACTCCGGATGTCCTTGTAAAGCCAATACACGCTGTGGTAGATAGAATCCTTGCACCTCGCATCGAGGGCTAGATCCAAGGTTGACGCATCCTGGGGGCACCTCGAACACATTATCCCGGTGCATCTGATGTATCGCCTGTATCGGTTAGCTAAAGCCTAAGACTCCCTCGAAGGACTTACCAATGATTCTTTCGAGAACAACTGCTTCCCAGTATCACTCAGTGGAAATGATTCGGCTGAGATCTCCCATCCCTCCTCGTTCCGGGCCACGCGTGCTCCGAGGGCACGCGCAACAATCTGGTGTCCGAAACATATGCCAATAATGGGCTTCTTGTGTTGCTCGTGGATGTCGTGGACATATTTCACCAACTCATTGATCCATGGTACATCTGCATGCGCATCGTGCTCTGAATATGTTAGAAAAGCCCTATGTTTAGCGGGGGAGGCGTACTGCTGCCTGTCAACAAGAGTGCGTCGAAATCCTCTGGCTTAGGATATTCGGATTTATTCACCACATCCCAATTCGTTGTTTGCATCTCAGTATCAGTAGCTCCAAGGTCTTGAAGTCCTGTTTTCAACCAACGGTTGAATATCACGCCGTAGGTCCCATAACGATCAAGGACGGGGTCGATGGGCGTGTCGGTCTCCAGGATGGCCACTCGGATGATGCGCGTCATGATGGCTCAGTTGATAGCTCAATTAATGACTGACGGCAGTATATTCTGAACCTTTGGATATGAGCAGCACATTCAATTATACTTGGAAGAGTCGCAACCGTAATGACGAAGCGCCATTCAAGAATGATGAATGAGCAAGCTACCAATTCGGGCAAGTGGGGTTGTTAGCTTTATCGATAAGCGCGGTCTTTTGTCCCCCGCAGCGCGGTCCGCGGTAAACATTCCGCAGGCCCCTGGACTGTTGTTCTTCTCCAACTGCGGCGCGGTTACTGTCGCATTGATCACGCTCGCACGAGACGGCACAGTGAGAAAACAGGTGGATATCGGAGCAGCGTCAATGCGACGGATTACGCCATGGGAGCTCAGCCGCCGCATCACAGCTCGGTAGCTCCGCAGCCCTCTCTCCAGGATGCTTTAAAGCTCGGCCTTGGCCAATTTCTTTTCCTGAACCGATCTGTGAAGAAAATTAACAACGAGAAACAATGGCCACAAACGTGACGGTAGAGAACCTCTCGAGTCTCTTAGCAGACGATATCAAAGTCAAAGTCGCTGGCATTGACTGCGATGGCATCCTCCGCGGCAAAGTCATGTCCAAGGAGAAATTCCTAGGCATTGCAGAAAAGGGATTCGGGTTCAGCTCTGCAGTGTTCGGTTGGGATATGCAGGATGTCCTCTACACAACCGATGCAAACATCGCACCCAAGGACTCGGGGTATGTGGATTTTATCGCCGTCCCGGATTTGAGCACATTCAGGAGGATACCGTGGGAGGATGACATCCCCTTCTTCTTGGTGCGGTTTATTCAGAACGGCCAAACGGTGTCTGCAGATGGCCGGAATATGCTCAAGTCGATATGCGATAAGCTTGCGGCAGAGAATTGCCAGGGAATGGCGGGCGGTAAGCGTCCTCTCCGGGCAGGTATCTTCTAGGCGATTTCTAACAAGATTAGTGGAATTGGAATTCATGAACTTCCAAACCCCGTCCGAAGACGGATACAGCAATGGCTCCCAACCTCAGAATATCGCAGCCTTCCTCGAAAAGAACACCCCTGGATCGCTGCGCCCGATCACTGCAGGCAGTTTCTCCTACAGCGCAACGCGACCAGTGGCGTTTAAGAAATACTTCTATGACATCTTCAATACCTGTGCGCAAATAAACTGTGGAATTGAGGGGTGGCATACCGAGGGAGGACCAGGCGTATACGAAGCAGTGAGTTACCTTGGCTGGCACCCTAAGTGAATGTGTCGCTGATTGAATAGGCCCTCAAAGTATGCGACGTTCGCGAAATGGCAGACAGAGTATCCTTGTTCAAGTATGCAACCCTTCCCTCCCACCCCGGTGTACGCTAACAATCGAAGGCTCCTCGCAAAATCAATAGGTGTCGAGCACGGCATCACGCCTTGTTTCATGGCCAAGCCGATCCAAGGCCAACCAGGCAGCTCCGGTCACATCCACGTTTCGCTGTGCGATCTCGACGGCAAGAACCTGTTTGCTCGGGAGACTCCCGATGACAACGCCCCCTGGCCCGATGCAGTTGGGCTGTCGGACCTCGGCCGTCAATTTCTCGCTGGTCTTCTGGAAGCATTGCCGGACATCATGCCTCTATTTGCACCAACTATCAACTCCTACAAACGCCTAGTGGAGAACTTCTGGGCGCCCGTGAACGTGAGTTGGGGTCTAGAGGACCGAATGGCTTCGATTCGTCTCATCACACCACCGGTATGTAAGCCTGGCGCGACACGATTCGAGGTTCGTATTCCTGGAGCGGACTTGCATCCCCACTACGCACTTGGTGTGATCCTCGCCGCTGGCTGGCGTGGTGTACAGAAGAAGTTGGAGATCAAGGTACCGCCTGTGTCGGCAATGAAGAAGGATAATACACGTCCAGAGTTGTTGCCGAACACGCTTGAAGAAGCGCTGAAGCGCTTCAACGCAGCGGATAGTGTTGCGCGTGAAATTCTAGATGGGGAATTTGTGGACTTCTTCACTGCGACTCGTGAGCATGAGTTGCGGGTGTGGCGAGAGGCTGTAACCGACTGGTAAGTACATGACCCGGTGAGCAACGCGAGTAGTGGCTAACAGTGAATAGGGAGTTTAAGCGATACATTGAGACGGTATAGTTGGATATCGGGAGGGACATGATAGACATTATTAAACCAGTCAACCTGTACTGTAAATGACAAAGTATATACCTACGAATACATGTTTTTATGATATTTCCAACGTTGTGCTGCCCTCAGATCCATGATTGTCGAGACTCGCTGTAATCATAGAGACGGCTACATTGAAACTAAACATACTAGATTTACCAATAGGCAACCACTCGAGCGGAAATGCTCCGAAGACCCCGATAATGGGCAGTAAACTCGACAGCGCACCCAGGCCAAAGTCGGTCCAGCTAAAAGAGGCTAACAAGCATATCCAATTCATCTCCGTCAAGTGAGGCTAGGCGTCGAACAGTTATTCTTTTCAGCATCCGTGTACATTCTCATTCTCGTCCCAGTGGGTCAACATGAAGCGTCCCAAATCCCTTGAAATAGTTCCTCCTATATACACTTTTCGCGTTTCCAGTCCATCAGCAGATAGCACTAAGGGCAAATAAAATGCCAAGTACTACGAGCATCGACGGGTAGACGGGCATCGGGTCAGAGTTACTGCTCTGCGGGGCCGTAGTCTGACTTGGAGATACCGGCGTTTCCCTCGACTGCCCACAAGAAGTCCCATTTGGTGTCCCACTGTATTCCGGTTGGACGGCTGCTGGTCCGGTGCAATTACACACGTAACTATGCGTCGATGAGATTCCTGGTGAATCGTGCTTGCGATTGTCACACTGATAGAGCCAAGCGCCGTCGGAAGTACAGTTAACGCCTGAAACATCACACCTGTACGCATCACACATATCTTCCAATATGATGTTAGACGGGCTACCAGACGTGAAGCCGTTGTAAATATCAAGGTAGTTGCACGTTGGAAACGGGTAACTTAAATCGTAACATTTGTCTGCGCAGTTAACAGTCTCGGGAACTGAGACCGCCTCGCTTCCGCATACACAGAAATACTTGCTATATGATGCGTCGGCGATGCCGGAATATTGTAGCGTGGAGTCGCATGTCGCATCAAGCTTGTCTCCAGATGGACCAATGATAACACACTTGGTCATGTCAGAATTGCATGTTGCAGTGTCGTTGTCGCGTTCTATCACAAGATCATCCAAGTCGACCCAGAAGAGAGAGCATTTAGTTGCCACGGACATGGTGAAGTCTCTTCGGCTAGTAGTTGCAAATCGTGAGGTCGAGATTCGGCGACAGTAATTCAGGAGGAGAATGCTAGGTGGCACGACGCGAGAGGATACTGGGAGTTATATCAGGTCTTCCAGGGCGGATAGTTTGGTCCACATTAAGTCTAGACTGTCATCCATAAAATAATGAAAAGATGGATGATACTGGTAAAGTTTTGTAGAAGATTGATGGATTGGTACCAATGCGCCTTGGAGGGTCTTCCGTGGCCATGGAAGTGGTAGGAGTCTGGCCACTACTAAAATCCACGTATCTGAGAGACAGAGTGAGTCTTCCATGTCGACTAATCAAAATAGGGAATTGATATAATGCTTAATTTCAAGGCGCCAATTTAAGCATCTCGCAAATTGCGTTAGAGTTCGACAAGGCGCTTTAGGGATGCGCCACCCACATGACTTGCCCCAGCCAATAAGTGCACTTATGCCTCCCTGAAGAACAGTCAAGCTTTTTGAATTTAGGTTCCAATATGCTGTCTTATGACGGGATCATAGCTTTACTTCGGTCTGGACAGGCTATCTCATGACACCGTTGAGCCTGGCTGAAGCTTATATGACGGGTAACAAATTAGAGCCTATGTGTGGTTGTGCTACAGAGTAGTGAGAGCTTTATTTAAGACAGCTAGATCCGACGTTCTGAAAAAGAAAAGCGAGCATTTCCGTGTAAAGTAGCACCTTCGCAAACAGTTCCTATAACTACAAGCGTTACTATAGGAAACCATAAAAATAAGTTCCTAGCTGCTTCCACAACAACTCAGGACCGACATGTCATGCGATCTGCCACGTCGCCCAGTCCCAGAACCCATCTATGTCCCCATGCCTCGAAACAATTACGGGGATTCTGAAGCAGCAAACATGGCCGAAACAAATACAACCAACATCAATGCTGGGATTCGCGCAAATTACGAGTTTGCGAATCAGCGCTTCGGGAGCGAGAATTATGGAACCATCCTCCGGTGGGATATTTATAACCAGCGTGAAATCCCACTCTACTCTATGGCATTGTATGAAATTGGGCTATCACGGCAGGCGTTCGAGGAGTTTTGCCACCAACTGCGCTCAACTTATGATAACAGCTACCAGAAGATCGATTGGACCGCAACTATTCTTTCTTTGGTTTTTCCTCCTCTTGCACTTTGCTTAATACTTTGTGGCTTGTTTCCAGTTAGGGGCGACAATAATAAGATCGCGAAATCGATGGCGGCAGCTATTTACGAGATCAATCGGCGGTTGCAAGCTGATAGTGTCCCAGTGGCATTTGCGTTCAAAGTTCATATGCAACTGAGGCTCGTATTGCCTGAGGTTACTGTCCAGTATGTCCCGTTGTAATATGCTATAAAGAAATCATCAGCGTCATGGAGACCTCACAATACCAATGTTTATAGTCCTGCTCAGTAAACGTGGATTGGTTTAGCAGTCCTTGAGCAAATGGTGTAGAGTTGTAGAAAACAGGGGAAGTCGACAGCATCAGAGGGGCCAGAGATCAGGGATATATTAGATTTTACATAAGAGGGCCGGCCAGAATAGCATATGCCACAGTCGTCCTGAAACGAAAGGATTGTAAATATGTAGGAATATACACTAGCTTTACTCCAGCTTCAGAACAAATCTTTCTATCTAGTTATATTGATGGCAGGATGCGTTGTCCATGACTAGTACAAACTTTGGCTCAGGCCACCTTCTGTAGGAATGAGGAAAAGAGTAAGACACCTCAAAAATATCGAGAATACCGATCACTGTAGAGTGTCGTAGAATAACGTATTCCGATCCTCTTGATACCTTCACCGAGCGACTGTGATGAGGACTTTGCTTACAACCGGAGTCTGAGTAGCGGTCTTCTTTTTATAGAGGAATTAGGGGAATGATTTAAGCGCATCTTTCCGTCAGCGGCTGGACTTTGCTGCTGCGCTGCGCACTGCCTCTGGCCGGGCAAGTTTTACCTCATCTGCCATGGATCTAGTCCCAAACCTTAGATTGGACGGTGTTGATGTTGACTGGGAGGCACGTTACACATCTCCCTATCCCACGTCATATTGCCGTACTAAGTAGAATCACAGAGCCCTGCCAATGATGCCCAGGCCAATAACATGGTCTCTACACTTGACCAGCTTGGTACGGGGTGTACTACAAGAACTCAAGACTTCTAAGCAAGGAGACCGAATCTCACAGGTGAGTAGTCACTAGATATCTACAGTACTGCATATACCAATGATCACCACTTCTTTATACAGTCACCTGCCCACTTGGTAAGTTCGGCCAGCACTGTGATCATTTCACAATTATGGCACGGCTAACTGTTGACCAGTTACAACAAATTGTGGCGACCTGAACATATATAGGAGAACCGACTCGATAACAGGACCAAACAGGGCCGCATTAATAAGAGAAGGCAAGACTTACCGTGGGACATGTCGAACATCACCACCAGGCAGTTTTCTCTTCCTTTCCCTTCCCCAGTCTTGATACCTTCATTTAATGCACAGGATTTCCACCGTTTCCTTTTGGTTTATAACGGCTACTCACCAAACTCCCATATTCTACGCTATTATAGCTATCAGTCTGCATATTTACACCGACTCCAGAACAACCGGTCCAGCCAAAAATATCACTCACCTTTACCGCCACTGCAATAGGTGTTTAATAGACACTTCCAGTCAACAAGTCAGTAAGGTAGCCCATAAAGGAATGTCTATAAATATTTTCAACTTACTACCCTGCCACAGCCTCTTCAGTTAACACTATTGGTCTACATACTTACCCAAACCCCTAAGCAGATGGCAGTGCTGAAGCAGGACAAAAGCACAACCCACTAGTACATTATAATCCACCAACGATAATATATCATCCACCAAAAGACCTCCTCAGACCCTCTTTAGTGGTGAGGGAGGCTTGGGTGCCCTTGAAGAGGTGGTGATTGCTTTCCTTTTTTCCGTTTTCTTCTCACCATTGGAGGGAACTTTGAGGAGTATGTTCGGGTGGGTAAGTGATACGTATTAACAAAGATTCGTGAGAAAGTTACCGTATTACGCTAATTAGGTACACACTAACAGGTGTTGATTGGGTATATCATGACATTGCTCATTCTTCGTCATTTGCATCTTCCACTGATGCAGAGCCCTTGGACGGGGTAGGTGTCTGAGCCCTATCTGGTCCATCTTCTTCGTTGTTGTTCTTGTGGCTCTCGTTGCCCTCCGGTCCATGCTCCGGTGGCTGTTTCTGAACAGTCTTTCCCTTGCCCTTACCATTCTCTAGAGGTTTTTCGGCTTCGCTCTTGAAGTATTCTGTGCCAGACTCCTCTACTCCAGGCGTCACACCGTCCTTCCCTTTATTCTTGGCTTTCGCTCTGCGAATCAATCGGTTGTGGTACTCTTTCTTTTCAACCTCAGGATTCTCATCCAAAATCCGTCTAGCAGCCTCCCGTCCAACCACAGGCAACCGATCAACCCCATTTACCCCCTGAGGGACTAGCTTTGGATCCAGCAGTCCGACCTGGACCAGAACACTCGCCTGATCCCAATATACATGCTCAGAAGACAGTCGACCCGCCCGCAGGCTGACAATGCTAACGAGGATAACCTCCACCTGCTTATTAGTCGGCGGCACACCGGGTAACATCCAAGGGACCTCCTGCGTATGCTGGAATGCCGCGTGCAACTCATCAGCCACCCGGTCAACCCCGATCGTCCGCGAGATTAGCCGCAACCGCATAGAGGGTGGTAGTTGGCGCAGGAAGCTCTGCTCGTAGAACCGTCGCAAAGCGTGATTGCCGATGCCACCACTCACTGTGGGGACATATGTCACGGCGGGGTTGATATGGCTCACATATGGTTCCATGGTGTTGGACAGGTTCATGGAGAAGAACCTGGCTGTTTTAGACTAGTTAGCGAATGCTCTTGGACCAAGGAAAGACTTGCATATTGGCAGATATACCTTCCAGATGTTCCTCCCATTTTTCCTCCACATCCACATCCTTGTTGAACCCTCTTCGGAGAACCTGTAACGTTCGACTAAACGCCAGGTCACACGCCAGTCGATCATACTCTTCTAGATCATGCTCTGCGAACCCGGGCTCCACATACTCATATGTATACGCCGTATGACCGATGTTCAACCGCTCACCAGTCCCCATGCCCGGGTTGATCTGCCGTGTACTCCGCTTCTTCTTCCCCTGTAGCCCCACCAAAGTCGGAGTAGTCGTCACATCGACAGTGGTGCCGGCCAGGTGCGTCAAGATCTGGACAGAAGGCGGGTACCGCGACCGGGGGTCGGGGATGTTGGTGGGATAATAGGTGACTAAAGCGCAAAGACGACTACAGTTGGTAGGTTTGAGGTAGTAGTCCAAACAAAATGAGGCAGCGTCTCCGAAGGCTGAACACGATAGCAACATCAGTCCTGTTCACACCCTATCTCATGTCCAAACTAGAACTAGTAAAGGAGACAGGCAACTCACCAAGAACAGCATAATTCTCCCCCACCCCCAATCCCTCCTTCACACTCTTTAGTCGGGCAACATACTCCCTTGAGTCCCCATCATACGGAACGTAGATCACATCGAAACCCTCATCGCGCCAGTTCCGCAATATCTCCGTGTCAAAGTCCGGCGTCTCAGCCGAAATGCACAGTCGCGCTTTACCGGAGGCGTTATTGTATAGGAAGCCTGTTGCTCCGGGGGCATTGATGGAAATGGTGGCCATTTGCCTTTCTTTCCCTGTTTTTGTTTTCGGGTCCCTTCTGGATTTTGCTTTCCCACGGGTGAACTCGATGATAGAAATTTGGTAACATCAGGAACAGAGTGGATGGTGGTTGATGCAACTTCCTTGATATTATTATATTTCATTCTATGAATTCATTGAGGGTTGCATACGTCATGGGGTGTCACACCGCATACGTCATCGCGGGTGGATCAGATGATGAGGAACTTCCTTTCTAGAGTAATTTATATACATTTTATATTGTCTTGAATTTACTATATTAATCCACGATCCGTGGCTTTCTTTCATTGTTAAATTTTACCTTGAAAAAAAAAAAAAAAAAAAAGAAACGGTGGGTCTACAGCGGTAGTTAGTAACTCTATCCCAATTACTGCACAACGGTAACGGTCCCTGGACCAAATGTGAGGTGGTTTTAGTAATCATGAAATTCATTAACGTAACCCTCGGGGATATTAATTAGGTATACTTCCTTGTTGCTCTATAATCAATCATGGATTTTTTAACATGGACACCTAACACCCGTACCTCAATATGTCTCAAAATGCTCTGGTTGTATCCCCCTGTGTCGGGCTAAGGAGAGCATCTTGTAGCTTATTTTATATAAACCCCTCTGCAGCTAAGAAAACAGTACATACGCCCATAGGTCTTGGAGCATAGGGCTTCCCGTCCGCTCAGCCGTACTTAAGCCACAGTCCACTATGATACTCGATAGGCTCACTTACCGTTATTTTTCTGAACTACCCGGATGAGATTATCTTAAAAGCGTATGGATATCCACATCGTTTTGGGAATCAGGCCGGGCCGACATGGTCAAAGTCGCATCGTCTGTGTTGGAAGGATCAAGCTCGATCGGCCTCGGTTTATCTATTGGTTATTTTGGGGGTTGATGGCCTCGAGTCCGCTGTCTGTGTTTATGAAATTTGCTTCGTATTTCCTACTCGATTGGAATCGGAGGTGGTCTATCTTGAAAAATCATATACTCGACTGAAGTATCGCTTTACGAATGCTTTTGCGGTTTGGACCGCCACTTTCTCATTTACTAGTGATAGTGATGCTGTTCGTATATTAACACTAGGCCTCTTTATATTCCTCACTGACGGTATACTCCGGGCACAATATCTCTTCCCATTGACCGCAGCAGAGTACACAGCCTAGAGGGTGAAAGGTGTAGCCATGGCTTGCTGTACGGTCTCTGCACTCTGTATGTTTCCTCCTAATTTACATTTTATGATCCCGTTCGCTTATGAATATAGTTCTAGTCTTGACACTCAATGGGGAATGCGACTGGCCAATGGAATCAGTGTTATGGAACGCATCACATTAATATTCATTGAAATTCCGATTCGTTGGTATCCTATTCCCATCCATCTTCAGAGCCATCAATCAGACGAGGTCTCAATTCCATGTCCGACCATAGCAACAGTCCACATTCATTCACTATCCTATACACCTCCAGGCTACAAGCGCAATCCACATTCATCATTATATTCAGCAGAACGAACATCAAGAGGATGACGGTCGTTGTCTTCTGCTCCGTACAGGCCACTACATTCTCTCACCGAGTTTTCTCGTGCCCCACTGCTCAGACCAGACCAGTCTAATAGTGAGATATAGTGCTGAAGATCTCCGTAGGACTAACCTTAAAGTGTCCTCGAGTACCCACATAATAGTAGACACGTTCCTTCGACACAGCTCGTGAATATGGGGGAGCTGTGTCAAAGCAGTGGCGCCTGCTGTTCCTTGTGCACAAATCAGTGAACCTGATTCATGAGGGATGTGCCGTGCATGTGCTATATCAGATATCACATACGAAGCTCCCCACCACAGACTAAGCCTGGGAAACAAGAGAACACTCGGACGATGAGTGCCAAGTCAATAGATTCTCTTGGCCACAATTGTTTCCATTCAAACAATGCATTTCATTACCAAAAGAGATCAAAATTGGCTCTTGCCAACTCGAGCCGGTGTTCTTGTTTTCTTATTTTCTCGGTCCTTCGGTATTTACCAGCATGTATATATTAAGGCAACTCTACTACAGAGTACTCAGTCAGAGAAGGTAAAAACTAGAAGAAAAAAAAGAGAGAAACACCAAAATGCTCGCGTCTCTCCTCCTCGTCCTCTTCTCAGCGGCCGTGGGGGCAAAAACTGTGCCCAACGGCCAAACACTCTCCCTCAACGGCATACCCTACTATCTCAGTGGAATCCCGATCTCAAATTTCTCTCACAATGTTTTCGATAACGCAAGCGACGATGTCGACATAATCCCATTTACAGTGATCCAGGCTTCTAGCACCGTTCATGGTAGTTTTCTCAGTGAAAAAGTTGCCAATTTTACCCAGCAGGATGACGTGTTTCAACCGGCATTTCTTCAGACCGTCTATTTGACATCTTCTGAAGAAACATCGCAAATCGGCGAGCTGTCTGGCAGCCAAGCTGTGCGCCAATTTGACAATAAGATGCTTCTAACCGAGTCTAATGCTTCCCTATCTACGCCCCTTCCGAATGGACCTTACTTTGCTTCCGCCCGCACAGGACACATTTTCAGAGCTTATCGTCTCTACTCAGACGACTCGTTGGCCTTCATCTCGGCCGCTATTAGCGATGAGAATGGCGGTTTCATCCCCATGACGGGAGTTACAGAGGGTGTCATGACGAAGAATGTCGCTGTCCCATCCCGTCTCTACTACACCCCTACTGCTGAAAAGCCTTTAGCTGGTCTCCGACTAGCCGTGAAGGACATCTTTCATGTTAAGGGTCTGAAGACCAGTGGTGGAAGTCGTGCGTACTACTACCTCTACGACGAGCAGAATATTACCACTCCCTCCGTGCAACGGCTCTTCGACCTGGGTGCTGTCATGGTCGGAAAGGTGGGTACTGTTCAATTCGCCAATGGCGATCGTCCTACTGCGGACTGGGTCGATCTGCACTGTCCATTCAACCCCCGAGGAGATGGATATCAATATCCCAGTGGCTCCTCGTCTGGCTCGGGCGCTGCCATTGCCGCGTATGAATGGTTAGATCTGGCTATTGGCAGTGACACGGGTGGTTCCATGCGCGGACCTGCCGGTGTACAGGGCGTTTATGGCAATCGACCATCAACCGGAGCTATCACGATGGAGAATGCCCTGCCACTCTCGCCCCCGCTCGATACCGCCGGTATCTTCGCACGAAGCGCGTCTTTATGGTCCAAGACCGTCCAAGCGTGGTACCCCAACTTCAACCGCAGTTACCCATCCCACCCTAAACAACTCTATCTCTCTCACAGCAACTGGGACGAGACTACTGCGCCTGAAGCAAACGAACACCTCGAAACGTTCATGCAGAGACTCGAAGATTTCCTCGATACGAATCGCACCGTCGTCAACGTCACAGAACGCTGGTCCGAAACCCACAACTCACCCTCCTTGATCAACCTGCTCAACACAACCTATGCCTACCTTGTCGGCGTCGGTCAATGGAACAACCTCGCCAAAGGCTTCTTCGCAGACTATGCCCAAGCCCACGACGGCCGTCGCCCATTCATCAACCCCGGCCCCTTGGCGCGCTGGGAATGGGGCCAAGCCAACGGGGGAAACGCATCTTACGACGCCGCCCTGCAGAACATGACTGTCTTCCGAGACTGGTGGTCGACGTCCGGCTACGGACGATCGGACAATGAATCTTGCTCGGAAGGCATCTTCGTACACGCCTGGGCGACGGGAGCAGCAGACTACCGTAACCGGTACTTCAACCCCCCAGGTCCTCCGTTCGGATTCACGGACGACGATATCGCTATTTTCGCAGGCGCACCCGAAGTTGTTGTCCCACTGGGCGAGTCGCCATATAACAGTACCATCACATTGCACAAGGAGTATCTCCCTGTTTCGATCGGCTTGCAAATGGCTCGAGGCTGCGATCGGGCACTGGCTGAATTGGTGGATGAACTGGGTAAGGCAGGGATTTTGAAGCCTGTTTCTGCAGGTTCGAGATTATATTCTTCTTGAATTAGATGTCGTTCTGTGTATAGATTTTGGTAAATATAGATTCATATATCTGGCTAGTAATAAATCTAATCACAATTAGGGAAAATAGCACTTGCCTCAAGTTCAAATCCAGAGCTGTATCAAGGGTTTTGGTGGGAATGTTGTCCAACGCGTAATTAGACCACTTGCCCTCCATAACAAAGAACTCGGAAATTGTGGTCTGCATTATCCATCTAAGGGGAGATCGTACTGCAGATACGGTTACTTCGTTCTGGAAAGTAAGAAGTGTTCTCTAGCTATATTACTTGCCTTCGATAGAGTCATCTCAAAGGTTTCACAGAGGAGCATAGCAGGACAGTAATCGACTTTAACGCGGCCGGGATTTAAACTGATCAAGATCATGAGGAACAATATCAACATTACCGGTTCTGGCAGCCCACTTCCGGCGTCTCATTCCCTTCAGAATAAATGGGACGACCTAGTCAGATGAAGTTTAACGCCGGTTGAACTTGATACGCCTCTTCGTAGTATAGGGCTGTTAAACCATTCAAGTCTTTGTTATTGTGGATGGCGATCACCATATGGAACTAAACTATCTGTTCTTTCTATAAAAGGTTAGGGAATCAATCACCGAAAACCCTGTAAACGTCACCAAATCCAAACGGCGATGGTGTGATAACCCGAGAAGATACTAAAGTTACAATGGTATGGGAAGATTCAAGATGCCTTGTTGTATACATAGAGGGAAGTTTTGAAGGCGAGGGGGGAGACGCTGTTTTAATTTCCAATAGCTCATGGTTGGGAATAAACCCTCTTCGAAAGCATTGCTTGTCGCATGCATCCTCAACCGTCATTTACGTCGTGCAACTTATTCATCTCTTTTTCCTTCTTATTATACTTATCCAGAAAGACCCAAGATAGGATAGCTGTCAGGAACATAACCCCACTCAACGAAGCGAATTCTATGAGAATTGATGGATCTTTCGAGATAGGAGATAACGCAATTCCCAATGCGGAACCAATAGCGTTCATCAGGATAAACAGAGATACAGCAAGGCTTCGCATGGACTTTGGTGCCTTAGTGTACGCGTACTCCATCCCAGTAGTAATTGAGAGGATTTCGGTAACTGCTAGCATGGCAAAGGTTGGAATCTGGAGGAAGACATTCACCTGGCTGTGTCAGCTCTCATACCTCTGTAATAATCCTGTTATAATAAACTGTGGGCTGTTTAGTCCTTGACCTACATTATTTGGTGTTGTGCCTCCATTGCTGCAAGTTCCTTGAAGAGGGTGGTCGTAACACGGAGGTGATTTATATATCACTATATCTCAGATTAGTGTACTCTCGATAACGAGATATACTGCATGAGGTGACTGACGTGCTTGGATCCCAGCTGAATAGCCCATTGCACAAGCGATCACCACAAAACCTACGGCTATACGACTGATCGGTTTAAAATCAATATTATGCCGCTGTAATGCCGGGAAAAGTGCCTTTTCCCTAGGAAATGTCAGGACGCTGTTGAGAGATCCAGTTCAAAAGGGAGGTGCCGATTGCTATACATTATGGGAATAAATGCCAGGACTCCGATAGTATTAAAGAAACTCACTGTTTACTTGAATTAGCGCTTGAGAGATAACTTGCATATAAGCCGGACGCAAATTTAGTGTGACATACTCATATCGTTTGGAACCCCGTAGGTTTCCATTGCTGCAGCCTGGCTGACAAGACTATTGTTCATCTGCCCATAACACACCCAATAGACGGGACTTTCATAATCAGCGCTGGCAACGATAGCGCCAGCTGGTTGACACTCACAATATACAACTAATGCATTATTAGTTATGATAAGGACCAACCAGTTGAGGGTTACCGAACTGAGGACTCACAAGACCGTACATGCCACAAGTGCTACTCTCAACTCATCAACGAACTTGTCATCCCACGACACCGCAAAGGCTGAATGTGTCTCAGCCATGCATGATGGCTTTGCCGCGTTAAGGTTAAACCCTCCTTTTAAACCAAGCCAAAAGACTTGGGCTGCTTGGAGTATAACAGAACCGCGCGGTTTCTGAACACCTAGTATTGAGCTGTTAGTGCATCCAAGCATATTCAGGTAGAGAATCCAAAGTTATACTATAGGATGCCCGGCAGGGGATCAATATAGCTGCAGTTAGTAACCAGAATACAAGCGGAAGCATGAATGCCGCCCAAAAGGACACCTTCAACTCCAACCACTGCCAACAAGAACTATGGATCAGCAGGGCCTTTATTCACCACATGGTGGCTACACTGACCGAAGCTGGAATTACCGCGAGAGGCCCTAGATTGACCACCCTGGGGGAGGTTAAGCGATTGAAAGATTCCCGATTATTATCGATTTCAGCGGTATGACTGACCAGTAATATCGACCATATATAGTCTGAATTGTTAGGTCGGGATCAATCAAGACTTTGGTCCCATTGTCGAGTGTCCGAACTTGAACCGGCTTCCTCACATATTGGTCTGCAATGAGAGGGGCGACATTGCTCCTGATACCTCCAGAGCTGTAGATTATTTAGCATGTAAAGGAATAACCTTCTTTGTCATGCGGAGAACCACTGACCCCAGACCAAGTAAGAATAAAGCAACCAGGAGACCTGGGAGACCCGCCCCTTGGTCAAGGCTTGCAGGGAATGAGGTACTGAAAATCAACAAAGAGCCACTCCATGAACACCTACATAGTTGCAGCTAGGTTAGCACTAAACTATATGCCCCTAATTGGTAGAGTTACCCTGTTCCTAAAACAATTGTCCAATACCTGCCTATCCAAGCATCCGCCACTATGGCTCCTATAACAGGGGCCAGACTGGTCCAGCCCATGTAAAAAAAGCTAATGCAAGTGGCAATACCTTGCCCCTAATATCAAGGAATTATTAGTGCAAACATGTGAGTTAGTTTATTCTTCTGGCAGCTCACCATATTCAATGCCCCTGGCCGCAATGGATCCTCGCGAGCATTTTGAACATAGTTTTCTTGATAAATATCAGATAATCAATGCTTGCAATGAGACCTATGATATGAAACAGCAATGAGAGCTTACGCAAAGGGGCTGTGACAGAACGGTAGGTAAAACGCTCTGCCAACTCTGCCACTGCAACCAAGTATATGGTCCAGTTTATGTCATCCGGGACACGAGTAAGGTGTTCAAGTTCCCATGGTGTGGGGTTGACATTCTCCTTGTGTGCCCGGTTCTCTTGGATAGCCGCCATTTTCATTCAAGCCGCACGGTCGTTGGCAGTTAAAATAAATTTGTAGAGCTTGGAGTTGCGGAGAAAGGTAGCATGGAAGGACACGATTGTGGCAAGGTATATTTAATAGACGTACCGGGTTATCAGAAACATTGTCATGTTCTGAGAGGCAAAGGTATGTGTGGAGAACATCCCATTGTACCCCTTGGGTGAGATTAGCAAGTTGGGACTAATAGATATACTAAACATATCAACATCGCTTACGGGAAAGTATTCTGGGTTCCTATTACTTCACCCCTTAGTACTTAGGTAGTCGATAGTAGTGTTTTCAATCTACGTCCCTGTGCTTCGTAGTCCATAGGCCTTCTACTCGTAGTAGTTAAAAAGAAATTTTTGGAGAAGGAATACATAAGCGAATGGGAATATGAACTACGATTGTTTCTATTTGCACTTTAATGACGACATATTCTCAATGGCACATCAGCTAATAGCTTTAATAGAGAATGATAATCGATCGATTGTTCTCTGATAACTATTCCACGTCATTCGAGTCTTAATATCGGGTGGCTGCATACCTCCCTACATTCAAACACCCCTTGCTTATTACACATTGTTGGGAGAGAGTCATGTTGATCTTGCACAAAGGTCCACAGGGAGAATCCATGAAGGGATTCTCCCTGTGGACCTTTGTGCAAATAGCAATATCATTATGCATGCAAGCCAGGTATTTGCTCTAAATATGTACCTATTGTGGATCATTTTGAGATTATCTATAGACTGACAGCTAACCTAAATTCTACATGAAAAAGGGTTTCATTTCAAGCGCTCCAGCCACTGTTTATGAGAAGAGTTCAGCCATAGCCTTGTGGGCAGTAAGGTTCTGTCCGCAAACACGACGCAACTCTAATTGTCGCCCTAGAGAACAAGAACTATACTACCACTATACTGTGGCCGTCTAGCGGTCATTCTTGTTGTCATCAAAACTGCTTCTTTATGAACTACAGGCCCATGGCTACATCGGTCTTTTGGAAACAAATGCTGCATAACACATTGAAGACTCTCCATCTTCTCTCAATCAAGCTTTAGTAGATATTCCATGAATATCCATTACCAATATCACGTCTCAATACATCTCTAAAATGTTGTTATTATTACCTTTTGCCCGCCATTCCCCCCTTTGCATACTATACTGACTCGGGCGAGCCGCATCAGTAAATGATAGCTTCATACTCTATACCTATATCATGTCATATAGCGATTGCATATCCTTACACATGTGCGATGGGGGTGCCATCTTGCTGATATAATGTATGTCTGATACTATGTATTAACAAAGGCAGTATGAGTGTTTGCTCCCTTAACACGTAATCGTCGAGGTTTCGGGCAAATGGGTTCCAGTTCCAACATGATTGTTGTTGCTGATCAGACATCCCTTTGTTCTCCCCAGAGTAATATACGCCGAGATTATGTATGTCTATAAATAAATGATTCAGGCAGAGTTCTGTTTAAAAATAAGAATAAATATAGAGATGTGGGGTGTGAACACCCTGAACCTTTGCGAGATGCTGATCTACTGGACACTCTCGGTATGCAACTATATAACAGGCAAATCCCGGGATGCCATAATCCCTTGCGTTCTTGATTGACACCACATTAGCAAGGATTGCGAGAGAAAGAACAAGGGGCAGTATGACGCGTTTTTCCAGCTTTGAAGGGAGATGATCTGCCACAAATATCTGGATCATGAGGTCGAGCTTCCAAATGATCTACATATGATGTATGACCAAAATATGACCCAGAGAGCAATGCCATTATGGAAAGCGACATGGCCGCTTCATATTGTGCGGATTTGGTAGGCAACCCATAAAGTGTTGTCACTAGATTCTGCTGCCATCTAATGAATATAAATATAGACAGGCATGCCTGATACAACATCCTCAAACTTATCTCTTCTACCAACATATCAGTTTCTCGCAACATGCGTCGGCCAGGGTTTGTTTCCTTAGACTACACGCTACATGATCTATACAATCTTGATGGCGGAAGTGCTTCGAAGATTGTACTAGTTTTTTTCCCTCCATTCACGGAGAATCCACGACTCGGCTCTGGTGGTCCCCCGAGGGAGCGCTTTGTTTATGATTCCTTTTGGGAACTTGGATCCAGGCAGCACGAAAATTCAGCTCTGGACCAACAAGTGCTTCCTCAACGATATGGCTACACTGCAGGAAAAATTCCTGTCATTGGCATCGACTCACAGAAACGCGGCAGCTACTGCGCCTCAGAGCACAATGACTACAGTACTTCGAATCTCTTTCGCTCCTTTCAGAAGATACACGAAAGCCAAAGGCCAATTGGTAAAATAGTTCGGTGCTTCGCCGATATCACAGTTCCCCCTGAGGGCCGGATATCCGTCATCGCACCCAGCGATAATTTCTCTCATTTACTGCACACTATCGATCCTGATATCCACTACCGACTGGCCTCCAAACGGGGGTTGGCAATGTCCAATTTGCCTATGCCCAAAACCATGGTTGTCGATCCCACCTGGAACGCAGACCTGGTCTCAGACGAGGCATACTTTCAAACAGACATACAGCGAATGGTAAACTGTATCGATGCCCATCCAGTCCCGTACATCCTAAAGTTGCCCCAGACAATATCTGGAATGGGAACATTCAAGGTCTTTAACGAAAAAGACAAAGAGGCTCTTCGGGCACGGCTTTGTCCATGGTTACAACATATGTTGAGACGAATAAATAAATCTAACCAACACCTCTTCCCTGGCTCACTAGTGGTCCAGGAGTTTATACGGGGTTCGACAATGTCGCTGTCAATATTTGTCACAAAAAAGGGCCGTGCAGTTTTTGTTACATGTTCTGATCAGATATTCAATGAGAAGGGCGAGTGGACTGGCGGAACCGTGTCCTATAAGAGGCAGAGTTCACTCGAAAAGGAATACTCAGAAGTTGCGACAAAGGTAGCGCAATTCCTACACGATAACGGTTATTATGGACCAGCAGGAGCAGATGTGTTGACCGACGAGTCCGGAAACAAGTATGTTGTGGATCTCAATGTTCGCCTTACCGGGACGTATCATTTCGGACCCCTCCAAGGACACTTTACCCAGAGAGGTCTTTGGGAAGCAATGATGTTAAAGTACTACTTTCTATGCTCTCAGGAAGTATTCGAGAAGGCTTTCGAGGAGGAGTTGCAGAACGGCCGCGTCATAATCATAGGATGGGCGCAGGATGAGACCAAGGACCGTAGCTACGGTGCAATCACTCTAGGGGCCGAGGATGAGTTGTCGCTGCAACAGCTGGCCCAACGTATCCAGAGCTATGAGAGCCAGGAGTGAAACTCTACGGGCGTCGAATGCGGTGGAATCTGATCACAGGTATGAGTTAAGCAGCAAGGAAGCAAAGATGAATTTACACAGCTTAGAAAGTGACAATATATTAAATCATTCCTAGATTAATACAAGGTAACTCCGCCAGGCTTAGGAATAAATAGTAGGCAAGGATTGCGATCCAACGCGTAATAAAACAACCTGCCCTCCATAGCAAACAATTCTATCCTCTGTTCTGCATGAGGAGTCACAGATAGACTACAAACAGATAGAAAGTTGCAATGCTACAAAAGCGAGATCTTCACTGGTCCACTTATACCTGACACTACAGAAATGCTTGGAGATGTTCAACCTCACCGTTCAACTGATTCAATCACGAACATATGGAAGCGGCCAAATGCATGACCAACGGCGGGCCTACCGTCAAAGCGCTGGGCCTGCTCGTCACCCCCCTAATACTCGGTTGCAAGGTATGTTATAGTGCCGTAATAACGGAAGATATTCATTAATACCAGGAAAAGATACGAAGGTGTCTTTTAGGAAGCGAGTGATCTCATAAGGCGTTCCGTCAGATTCATTTGGTCGACCAATATAAATAAAAGAGCCACGGCCCCTATACGATAAATCTCACCTGTCTTCTTTCCTACAACTAACAACCCAACTTGACCCCACCCACATCCGCTTCAGCACTCAATATGGCAACGCACCGCTTTGACCCCAACTTCACCAACAATGTCATCAACGCGATGGGTCCCAAGACCTCGCCACGTCTGCGTCAGCTAATGACAGGGCTCATCAAACATGTGCACGACTTTGCGCGCGAGAATGAGCTCACAGTGGACGAGTGGATGGCGGGCGTAAAGCTGCTCAACTGGGCCGGGCAGATGAGCGACGACAAGCGGAATGAGGGACAGCTGCTGTGTGATGTGATTGGATTGGAGAGGTATATCTTATTCCTTTCCCCCCCCCAACGTAACTAATATATATTATCTGGCAAATGTTATATAACAGGAATTACTGGGTTAACTGATGACTGATGAGGGGGGAAAAGCCTCATCGATGAAATCACTTTCACGCTCGCCGGAGAAGCTAAAGATGCACCAACTGCTACTGCTATACTGGGCCCGTTTTTCCGTGCTGACACGCCATGGCGCCAGAATGGGGAGGATATTGTTAAGACGAAGCCAGCCAATGGGGAGATGGTATTTATGCATGGGCAGGTACTGGATTTCGCGAGTAAGAAGCCGCTCGTTGAGGCGACGGTTGAAGTGTGGCTGGCCTCGACCAATGGGCTGTATGAGCAGCAAGACCCCGAGCAGGAGGAGTTTAATCTACGGGGTAAATTCAAGACGGATGCGGACGGTAGATATTCTTTTTACTGTTTGAGGCCGACGCCCTATCCTGTCCCCAGTGATGGTATATATTTCTCAATCTCCCTCTCCAGAGGGGAGGTATATACTGGTTATGCCGGGTTTATGTTTGGTGACTGACGATAATAGGACCGGGAGGCAAGCTCCTCGAGCTGATGGATCGGCATCCCTTCCGGCCAGCTCACATTCACATCATTGTACGTTCCCTCCATTCTTTTATTTACAACTCTAATGCCAAATATCCAGGCCACGCACGATGGCTACCGTCCTCTCACGACACAAATCTTCGATCGTGAAGATAAATACCTGGACAACGACTCCGTCTTCGCGGTCAAGGATTCTCTCGTGGTGGAATTTGCTCCCCGCAATAACGACCCTCATGCTAGTCTTGAGCTGAACTACGATATCAAGCTTGTGATGTTCGATGCTGTCAATGGTGCATAGTGCTGGAATTTTATCTTAACGATAGTATACTATAGCGTTATGTTTGCGAATAGAAGCTTTAGGTTCTTGTGAAGCAAGATATGATATTCATGATTGTAGCCTCAACAACCACCAGTGAACAAGCAGACTCAGCAACATATTAGATATTCTGCACGTCACGCCTGGTTGAATATTAGGGCTTACCTTTTAGTACGTCTGTTCAAAGACAATGCCTCACCGGGTTCAGGCTGTGGTCGAGGCAGAAGTATAGTACATGAAATATCAGGGAAACCGTATGCGTTAGAAATCGCCAGGGGCCCAAAACCCGAAGACCTCCCGACGCTGTAGGTCAGGCTCTGGGGGTACTACTGTGGTATCCAACGTACATAGACGATGGAGGTGGCCTTATTCTTGGCAGACTAATTGCTGCTGTAGATCCAATCTCTCCGTCAGATTTAAATCGTAGGATATCCGCACGGACTATTCTGTATGCCCGAGCGCACCAATCGAGATGCTTAATTAAAAAAGGCTATCTAAAGAGATCATCAATGAGAGTATCTCTTAGTCTGCAGGTCTAGCAGTGGCGTTGTGGACTTTCTTCACCAGAAATGCCAGCTGAAGAGAAATTGTTTTCTCACTGGTCGTTGTTGACTCATTAGAACTTGTGGGCCTTTGGCGGCATTGCCCTGACTTGGGAGATATGGTCCTTCTCGTGAGGTTGTCTGTTCTCTACGGCGTCGAAGCTTTGGTCCACCTGATACTCATTGGAGCTTTTCTTATCCAAGTCGAACAGACACATCTTTGGTGCCATCGACATAGTATCTATGGTGCTGTGCTGTATCACTCGATACTTTCTTTTCTTTGGACCTTCTACTTTTTGGCATAGGGACCGTATAAAAATAGCTACTGTATCATGGTGGTATGGGGCTATGAGTGGTCCAGAATCACTTCTTTGTAAATAGACGTCTGCCAATCTGAACTTGGATATTACTGCATGTATCTTACGTGCTCTACTATGGCCTGCTCAGGAATAGTAATCTTCTTTGTTTACTCTGTTATCCAGCCCTTCTGAGTTGTTTCAGTAGCAGAGCCTTAGGTCTTCTACAAAAGAGACGCATTACACTATATTCCCACTAATATCAGTCAAGAAACCTATGATGACAGGAAGCTATCCAACCAAATGTTCTTTCAGAAATTCTGCTTGGACCGTTGCATTGCGTTCGAAGCCTTTACCAGTGTAGCCATCAAAGTGACCTCCTGGAGAGAACTGCAATTTCTTTGGCTCTCGGGCCCGAGAATACGCCTCCAGAGCAAGATCAACTGGAGTAATGACATCATTCTCCGCCACAGTCATCAACAGCGGGGTTGGTGCGATCCGGTGGATATGTGCCGAAGGAAAATACTCACGAGCAGCCTCGAGGCTGGATCAGAGAGGTTAGCGTCAGGGGGGTCAGGTTGTGTGGATTGATTGAATGTTGTGAAATTACCTTTTCAGAGTGATCTCATTTTTCCAGTTTGACTTCGCTTCCCACGCAGTAAAGAACTGATAGCTATCTGGAGTCGGGAGTGCAGATGGTTTCAAGGGATCGCTATCCACCACTTTCATCGTCGCAGCAGGCTTTCCTGCGGCTCGGGCCAATCTATCTAGAGTAACAATCAGAGAAAATGTTAAGCACTAGCTGCCCCCTAAGGTGACTTTCATACCTTCCTGAAACATTTTGTTTACTCCCTCCATCATGTCAGACCGTATGAGTCGATTCATATTTGCCCACCCATCTGCAAACGGCACATGGGAGAGCACCACCTTAACTCGCCGGTCAACTGCTCCAACCCACAGCACATGTCCCCCGCTGTAAGAACTTCCCCAGATGCCAATGCGGTCGGGATCAACGTCGGCTCGCGATTGTGCGTAGGTGATGGCGTCTGATATGTCGCTTGTCTGTTGACTAGGGAGGATCTCATGACGCGGCTGGCCTGCCTTCGTATCACTGTCACCAAATCCTCGGTTATCATATACTAGACAGCTGATGGGCAGATTTTGAGTGAAATATTCCGCAAACGTGTCCATTCCCATTTCTTTCAGAGCGGAAAATCCATGAGACATAACCAGGCAGGGCAGCTTTGTTTCCGATGCCTCCCCTGAAGGACGGAAGAACCAGCCTCGCAAGGTGACATGGTCGGCCGTTTGGAATTCGATGGTTTCACGAGGCATATTGTGTAGAGATTCAACGGGATTAGCGGGATTTGAGTATATCTTGAAAGAGGACGAACTGAGACGAAGTTGGGGATTTCTCAAGGTTCTAAAGTCCTGGCTGGGCGTTTAAAAACCACCCATGGCCGTTTAAGGCCACCCGTGGCCTTTCAGGCGCCCTAAGGAGGGATGCCGAGCTTCCCAATCAAAAGCATCTTATATCGGCTACTGCCGCATACCGAAAAGTAAAAGTCGATGTCACACCTAGGGCCAAGAATCAGGCGACCCAGATCTGAAAGGCTATTCCTATTCCTACGGTTAGCGTGGTGCGTTACGACAATACCCGTGTTGAGTAAGAAATCATCTCCGCTCCGACTTACGGCTTCGGGTGGGTATTTAGGCCTCTATTATTGAGCTACCAGAATTGTATACTAGTTCAGCCAAGGTATGCTATAATTAGTAATATCCTAACAAGTTGATTGTAGTTCAAGATAGATCAGTACCGGGTAAATTATCAACACTAGTTAACCATCCTAAGAATATCCGGTTGGATGATCTTGTATTGCCTAGCTTATTTGCATTCCTGTTATCCAGTAGGTCCTAGGATCACCCCCGTTCTACTATGACAGCCTCCGAAGCAAGCAGGGTTACGATACCAGTCGAGACACTCTCAATGTTCAAGTCGCCTGTGATCCCACCGCTCCCATCAACACTCTGACCAGCCCAGGTCACGCCAGTTCTTGCATCGGAACTTTGGCCCGTCAAGCGTCTGACCTTGAACTTGGACCCAAGACTAGAGGCAACGTTGAACTCCTTACTCGATCGGGGAGTTGTCTCGTTAAAATAATCCATATTCAGGAGAACAAGCTTCTGGATCTCATCATTGTCGTAAATAGCAAAATGCACAGCGGAACTAGAATCAAGCGATGGGATTGGCGCAACCCTGGGAGCATTGAGATCTGCTACGAGATCCGCAATGAAGAGCATGCTATAGTATCTATTTTCCCCCTGTGCGTCAGTCATAGGCAAAACACAACATATCTAAAGTGGACAGTACAGGAAACTCACGTAGGGTTAATATGGGGAACTGGCGATGTCTCCGTCGGCAATGGCTCCCAGGTAGAATAGTAGAAGTCGCCTTTACCATTATGGAAGAAGAAACGATCAATTCCAGCTGTGGCTCCGCTGAGTGCGTAGTCCAATTGCCAGAGTGCTGCTCCAAGCGTATTTGATACCCCGTCCTTTCCGTGGCATGCAACCGAGCCGGTTTCGCCCATGTGCATCATCTTTCCGAGTGGCTTTGCGGCGGATATTTGGCTGCTATATTGATCAAGGAGGTCTAGGGTTTGTTGGTGGTCGAGGAGGTTTCTTAGGTCGACTTTAGCTGCGTCTTTGTCTGTTTAGATCCGGAGATAGGTGAGAATCGGAATAATAACGGGAAATGGAAAATAACGATAGAACAAGACCATGAGGAAACATACCCGTGCATATATTCCAAGGATAGCCATGGACAGAGAAGTATTCAATTCCGGGAATGGACTGTGGTACGCCCAATCTCACTAGTTCCGAGATACTCATATCCGGCTTGAATAATTCCGGGCCTGCAAATGATGGGAACTGGAAGCTCGAAGCAGCCGACGAGCGAGCCCTGAGACGTGGTATCCATTCACGCATTTGACTGGCATAATCATTCACGTCGTAGTCTGGCGGTCGAAAGTCTCCATAGAGGTTCACTTCATTGCCTAGTTCGTACGCCATAACCACATCTTGGTTGAGGTACTTGAAGGCACCATCGATCTCAGCTTGAGCCAGGCTGTAGCTGTCTGTGGGGTGGTGAGAACTGTCAGCATCCCATAAATCAGGAAGAACAAATACATACTGTTGCGAAAATTGAGCCCGAAAATGATCGGAGTTCCCGCTGGCACGTTGTCCGTCAGGACATTGAATAAGTTCTTGTTGAACGTGACCTTGACTGCCTCGGTCCCCTTGGGGTCGTTCGGGTCGTTTAGCACGAGGCTACTCATTGTCTGGGTACAGTTCTCGCAAAAGCTAGCTCGATCTTGAGTATTGCCACCTATGCGTAGGACAGCCGGATTTTGAGACCGATCGACGACGTTCTGTAGAAGTTGTTTCGAAAAGGCATTGGGATTGTCCACGTCGCCAAAATAGTCGACTGCGTTCCCAAATCTAAAGCGATGGTCGGTTAGTGTCTTATTCAGTGGAAGATGGAAACAGAGGCTTACTCAATGGACAGCCCCATCAGCTGTTTATTCAAAGGCACGGCATCTGCAGCCGCTTGCTGAACGTTGAAGTGCACATCTGAGGGAGGCAATGGCGGCGTGTTACTGTCCAAAGGCAGTGCAGCTACGAACTTCGCTGTAGTAGTAGCCAGAAAAATGAGGTGAGTGAGCACCATGATGACGGTTAGGGTGGATTACAGCCTTACTTCCATACTCACCTCTTCAACATATACTTTTATATATCAACATCCTTGCGCTATGATACATGGAAGCGGGAACATGATTGACGGGGAAATCTATGCTTAATACGAAGAAATTCTCCGGGAAATAGTGTGGGGTAGTGCCCCCGCCGGGCTGGCTTTCAGCAATCCAGACATATCGTTAACAGCTAGTGGGTCAAGCTGATATAGTTACCCTACTAAGTATTCATTGCCATAGCCTTTTGTGGCAGGACGAGACTCAAGAAGCCCCATAGTGTTGAAGAGCCGGTGAAGGAACGCCATGTTAGGGAGCCTAAGTTAGGTGCCGCGTGGATATTGCGAGTGCATCATCGTCCCATTTTAGAACCCTTACTACAATTATCATGCAATATTTGATCCAAGGAACCATCAACCCCGCAGGACCAGACTCTCATCTTGGGCGTAGGGGGCTATAACCGGAAGACAGAAATGGCAGAGCATATAAAGGAAGAATGACGAAGTGAGCATATCAAGGGTCCCGCTGATCTCATCGTCAAATCTAACGGCGGCTTCCTCAAATCGCTGATGCAACATTCTCAGTAAAATCTCTTCCGTACCTCGGAGCTTGGCAGCTTTGACCTCCGTGTCTACAGCCCAATACGATACAACCTTCGAGGGAGGCAGATTGACACGGTGGGTTTCACGCTACATGCCACGAATGTTGTGTCTAAGTACCATGTCAGGATCAAACTATTCAGTAAAACGGGGTAGAAGTGCCCCGCATGATAGTTAATCTTGCCATCTGTGCTCGACCGTCATCTTCATCCCTGTGTGAGTTTGGCTGATGTCGGATTCGGCTATCGTGGCAAGCCAGAAGATCAAGACAGTATGCGTCCGTTGCTGGATGTGCCAGTATCCGGCCGATATTGGTGGGAATGCACTGTTCGCTAATTGATAAAGTCGAAGAGTACGAGGGCGGTTCGGGAGTCGCAAGGCGCCATCCTGGTCTACTGTCCAAGATCCTATACGAGGTAGTGGTCTGGCTCAAGGAAAGCATAATGCGGGACAAGCCCCTGAAGAGGTTGATCCTCTTGTCTTTGATAATGATGGTCCTCGTCGCAGGTCTCTGATAGCATTTGTATATCTGAGTTACCAAACGTAATCCATGAGCAGGTATCCGCTTTCCAGCATAATTAGACGACGATGGCAAACATAGTTACACAGCAGAGTAGACCCAAGAGCCACGATATGTATCGTATGAAGGACCGAATGATCCTAGTTGTCAGAGAGGGGTATTCTCAGTTTCGTAGACCGCATAGTGTTAGAAATAGTCTTGGAAAAGACATAGTGGTGATCAGTTGAACCCCGATGCACTTTGGCCACCAGAAGTCTAAAGCCACATATATGAGGCATCGGAAGCTCTGGGCAATGCTCTTTTATCCAAATGTAAGTTGCAGCTTCGCAACGAGCTTTTCGTTCACGTCACTAGGGTATTTGGATTCCCCTAGCTTGGCCGGTAACGGGAACTTAATGAGATCTCGCTTCTCTGGTTGCTGACCCTGTTTATTGATATAACCGGAATGCAAACGTTGAAGCTGCCGTGTACCCATTTGTTTACGTCTCCAGGCTCGCGGGTCTCTGACCGACCTAGACCAAGGTGATATGACAATGTCCTCGATATCTCCACGATTGCTGCACAATAACACAAAAAGCTCTATTCACTGCTGGGGATAGTCTAGGTCAAGTGGCAGGTCCTCCTCCTCCCCCTGCAGCTTTTCGATATCTGACTCCAACGTTGTAGTGGTACACCAAAGGAGTGAAAGCGTAGCCTTTTGATGAGGAATGACGGTGTTAAGATTATGTATTGGTGCGTTAAGACAACACCAAACACGGTTACTCGGACATCCAAGATATTAAATCAACCATGACCAGATATTTATCAGACACCAATGACAATAAAGCTAAGGGTCTCAGATTCTCCTGGGCTTGTTTCCCTCCGGGACCGATCAAGCCCAACCAGCGCTATCCTTAAGCAGATGGCAACCTACATCAGGCGGTCTAATGCGGCAGAATCACGGTGCTTCTGACCCAGTTTGTATGGACAAGTGAATTGAGTTATGCTTAATACCCCGAATGTCCCCCCATACATCAACACAAAGAAAATCTAAGTTGCTAAATAAAGAATAAATGAGCACAGCAAAGACACCAATCCTAATAGCCAATTGTATAATCCGAGGACCAATTACAACGTCTCAACTCGCCAACAGTATAATCCTGTTGCGCCGCGCTATGCTATAAAGCGTACATGGAAGGTCAGGTATGTTATATCACAAAGACCCACAAAACTTATCTGGTTCCTATCGTTGCCGCTGCCCGAACGGATTGCCAAAATAGGATAGAAAAAATGTTTGAAAAGGGGAAAGAGAGGGGAAAAAAAAAAAAAAAAAAAAGGCTACTTGGCCTTCAAGGTTTAAGCATGTAGCAATATTATACTCGACATCAATCGTCCTTGAACCTGTCCCCAGCAGCACGAGTCCTGCTCGTCCCTGCTGAAGGACTATGGAAACGGCCTCTCACTGAGCTCCCGTCGTGAAGACTTGTTCCGGATCGATTGAACTCAGGCCTCAGTATCTTTGAGCTGTCGCGAGATTCTAATCCATCATTAAGCTCAATCAGGTCTCCCACCCCTCGCCTTGAAGGTCGACTGGCTGTGCCATTTATTTGGTGGCCTTGTGTGCTCTGCTGCAGTTCGTTAAACCCAGCCTTTGCTCGGCTGGTCATCTTCCTAACCCAACCCTCGACTGCACCGCCTATATTATCCAAGCCGGTGGGAGTGTTGGACACAGCATCTGTCGTATACTCGGTAGAATCTTGAAATTTCGGTGGAGTAGGAGCGGGGGCAAGGTTCGGTAGATGCTGGGCAAAGAATTTACTCAAACCGTCGAGAGCCGGCCCAGGAGCCATTGTGTCACGATCAAGGGTGCCAACTCCCGGCCCGGCTAATTGTATATTGCTGCGTTGACGTTGATGACGCACGGCAGGCTTAGATTTGGCTGATGCTCGTGACCCTGACGAGTCCGCGTGAGGTCTATTTCCGGTTATGCGTGTATCGCGCGAAGTCTGAGGTTCAATAGCTGATGAAGTCGAGGATAATGTTGGCGTCCTCTCGCGCCCAGAGAATGAAGGACACTCGGAATCAGTATAGGAAACAGACTTCCGTCTTGAGCGCGGAAAGAAGCCTAACGCCCTGCGCGGGACACGGCCAATCTCTATAGGCGCAGAGAAGCCGTCAATCTGGACCCAGGACTCGTGTTTCCATATTTGGTCAGCTTCCACCTCTGAGGGAGCATCCGGATTTGATTCAGATTGTTCGCGAGGCCCTGAAACCGTACTCGGAGCTATTGAGCTCCCACTTGGATCTTCCAGATAGTCACGCCTGGAACTCTCAGCGTCCACCAGGTTAAGGTCATGCCGAATGGGTCGTCCTTTGACTGAGCAAGAATCAACTGGTAAAAGAACTGTCTTCCGACCTTGAATACTATCACTGGGCCAAAATCCATTCGCCTTCCTGAATATCGCAGGCTGACAACCGTAGCGTATCGTTACCCCCGTTATACTGTCCGTCGGCTGGACATGATGTACGTACGCCAGAGCTTCCTCGTCTTGGTTCGAACCTGCTGTCAAATGCCCCGTTCGATCACTAGAATCGCGTCGTTTGTGTTTCGTATTATGACTTCCATTCGTCTCTGTATCCGCTAGTAACAACGCTTCCCTTTTCTTTGCCTGAACAAAAGCTTGCCGTTCTTCCTTAGTTCCAGCACCAATTGCAGAGGTAGACGGTGCTGCCGGGCCCCACGACGAGGGTGTCACGTTCCGCGACGGATTTCCCATGTATGAATCGGGGCGCGAGGGCTTCCTGGCGTGTGTCCGTGCCGCTCCATTGGTGGCGGGCCGTGCAGTATCACTTCCCAAAACCGATGAGGCCAAGCTCTGTAACGATGACCAAGACGCATCCAGAAAGTCAACAGCGGCTCGCGACGACTCCGCGAAGTTAACTTGATTCTTGCCAGTATAGCTGAATCCACCTAACGAGGTGCTCGCACCGCGGCCAGGCGAAGATATCACACGGGAAGGATGTCTCATGGGCATTGGCGAATCTCCGCGGGAGGTGTAGGGTGACGGGGTGGCACCGCGAGACCGAGGCACTGGGAGGTCCGAGGACAGGGTGGTGGACAACCCAGAGGGTTCCAGCTGCCTTCCATTATCACTTTCGTCATCATCGGTAAACGATACCAAACGGCGAGGGCGTGATCGCACGGTTGAGGTGGACCTGCGGGAGGCGTTCGTACCATTTGTCCCAGGACTGAGGGTGTCGGCAAAGCTGGTGCTGGAACTCATCCCTGACGACGATAATCACGATTATATCCGAGGGAAGAGAATGTCATCAGCTCTCCTAAGGGAAAGAAACTCTGGGTGAATGATCGCCAAACGCAAAGCGCCATGGGAAGGCCCTATAGCACAACGTTCGTCATCCAGTCTCCGTCCCTATCGCATCCGTGTCCTTAAGCGGCGTTCTAGCGTGCTAGGGTAAGTGAAATTCAACAATCCGTCCAATAAATGACGATCTTCACACCGTGGATTGAAGTCCGGTATGACGCACAGTCCAGAGAATCAGGGACATCGAACTGGGGAAACAATCGAAAGCTGAGCAGGGAGTATTGGGGGGGTTGCGGATTAGTTAGTTGGGGCGCGGGATGCGGCAGGGAAGAGGGTAAATTAGTGGGTTTAACCTCCTTTGTGATGACGACTGCCCCCGAGTTTAGTAGCAAGTCTAGCAAGTCCAGACGTCGTCCACTCACGGTGGGGCGGGTCCAAGTCTTATGTAAAACGTTAAGAAAATGGGGACTGTAAGGCGCCCGCTGAGATTAGATAGGTCATTCAGGACTCTGCCAAGGGGAAAAATTAAGAGAAAGGGAGTGAAAACCCCCCCAAAAAAATAAGAAAAGGAAAAGGTTAAAAAAAAGTAGAGAAACCTAGGAAGCGGCGTGAAAGAAAAAGAACAAAAATTGTCCTCGGAATATTCGATCGGCAAGAGGTGATCCTTTCCCAGTCGAACTTGTCATGTTCTTATCATACCCATACCTAGGTTGCTATTCTGCCTCCAGTTGGCCACCGCTGAGTGATGTACGGTACCGTATTGCCCGACCAGCCGCAGATCGGCGAGTTCCCTCCATTTGTGGTGCAATGGCTTACGCCAACCCTAATACCATGACTTACTGCATAACAAATGCCTCTCTATGCACCGGATATACTCTATCCTGTCAAATATATAGTGAAACTTCGTACATCTCATCCATTGGGAGATTCCGCTAAAGATAATACGACAGACAGAGGGGCCGTCAAAAATACTCTATGGACAGTATTCGGACTTCATAACCAGGATGGGGTGGGAATTGCCACATATGATAGCCATATCCGACGAAGCCATTAAATATCCGGTGATATGCTCAAAAACACAGAACGCCATTCCCTTCGTGCTGTATACAAGTAACATAGACAGACGTCTAACACGGTAAGTTCACGAACTCAGACAGTTCACTCCGGCGGCTCCGCCATGTCAGCCGATGGCCGTGTGTCAACTTCAGATGTCGCCTCAGACTCCGTACTCCATTCTTTCTCCGAGCTAGCCTTTATGGATGCCTGCAGCTGTGCAGGCGGGGGGATAACCCGAACACCCCCAGCACGTGTGAAGAAGTCTTCTGTTCGAAGACCACGGACCTCTTTGGGATCGACAGTATTCATTTGGAGACCAGCAGCCTTTTTCTCACGTATGAGCTCTCGGACTGGTGCCATAGCTGCATCGCGACAGGCTTCCTTGATATCACTGCCTGACATGCCGGCCATGGCTTTGACAAGGTAGTCGAGGTCAAAGTTCTCCCGGTCTACCTTGGTATCTTTAAGTACGAGGCTGAGGATTCGAAGTCGTTGTGGTGCTGGAGGAAGGACCACCGGGAACTTTTTCGGCATCCGCCTGAGAATGGCTTCGTCGATATCCTGTATGCGGTTTGTTGCTCCCATCACAACAACCCGCTGGGGTTCACCCGACGAGTTCGCGGAGGTAAGGCCGTCCCAATGGGTCATGAATTCAGCCTTAACCATACCACTTGCCTCGTGCTCCCCACTCCGCCTCGTGCCAAGCACAGCGTCTATCTCGTCAATGAAAACAATGGAAGGCTGCAGTTTCCTGGCTAGGGAGAAGACTGCGTTGACCAACTTATTCGAATCACCGTACCACTTCTCTGTCAGAGTTGATATGTGTAGGTTAATGAAACATGCTCCACTCTCATGAGCAAGCGCTTTGGCAAGCATAGTCTTTCCGCACCCAGGAGGACCATACAGCAGAACACCCGACGGGGCAGTAAGGAGTGAAGACGTAGATGAATAGAGGTGAGGCATGGTTAGTGGGTAGATGACAGACTCTTTCAGCTCCTCGATGATCTCGTCCAAGCCTCCAATATCCTCGAATGATACGGGAATGTCGTCTGGGGCAACAACATCCATTGCGATCGCTTGTTCGTATTGGTTCAGGGCAAGGTCTCCGCGCTTTTGTCTCCGTCCCCGCTTGCCTTCTCTGCGTGGTGAATCTTCATCCGACTCTTCTCCGCCATCGAGTCTCCGTAGAATAGCAGCCGACTTACGTCGTTGCTCCTCTTTCTTTTGGCTTTCTGGGTCGAAATCAAGACGAGATAGGAGGTATCTAATGAGGAAGTAGGCAGATGCCGACTGAGCATATTGTGTTAGTCCAAGCAACACCAGGGGATCAAGTTTGACTGACAGTGCCGGCAACCATCACCAATTCCTGTAAGAATTGCTGCCATCTCGGACCGCGCGCTGAAGCCATGACGATACAACTGCGCTCAATACCAACGAATGATTATGTTGTGGCGAATAGAGCACGACTCTGCTTCAGGAATGCAGCTGCAACGAAGTACTCGAGGCCAACAGCGGGATGAAGATAAATTATGCGACGAACCCAGCTGAATGTTACTCGGGTCGGCAACGCAGCTGTGGCGCTGATCGGAGCCGTGGCTTTGCCGACAGCGTCACATGCTTCATTGCCTGTTGGTTGGTTTGCGGTGTCGTAGGCGGAGAAGGTCCCACCGACGCGCGCAGTGATCATTCGTCCAAGTTTTGTTGTCGTGCTAATCGTTGTGTACAGTACGAGTGTTGCGCAGCGCTTTTTTCTTTCTACTGTTCTGTATAAAAATATATAAATATACCTTCTTGCAATGCCACCGAAAAGAAAGGCCGCGGCCAAGCTTTCGAATCTAACAGAGTCCGACAATGAGGACGCGACGCAGGCCCAGGAACCACGCGACGATGAGCGCCCTACGAAGAAGCAGAGAGGGCGGCCTCGCTCGAAGTCGGCAGAGCTCAAACCATCAATCCAGTCAAAAAATGATACCACAGCTGCGCCATCCAAAGCGCCGGAGGCTGCACCTAAAAGGGGCACAAGAAGGGGGAGACCAAAGGGTAGCAGAGGCTCACTGCAATCTGTTAACCAAGAGTTAGAAGAGCAGAAGGAACCAGAGGAAGGGGAGGAAGTCGCTGGTCCTCATGTTCCGGAAAGCGCGCCTGCATCTAACGATGAGCTGGTCGCATCGCAACCTGCTACTAGGTCGACTAGGTCTGCAAAATCTGCCAAGCCTACAACCACCCGCGGACGACGCAAGGCAACTGCTGAGAAGCAAGTCAAAACAGATGGCGAATTTCAATATACCCCGAGGAGTACGCGACAATATAAGTCACCGGTAAAGGGCAATGATGAGGCTGAACAATCCACCAAAAAACGGCGGAAAGCTGATCCTCAGTTTGAGCCGGAAGAGGAGGTGTCAGAAGGTGAAAAAGCCGCGCCCGGTGTCGTTGAGGAGACCTTTCTGCAGGAGGAACCTGTGGAATCTCGCCCTATCTCCATGTCACCAGCTAAGCGTCGACAATCTACTCAACGTCCTCTGCAAAGTTCGCCACAGAAACCTAACGCGGAGCCGGAGTTAAGGCGCAAGATCGGAGAACTCACTAAAAAGTACGATACTTTGGAGAGTCGCTACCGAACCCTCAAAGAGATAGGCGTGGTAGAAGCAAATGCCAATATGGAAAAATTACGGAAACAATGCGAAGCAATGACGAATGGTTTGTGGATCCCTGCTTCCCCGGCGTAATAAGTAATATGCTCACTTTCCTAGCTTCGAACAACTTGGTTGCTGGCCTGAAGGCAGAACTGGAGGCGCAAAAAGCACTTGGTCAGCAGAGCCGGACACTACAAAAACAATTACAGGAGCGAGATGCAGAAATTGCTCAAATGAAATCGCAAGTTCAAGACGCCACCAGTCAGCTCTCTTCAGCTCAAACCGAGGTCAAAGCTTTACAGACGAAGCTTGCAGCTGCCCGGAATACAGCAGCGAGTCTAGAGAGTGCTGCCGCCAAGGTCCCTGGAAGTGCCATCAAGGGCGGTAACAACCGTGCTAATGCCGCAGCAAGTGCTGAAGCCGCGCAAGCAGCTCAGTTTGCACAGCTCAAGGAGGATCTTTACACTGATCTCACTGGTTTGATTATTCGTGATGTGAAGAAGGGAGACTCCGACAATCTGTATGATTGTATCCAAACGGGTATTAACGGAAGTGAGTATCTATATCTCCAACTGCACCAGAAATAATCTAATACAGAGACAGCGCTACACTTTAAATTGGCCGTGCCGCACGTTTCGTCAGCCAATTTTGAGAACGCAGAGTTTCAGTATGTTCCGCTCTTGGATGAGAATCGAGATCGCGAATTGATCGATATCCTTCCTGAATACTTAACGGTGGATATCACTTTCGTCCGTCAGCAAGCGTCGAAATTCTACACCAGAGTTATTGACGCTCTCACAAAACGGCGGACGAGCACTGGTAACTGATAACCTTTTACCGTTCCTCCGCTCCCAAACACACTCCCTGTGGAATTGGTTTTACTCGTGCAATCATTTTGCTTTGATAATGGGTTCAGTCCTTGCTCCGTTTCGCATGGTAGGAGTAAGGGCAGTGTAACGGCGCATCGTCCTTGGGAAAGGTATCTGGATAAGGAGTTAAGTGTTAATTTGGATGGTCGACTTTACGTATTCATTTACAAACATATACGGGTATGAGATAATGGAAACCTCGGTGGACATGTAGAAGTTTGGTACGCCCAGTACAGAGTACTATAGTAGTATATATCAGGGGCAATTGCGGAACCCGTTGGTGCCGTCTACCGTAGCCCGCTGCCGTGCTGTATTGAAGACCTCCGATTGGCTGCGGGTATCCCCAAGTTCCTCATGGTGTCAGGGACGCGGAAAAGTGCCATCTTTCATCGGAAGATCACTTTGAGGCTGCTGTCAGCTTGTCAGCTCCCCATTGCTTCACTTGTTGTCCTTCCCGGCTTTTTTTTTTCCTACTCAATCGTCTGATTAGCCGGTATTCTCCCACAACTTTTATTTATCAATTGATACGGGGCTAGCAAAAGAAACCATGGCGCGTGTCGGCCGCGTTGGGTTTCTCACCCTCGCGGTGGTCTTCCACCTAATGTACGCCTATTCCATCTTTGACATATACTTTGTCAGTCCGATTGTTAGTGGCATGAGATCATTCGGCGTGGAGAGAGGCGTCAGTGGTGCAGCACCGGCCAAACGTCTGGTCCTATTTGTGGCGGACGGCTTGCGCGCCGATAAGGCGTTTCAAGCATTACCTGACCCAGATGCACCTGCAGATCTCGAAAACGAAGAACCGATCTACCTTGCACCCTTTATTCGATCTCGCGCTCTCTCTTACGGAACATTCGGCATCTCCCACACCCGAGTTCCCACCGAATCGAGACCCGGCCATGTTGCGCTTATCGCGGGGTTGTATGAGGATGTTTCGGCAGTGACGACGGGTTGGAAACTCAATCCAGTAGACTTCGATAGCGTCTTCAATAGAAGCCGGCATACATGGAGCTGGGGAAGCCCGGATATTCTTCCAATGTTCAAGGAGGGCGCCGTTCCGGGAAGGATTGACGCAGACACATACGGAGAAGAAGCGGAAGACTTCTCGGCTGATGCCACCAAGCTTGACATCTGGGTTTTTGATAAGGTTAAGGAGCTCTTCGCATCAGCAAAGAAAAACCCGGAGTTAGATGCGAAATTGCGAGAAGATAAACTGGTCTTTTTCTTGCACCTTCTTGGTCTAGATACTACTGGCCATTCCTACCGTCCCTATTCGAAGGAATACCTGCGCAACATCAAGCTAGTGGATAAGGGTGTGCAGGAAATAACGCAACTTGTGGAGAGTTTCTACGGCGATGGCAAGACGTCATTTGTATTCACCGCGGATCATGGTATGAGCGATTGGGGAAGCCATGGTGACGGTCATCCTGACAATACTAGAACTCCGCTAGTTGTTTGGGGATCTGGTGTTGCAAGTCCCAGGTACACACACGAGGGAACCATATCAGGACATGAAGATGGAGTTTCAGCAGACTGGGGCCTTGATAGCGTTCACCGAAATGATGTTGCGCAGGCAGACGTCGCTGCCCTCATGGCCTATTTAGTTGGACTTGACTTTCCCACCAATTCCGTTGGACAATTGCCCCTCGGGTATTTAGATACCAGTCCTAAAGATAAGGCGTTGGCTGCGCTTGCGAACGCGCAGGGAGTTCTTGAAATGTATCGTGTCAAGGAAGAGCAAAAGCGGGACGCATTGTTACGGTATACGCCGTTTGAGCCTCTTGCGGATAGCGGCGAGACATCCGTGCAGGCGCGTCTTGAAAGGATCAAGACCCTAATTTCGAACCAGTCTTATGATGCCTCAATTCAACTGAGCTCTGAGCTCTTAGTCACAGCGTTGGAGGGCCTGCGGTACCTTCAAACCTACGATTGGCTCTTCTTGAGAACTATCGTCTCCTTAGGGTATTTGGGCTGGATTGCGTACGCTCTGACGACAGTAATTCATCTGCATGTCTTGCACGGGAAATCCGAGTCGAACCGCACCACGTTCAGTATCATGTTCTTTTCATCTGTCCTCGTTGCGCTCTTCTCAATCTTGCTATATCAGGGCTCTTCATGGCGGTATTACTTCTATGCGCTATTTCCCGTCTTTTTTTGGGAAGAAGTCTTCGCACGGCGAAAAGCCTTGCTTGCTGGTCGTGAGATACTCTTGGGTCATGTCCATTCTGTAAGCGGATACTTTGCATTCGCCATACAGTTGTTGCTATATGTTGGTGTATTGGAGGCATTGGTGCGTTTCGCTACCCCTCACTCATTAGTTTACGGCTGACAGTTACACCTACAGGTACAATCCTACTTTCACCGAGAAGTCTTCACTGTTTGCTTTATCTTGGGGGCCTTTTGGCCGTTTACCTACGGTATAAAGTTCCTTAGAGGGCATAAGCTGCTTTCTGCATCATGGGCACTCGGCTGTTTCCTCATGAGCATGTTTACCCTCCTGCCTGCCAACAAAGTTGAGGACATGATGATGATGTAGGAGATGACCCCCAGTGTTATAGTGCACCTCTGTTCAACCATATACTTACCTGACTTTCTTTTCGCGCAGTTCCTGTGGTTCCCTATTGATGTTCTTGACGGGCCTACTATATCTTATCTTTGAACGCTCTATCTTGGGACAGAAGCCCTCTTCCAATCAAAACTCAGCTGTCTCTAGCTGCGGCTCGCGAACTATTATGGGTGCACAGGTATGGAATCCCTCGTCAATGCCAATCACATTAGATTCCCCGCATGTGTGAACCACAACTTCTCGGACCTTTCATTTTATGATGATGTGGCTAAATCTGTCTAGGTTGGTATGATTCTCCTGGCCTTGATCGTGACCAGGTCAAGCGCAGCATCTCTTCAGGCCAAGAAGGGCCTTCCTCTTGGAAACCAGGTACTTGGGTGGTCTATCTTGGGTGAGTGCGGTCTCCTCTTTTCCATCTCTCAGGCTATTTTGATTAGTCACCCAATCCCTGAACGGATGCCAAAAGACATGTTAATACTGATACAAAATAAATATAGTTTCGTCGCTCCTGCTGCCGTTTCTCCACCGTCTGTATCCCAACAGTCACTACCTGCACCGATTAATGGTTATCTTCCTTACCTTTTCTCCGATATTCATTATCCTTACCATCTCATACGAAGGCTTATTCTACTTTGTCTTCTGCATGACTCTACTGGCATGGATCCGGCTGGAGCAGGCCATATACGTTCATACTGCAGCCCCAGCTAGGGAGCGGCATCATGGTGTGGCAAATGGCTCTATATCCGCGAAGAAACCAAGTACAGGAAACACTGTGGTAGTCGAAGGCCAACCCTACCGATACCGGACGCTAAGCGTCTCCGATGCACGCGTGGCGCTCTTCTTCTTTTTCCTCCTTCAGTCGGGATTTTTCAGCACCGGAAATATCGCATCTGTATCGTCCTTCTCGCTGGACAGTGTGTACCGACTTATCCCGATCTTTAACCCCTTTTCTCAGGGCGCGTTGTTGATCTTGAAGCTTCTGATCCCCTTTGCGATCATCAGCGCCAACCTGGGCATCCTCAACCGCAGACTGGAGGTGGCCCCTAGTGCTCTGTTTATGGTTGTGATGTCCATCTCCGATGTGATGACCTTAAACTTCTTCTACATGGTCCGTGACGAAGGATCCTGGCTGGAGATTGGCACGACGATTAGTCACTTCTGCATTGCCAGTTTCTTGTGCACCTTCGTGGCAGTCCTGGAGTTTTTAAGTGAATTATTCATCAGTGGAGTGGACTTTGGACACCCCGGCACCGTCGGATCCGCAGTTGCGAAAGCTGTCAATGGGTCCGTGGCGTGTGGGCATTCTCCAGATTCTGATAAATCCGGGGAGGATACCACACGCGTGGGGATCACCGCCAAGGCGGACCCGGATGCCCGTTCATAGCAGATATTCTGTATAATTCTCCTATAGATAGATTTCTTACCTTTTATTATTACCTTAATACATTATTCAACGATCCGACTTTTGACTGCGATCCATCTGCATCGAACGCCATTGCGCGCGGTCTGATAAGCATGCATTGTAAGTAATGAAACGGAATGCCGATCTCAATTAGCCGAGGCATCACAAGCCAAAACATGACGCAATTCAAATCTGAAGGAAAGGTGTCAGCGCCTCGACCACTAACGTGACTAACCGCTAGCGCTCGTACCTGTCAGTCATCAGTGCAGAGTCCCCAGCTCCCGCCAAACTCTCCGAAACCACCCTTCCCAAAAGCCTTAAGGTTTGAATAGATCCCGAAGCGAGATTGCGGGGAGCCAACCGCCTGGATTCCAGCGTGCCAATCGTGCTCCCTGTCAGGAACGGCGAATGAGGCTTTGCTCGGGTTCTCATACCACCGTTTGAGGACTTTCGGTATGGAGTGCGGTCCACGTCTGTGCGGAGGGAGGAGGATCCTATCCCGTCTTGGGAATGGACTGCGAGGGTGTGGGAAAAGGCGCCTGGTGATAGGTGGGTGGCAATAAGCGGTTGGATATCGGAGGATGAGAGGTGCGCGTTCTGGGGAAAGGATCTTGCTTTAGATTATCTGATTCGACATGCTGATGGATATTGAACGTTCTATATCGCATGATCAAACGTTCGTGGTTTACATAGTATATTGGATTGCGTATTCGTATCGTCAATCGCAGAAGCCGACCCCGGCACCTCACCTAGTAACACTGCCTCTAGTGCATCCATCCATGCAGTTCATGTTACTTTAATCCCCGGTCCGGTGATACGCAGGAACAGCGTTGTCGTCGGATCCGAGCAGGGGATGATGATGCATATTCTGGTCATGTGTACTTCCTATCGGCATATAGTACTCTATATATATATATATATATGTACATATGTACGCAATTATATATACATCACTAGTGTACTAGTATCCGGAATTGTGGGAGGAACTACGGTAAAACAAAATATATGTTATCTATCGAAGCATTACTCTATATATTTAGACATGAGTATTCGGGCAACGGGGATCAGAGAATCCCGATCACGGGCAATCGGTTAGATTAGCACGAGTCAAGCGTTTTAACGGACATTCCCATTGTCGATTTCTGAGACTAACCATCAGGGGTAAGTGGTGAGAGGTGATGGACCTTTAGTCGATAGACCGCCGAACTTACCGCGCGCTTGGGATTGGGCTGGACCTTGGGTCACCCTGTACCCCAAAAACTAGACCAATTCCAATTGCCGTTTAAGAGTCCACCTGATCTGAATGTCGTGCGGATCTTAAGTCCGCTGTTTTTGACCTGGAGGTTTGGTGGGGTCGTTGCCTAAATATTGATTGTGATCCTCACGTCCATGATGCCTCATTGCTATTCTTTCACATTGCCTACCTAATGTTGAATTGTATGTATATCGTTTCAGGTGATTGTTTCATTGTTGTTGGCGATTGCTACTGGTTTTATGTAATTTATGTAATGAACTGTAACTACAATCTTATGCGTTAGTCCTTGATGTTAGTCCTACGCATAACTTGATGATAGTGGCATAGTGGCGGAGTCTCTGTGGATTCAAATTACCTAAAATATAAACCCGTGTGGAGTTGAAAAATACATCAAAGAAGCTTAAAGCTCCGGTCAGCTTTTCCCCTTGCATTTAGTCAGACCTATCCAGATGGCTTTTAAAGTTGGCAGATTCATTCACTGAGAGACACAGAGAAAGAAGTTTAAAATGCGCAGGATGTAGAAGAATAAGGCACGTGCAGCAGAGATTCATTCACTGGTTGGATATTGAGTGAGTACCTTAAGGACCAGGATCTTGTTAGTAGGGTTGGGTTACATCCAGGGCGTCCGGTGTATTACTTTACAATACCGAGCGTGGGAGTGTGTGGCCTTGTGCTTTGGGTACAGAACACCCGTAGCTTCCATGCCTTAGCTCTTGGGTATCATACACTTACAGTACCTAGGTACTAGTACGAGTACTACTTACTACCTGCTTCATAGAGTAAGGTTTTGAGGAACCGCAGAAGACAGTTAAGAGATACTGTACCGTGTGTCACTCTACTATGGTAAACTCTAGGAGGTAACTACGTAACTTAGTATCTACGGACACAACCCAGAATTCCAGACATGGACCCTGGTCGTTTCTGGTTCCTTAGGTTAGTTCTCCGGCGCTACCGAGAGATTTGCCAACCATCAAGACTGTAGTGCAGCAGTAGTTTACCCGTCGAGCAACTGGAAACGAAGCAATACTAATCACCCTTCTCCACATCATCTATTTCCGGGATGGATGATCCGCCTCAAGTCCACCGTTCAGACTGCTGATGGTATTATTGCCACTCCCCGCTCGTGTTCTTCTGCCACCATCTAGAACGGAGTATACTCTCACTCTCTCTCGCGCGGCGCGCCCTCCAGCTTTGTTCTCCATCCTGCATTTTTGGAACCTGACCTGACTCTTTTTGGCTGTTTGCCCTCTCTCTCTCTCTCTTTCTCTCTCTCCCCCCTCCCGAATCAGTTAATTCGCCAGTCCCATTACAACTACAATCTTCTCTATAGAATTTCTAGGTTCCTGACAACCCCTTTCACCTTTTCCCGGGAAATTCTCTGTCCACATATTCCCACCCTCCTTGATTGATTCTCGGTCTCCCGTGCCCTCTCCATTTTCCCTACCTTACCCTTTTCACTCGATCGCATCGCACCCATTATTCGGGTGGCGGCGACCTTCGACCCGTGAATTTCCTTAGTGCTTTTACTTACACCCCCCTCCCCCAGTAACAGCTGAGCAAGAAGAAAAAGCGTTGAGAAAAGGACAAGAAGGGGACAACAAGAGTGGTCAAGGCACATCTTTCGGTTCCTTGTAATTTTCTTCTTTTTTTTTTTTCTCTTACTTTTCCAATTCTGGATTTATTACATGATTTTTATTTCCTATAACCTTGGCTATATACCCAATCCCTATATTATCGCCCTCGTCGCTCCGAACGTCTTTCGGTCGCGTTTTCTCTGCATGGATACTTTTTGGCCATGAGCACAACCGGAGAAAACCACACAGATTCTACTTCCAGACCAAGCCCGGCCCCGAGCGCCACGGGCTCAACGGGAACTTCAGGTATTACAGTGCGAGCGGGCCCAACCGGACACATGAGTTTCAGAAGGTGTGTGTGTGTGTGATGAGATTTCCTTTGCCCTGGGGGTGGTTTACCAAGTGTGGGTTTCTGCGCTGTCGCGGGGCTGCAGTGCACGAGGGGATGGTCGCAGACCACTAAATTTGAAGTTGGGAAGGTCCCTGGGTGGATGGGAACGGTTGAGATTTTAAAGGAGTACAAATGGATGCTAATCAGATTTATCTAATCGCTGTTTCGATAGACAACGTGCGTCGCGTGCTTGTGAGGTATGTCTCTGTGTTCTTATGAGGTCTCGACGCGACCTGTGAAAGCCTCGGCACCTCGGCACATCGCAGCTTTGCTTGCGGCCCCCCTATCATGCTATCTATCCATCAGGCAATCCTGGTGATGGGAGCAGAACGCAACCACGATAATGGCTTTATTTGAACATATTGTTTGCTAACGTCTTTTTCTTCTTATCTCGTGAAGACATGCCATGCTCGAAAAGTAAGTCCCCCCCCCTGTCGGGACTGAACATCTTCCTTTTTTTGGTTCCCTTTTCTTCCGGTGTTACCCGCCCGCCCTGCTAGGTCTCTGCAGCATAGGAGATCGCTAATCGCGTCATTTACCCACAGGTACGCTGCGATGCTGCCAGTCTAGGTGTGCCATGCACCAACTGTGTAGCTTTTTCGATCGAGTGCAAGATCCCCACGCCGAAACGCAAGAAGAACCAAACAAAAGCTAAGGAGAGCTCCGGGTATGTTCCCAAACACCGCGTATATCAAATTCGCTACCGACTTGACCCCAACATCCACTGATTCGGCATGGAAATGAATAGCAGCGAAGATAATCCCCAGAAAGAAACACCCAAGGACGAGCCGGCGACGACGGACGGCAAGGATGCCTTCGGTTATTCCAGTAATCGAATGGCCGTCGACGGTATGCCTGTTACATCACTCACAGACTCGCAGGCCGCTCAGCAAGCCACCCAAAATGGAGCCTATGCCCAATTTATGAAACCAAAGTTTGCGCGTGCCCCGATTAAAGAAGCTGGCCGGGTCGCTTACCTCGGCGAGTCCTCGAATCTTTCGCTCCTGGTGCAGGACCGCCATGGAACGACGGACGTCGTACACTATCCCCTCCCGCCCAATGTTCGAGGCTCTCGTGCTAGGTTGGCAGATCTGGATAATCTGGAACTGGATATACTTCATCAGCGTGGTGCTTTCCTTTTGCCGCCAAAACCTCTTTGTGATGAACTCGTCGATGCCTACTTTAAATGGGTCGCCCCCGTAGTACCCATTGTGAATCGCAGCCGTTTCATGCGGCATTACCGTGACCCCAAGAATCCGCCGTCCCTACTGCTCCTTCAGTCTATACTGCTCGCTGGGTCTAGGGTCTGTACGAACCCCCAGTTGATGGATGCCAATGGCTCGACAACCCCCGCAGCCATGACATTCTACAAGCGGGCCAAAGCACTCTACGACGCTAATTATGAAGATGACCGTGTCACGATTGTTCAGGCGTTGGTACTCCTGGGCTGGTACTGGGAGGGCCCGGAGGACGTTACCAAAAACGTCTTCTACTGGACGAGAGTGGCTATGGTTGTAGCACAAGGGTCAGGGATGCACCGAAGGTATGTTGTCCGCCTCACCTGAAACATGATCGACAACCATCTAACCTTCACAGCGTGGAATCATCCCAACTGAGCAAGCCGGATAAAAGACTGTGGAAGCGAATCTGGTGGACTCTATTCACGAGAGACCGATCCGTAGCAGTGGCCTTGGGGCGCCCAATCGGGATCAATACAGACGACTCGGATGTTGGAATGTTAACCGAGGACGATTTCATTGAGGACGAGATTGATATAGCCGCCGAGTACCCGCCGGACCCCGTGCATGTGCAGTTCTTCCTGCAATATGTGAAGCTCTGCGAGATCATGGGATTGGTGCTTGCGCAGCAGTACTCTGTGGCTTCGAAGTCGAGACGCATGAATGCTATGGACCTGACACACTCGGATATGGCGTTGGCAGACTGGCTGCAGAATTGCCCCAAAGAGGTGTGTTGGCAACGACAGAATCATCATTTCTGGGCCGCCTTGCTTCATGCGAACTATTAGTAAGTCTTACAACTCCCCGGTACGCTATACACCAGACTAACGCAGGTAACAGCACTACACTTTGTCTTTTGCATAGGGCGCACATGCCACCAGCTTCATCTGCTCCAAATAGTTACCGCGTAGAAGAGATGGCTTACCCCTCGCGCACGATCGCCTTTCAGGCTGCTGGAATGATAACTTCTATCATGGAAAACTTGCAGACGCATCAAGAGATCCGATATACACCAGCCTTCATGTAAGTTTGGTAGTGTGCCCTTTTGATACACAAAGTACTCACGGTGTCGCAGTGTGTATAGCTTGTTCTCGGCTCTGATCATGCACGTTTACCAAATGCGGTCATCTGTGCCAACGGTTGTGGCAACCTGCCAGGAGAGAATCAATATATGTATGCAGGCTCTGAAAGATGTCTCCAAAGTCTGGCTTGTGGCCAAGATGGTCCGTACCCTGTTCGAATCCATTCTGGGGAATAAAGCTCTGGAGGAGCGTCTCCAGAAAGCTGCAGGAAAAAGGCACCAAAGGGTACGACACGACAACACGGCCCAACATCAGCCCCCAAGAAAACCGGATCCGCCGAAGCGGAAGTTCGACGATATGGACCTTGGTTTGCCAAATGGGGGTCCCACACCGCCAGTCTCATATGAGCGCTCGCGCCCTCAGACACCTGCAGTGACTCCCTCAAGGGAAATGGGACAACCTGGATTGAACGTTCCCCAAGGCTCTCCTACCGGTCCTCCGGCAGGCAACTCGCGGGGTAATACGCGGCCGACAACTCCATTCAATGCTCAATTTTCCCTTCCTGCAACGCCACCCGACCTGTTCCTTGTCACGCGTACTTCACCCAACCTTTCGCCTTCGCTTTGGGAGAACTTCCAGCCCGACCAGCTGTTCCCGGATGGCACTGCCATCTTTCCTGAGCTGACTTCCCCGCAGCACAATGCCGTCGATCCACAATTGCAGATGTCGTCTCAGTTACAGACACAAGGCATGGATCAGCGACATATGATGCCTCATCAGATGTCCTCCCGAGGTCTTCCCGGAACACAAGGAAGCCCGGAGATCATTTCGAATATCCCCCCCGGGATGGGTATGCAAGGTCAGCAGCCACCACAGGTGTTCGGAATGGAGAATCAGCAGCCCTGGCCGATGGCAGGCTTAGAAGCAGCCCTGCATACCGGGGTGGAGGCTGCTAGCCAGGATGACACCTGGAGTAATAGCTCCCGGAGTGGACCAACCGCACCGACGACTTTGAACGTGGAAGACTGGTATGTCAAGTTGTACTGAACTGGATTTTCCTCATACTGATGATTTTCTGTCTTCTAGGTTCCAGTTTTTCGGCATTAATGGTAGCTTTGGCGACCTGTCAACTTGAGCATGAATATGGAATGTATATGCGATGACGACCCTTCATCATGACAAGTGTATAATATGTCTTTTTCTGCTTTTCAGAGGCTACTACATTTATCTGAGCCTCTTTCCCGGTTGATGACTTGTCTCATTGGCGGTGCACTGCCGGAAGAATCTCCCTGGCCCTCCTTGGTAGATGCGTGATAAGGTTTTGACAATCGCATGTCTATAAATTTGTGGTAACGCCACTGGCAGCTGTCTTCGCGCTGTATAATGGTCCATCCACAGGCATGCAGATGATCGCTACATAGACATAGGCCTCAGTAGGGTTGGGAAGAGTTGTTTCAAGGGCAGTTCCGTGTCTGGCATACGGATGAGGAGTTTGTGTGATATCGATTTGGGCTTTTTTTTCTGTTTCTTTTCTTTTTTTCCTCCCACCAGTTGCATGTGAAAGGGATTTGGATGGGCTCGAGGTGAGCTCCTGTACATACATAGAAATATAAAGCAAAGAATTTAAAAAGGAAATGAAATCACTCTGTATTTCTGCCTCAGGCGGCGAATGACGAAATCGACACTTACGTGGATCGGCCAATGAACGGGCAGGAGTGGGGAGGCCATCCTTACCGTGTCGGGTAAGATAGAATGAAGGACGGGGCGCTTCTTGAATGACTCTTCCGGGGAACAATAAATATTATCTTTCTTCTTCTCCCTTTCATCCTTCCATTGATTTGACAATCGTTTGGTGATACCTTTCTTCTCCCCATACCCTATTATCTTAGGGGTATTCGCCTCTCTCGCCTCTTCAGTATTCTATCCTTATCTCCGTCCTTGCACCCCTCTCTCCGCTCATCCCCGCAGCGATGTCGGCTTCAGGATCCGGTGCCGCGCCCGCGGCTTCATCATCAGCAACCAATCCAGCAAAAAAGGCGTTCCCAAGCGTAGATCTTGAGGGTCACAATCTTCCTCCGTCACCTGCTCCATCTAGTCCTCATACCGGAAGGCGCTATGCAATTGCCACAGAACTCGTCTATACCGACAGCGGTGACCAGTACAACGCTAGCAGCGTTCCCATCTACCAGGTATCGTCCTCGCGACCTTGAAACATACCTTGCTATTGAGACAAAGCGATCAATGTATCGATAGTGCTAACAAATATCGCTGCAGAGCGCCACTTTCAAACAGACATCCGGTGGTGGAGGCGGAGAGTATGATTATACTCGGTCCGGCAATCCGACTAGAACGCACTTGGAACGTCATCTAGCAAAGGTCATGTCTGCTCAGCGTGCTCTGGTTGTTTCCTCCGGCATGGCTGCATTGGATGTCATCACTCGGCTGCTTCGTCCTGGTGATGAAGTCGTGACCGGCGATGACCTTTACGGTGGAACACACCGTCTGCTTAAATACCTGTCGACCAATGGTGGTATCATCGTCCATCATGTTGACACCACCCAGCCGGATAAGGTGCGGGAAGTGCTGAACGAGAAGACAGCCATGGTTCTGCTCGAAACACCCACCAACCCCCTCATTAAGATCGTCGACATCCCTCAGATCGCTACCGCCGCACATGAGGTGAACTCCACCTGCCTTGTGGCAGTTGATAACACTATGATGTCTCCGATGTTGCTCAACCCTCTCGAATTGGGAGCGGACATTGTCTATGAGAGTGGGACGAAGTACTTGTCGGGTCACCACGATCTCATGGCTGGTGTGATCGCTGTCAATGACCTGGCGCTCGGCGAGCGTTTGTACTTCCCCATCAATGCCTCGGGCTGCGGATTGTCCCCATTCGATTCCTGGCTATTGATGCGTGGAGTGAAGACCCTCAAGGTACGGATGGATCAGCAGCAAGCGAACGCACAGCGTATTGCCGAATTCCTCGAGTCCCATGGGTTCAAGGTCCGGTACCCTGGGCTGCGGTCGCACCCTCAATATGACCTTCACCACTCGATGGCCCGTGGAGCTGGAGCTGTGCTGTCATTCGAGACGGGTGATGTCGGTGTGAGTGAGCGTATCGTTGAGAGTGCCAAGCTATGGGCTATCAGCGTTAGCTTCGGCTGCGTGAACAGCTTGATCAGCATGCCTTGCCGGATGAGCCATGCTAGTATTGATGCGAAGACGCGCCAGGAGCGCGCCATGCCGGAGGATCTGATCCGCCTGTGTGTTGGTATTGAGGATGCAGATGATCTGATTGACGATCTGACAAGGGCGGTAAGTTTGTCACTTGTAAATCCATTGTTGGTATTTTTTTTGGGTCTAATCCATTTCTTTAGCTGGTGCAAGCTGGAGCCGTCAACCTGACCTTGGATGATTTCCAAGCGAACACGACCACCAACTGATTTACGTATACATAATGTACCGGCGTGTTTTCTTTTTGGGTTCTCATGACGGAAAAATAAGTGCGTGGGCATGTCTCGGTGATACATTGATGCGGCGTTCGGAGCCTCTGCTATTTTTTTTTCTACAGTTTTCCTTTGTACAAAGTACATACATAAAGATGCTTTATAAAAGAAACAGTATCTATTTCGTATGTGTGATTTTTCTGAACTAGGTTCCCATGGCAATACTGCGGTAAAATGTTTTGGTCAGCAAAACTACGTAGGCGCTATAAACCGTATATCCGTGTCCTGGGGAATCAATTGCCGGGGGATCGCTCGGCCGGCACCGGAGCGTTTCCGAGTCCCCGGTAGGCCTTTATCGGCCGGTCCATTCTCGTCCGCGATGAGAGTCAGCGAGTCAGCATCTTGCTTTTCCCCCTACGCTCGGAAATTGAGATGTGATCTCCCATTAGTTTCTGCTTCGGCAGGATGGTTTTGTAATTTTGGTTAGATTAATCTCTCGTTTTGATCTTTCTTTCCCCTACGCGACAGTTGCCCTACTGGTGTTTGCATGACGTCTCTAGCGTCGCATTCCTTCGTTGAGGTTTATCGTTGACTCATACATTTGATATTTTTGGAGTCTACTGTCATTCTGCGCTGTTGAAGATTATGCCGGAAAATGCGATCTCTCCTGATGGAGCTCTTTCCATGCATGCTGTCACTGAGCGGCCAACATCCACTTGGAATACCAGCCGATTAGGTTCGCGACTGGGCGTGGATATCGCCAGTGCTGCCACAGCAGGAGCTTTAACGTGTCCCGTCATTACTGTTATCGATCGGTAAGCGTGCAATCTTGCTGGTCCTTTGCTGCCAATGCCTGACATCAACCGCTTGACAGTGCGATCATCGAGAAAGCGTCCAAAGGCATTCCCATCCGACAGACGATCACATCATGTTTCGGGTCTATGATTCGTCACCCAACGGGCTTCTTCCTCAGTACACCGTTTCTCCTTATATATACACTCTATACGTCGACATATTTAACTGCCAATGCCATTGACACGATCTCGTCGACTATGCGCAACCAACCGTTCTCCTCTGTATTTGCCGGAACGGCCAAGTTCCTCGCCACGACAACGGTGAACATGGGAATCTGCGTATACAAGGATGCCAGGTTCGCACGGATATTTGGCGCACAGTCCAAGCCTACACCATCTCCCTCCTCGACATCTGCGCGCACGACATCTGTCCCGGCCTCCTGTCACCCATCTGGGGCTGCCACAGTACCCAAAGTCTCATATGCCCTCTTCTGTCTCCGCGATAGCATCACCATCTTCGCTTCCTTCAACGTCCCCACGCTAATCGCGCCGTCGATCCCCGATTATATTGCATCTACACCCGGGATGAAGGCTGCGATAGCTCAATTCTCCTGTCCGGCCCTTATGCAATTCGCCAGCACACCGATGCACTTGCTCGGTCTGGATTTGTACAACCGGCAACCGCCGGGCGGATTGGGATGGCGCGAGCGGGTATCGCGTATTCGTCGGGATTATATCCCCAGCTGTTTTGCTCGCATGGGGAAGATCGTACCCGCGTACGGTGTGGGAGGTGTGGCTAATGTGAGGCTAAGATCTGCTATGATGCAATATCTCGAGCGGACGGAGAAGTGATCGCTCCCCCTGCTGCCTGTTCTCTGCTTTTCTTTTTTTGCGCGTTTATCTCTTGATCGCCTTTCTTAATCCCTTTGTTATCCACTCTCCACTCAACTCTCTTTCAGGTTGGCATCGGCGTTTGGTTTTCCAATAGGCGTTTGGTATAGATTTAGATCTACGTGTGACGACATCTAATGTTGATCGTCGTGGCCAGTGAGATGGTTGATCTGCTTTCAGGCCATGTCTGTCGATATTCATTGTATATGTGGTTGGGAATCTGCACAGACAGACGGTAGAATATATTAGGCTAATGTGTTGGATTGAATTGGAATTGCAGAAGTATCTTTTGAACGATGACTCGTAGAATGATAGATAGTATTACCTGTCGATTAGATTTCACAATTCAGTTGATATTGAAGGGTCATTGATAAACAATTCTATGTGGTTTGAACCTAAGAAGTCCTACCTATATCTTGCGAACTTCTTGGACTTTTCGATTCTTGTCGACGATCAGATGAAGCTGTCGGTCCTGCCAATCTGCTGAAGCTTCAGATGAGGTTGTTGTATGTTGAACAGGTCTGAAGGTACCGGCTCGGAGGCCTTCGGTGAACAGTTCATATGAAGGGTAATCTGGTTTAGTTAGCATAACACTCTTTCTATACATAGTTCTGCAGATGGAGGAAAAAGTCACGGGATAGCGTACAGCCATTGACAAAGTGAGTGACCTGTTCCGGGGTCATGCCCGTTCCTTTGGCAGCCAGGAGCGTCCTTTCTTGTTCCTGTCGCCAGTCATAGACGAAGTGTAGGTCCTGGGCATCACTGCAGCTCAGGTTAGATTCCACAGACGGATACTGAAGTCAACGGCAAGATCCGCAACCTGGAAAAACTTACATATGAATCAAAGCATCCAACTGACTGCAGTGGGTCATTCGTTAGCCCTTATACCTCCCACTTCACATCCAACAAGGAAGGAAACCAAACTCACTCAGTGATGAGATCGTATTCCTTCAGCGCATCATTGACAGCCCTGACAGCCTCAAACGGCACATGTCCCAGCCGTCCATCATAGTCACCCTTCTCTTTCTGCAAAACAGCAGCATCCCACGTCTCGCGCAAGAGCTGATCACTCAACGCACGGAAACCTACGCACCAGCCCTCGAAAATGACTACCTTTATTTGCGCCTGCCCCTCACCATTAACGGACTCCCATTGCGACTCCGGTACGCGATCACCCTGCCCCGCAAACGCCGATTTATCATACTGCGGAATAGCCGTGGCTCGGCCCGCGCGGAGAGATTCAAAGACCTCCTTGGCTAATGGTAGATCATGGGTACCCGGTTGGCCGCGATGCTGCAGTAGTGGGTTTAAGGGGTGCGACTTGGCGAGATTGACCTGGTCCTCATGGGTGAGGTAGAGATCGTCGAGCGAGAGCGTGATAACGGGAAGGGAGTATGGCGGGGAACGGAGAGTCGATTGTAGGGTGGACACCTTTTTAGTTTTGAACCATAACCGTTAGATATCCAACTCAACGTATTCCAACCAGAATGAGACTATTATTTCTCGCAATCAAATTCATACCAACACCGTCTTTCCGGCTCCCTGGACGCCATTCAACCCCAGAAAGAATGGTGGGGTTCTGGCCGGGTCGTTGCCGAATCGCTCTTGGTGGGCTTTTAATCGCTCCAGGAGGAACGGGATGCAGTGTTGGGATTTGTCGTCAATTATTTCGGGCATTTTGGATAGGTCTCTTTGTTTTTTTACTGTGCTGTTTTTGATTCTCTGTCTGATTTTCTCTTGCTATGGCTACGTTTGTTGGAGGGTGGTTTATGATTTATATGGGGGACTAATCTAGAAGCAAAGTGCATGTCGGAGGTGCGCCGAAGCGGAGATTCTGGAGATTCGAATGTCCGGGCGGTGAAGGACTAATATTGTGCCTGATGGATTAACCATGGGTCTGGCCATTGTCGTGGCCTTTGAACTGCGGACGATATTTTGAACATAGGATCTCGTCACGGGGGGACTTAGGGTTGTATTTAAATCTCATGCCTTTCAGATTACTGAACATTTGATCATCTAATGACCGACACGTGATGATGACGTCGAATCACATGTCTGAGTCAGCAAGGTGATGTGTTACCTGATTGGGATTAGTCTGTGCATTAATCGTAATGGTTATGTCTATTACATAATAATCCAGATGCATAACTAGTCTTAGCGTCGGCAGCCAGACAAGGGAAATTCTCATGCTGGAGTACTCGACAAGAGGTACACTGCAGTGAGTACAACGACACATCTATTGAGTGGAGATCTCTTTATTAAAACACACGATATATGCATAAAGAACACACAATCACTCGACAAAAAGACGGGGGTTCCCTATCCAGGAAAGATATATCGGCATGTGAAGGAGGGATCATCTGCCTAGATCCGCTTGGTTGTGTGGGAACCTCCGAGCTTCAAAGCAAGCAAAAAGATGCCGAGGTTCCAAAGCCATAGCGTCCTTGCCGAGCACCGCGACCGTCCACTTACTCCCCCAGATCCAAAGGCTTCTTCAACTCTGCTCTCCCCCAGACTTTCCCCTCATACTTAAACTTACTACTGACCTCCCTAAATCATTCTTGAACTTGGAATACTTTTTGTCTATCCTCCTCTCCTCCCCTCTTCTCCCTCCCTCCTCAAGACTATTGAAACATCCTGTGCGGAGGCACCACGTCATTACATTCTCTGTGTTTGCTTTTTTTTTTTCTCTTTCCTTTCTGTTCTAATTATACCCGTACAAGATGTCTGAGCTGCGCTTTGACAACCAAACCGTCGTTGTGACGGGAGCTGGCGGTGGTCTCGGTAAGGCCTATGCTACCTTCTTTGCCTCGAGGGGCGCAAACGTCGTCGTGAACGACTTGGGTGGTTCCCACTCTGGTGAGGGCAAGTCGTCAAAGGTACGAATCGAAGTATAGTCAAATGCAAGTTTGGGGATAGAGTCACTAACCTGGAGTCTTTGCTATAGGCTGCCGATGTGGTCGTCGACGAGATCCGCGCTGCCGGAGGCAAGGCAGTCGCCAACTACGACAGCGTTGAGAACGGTGAAGCTATTATTGATACCGCCATCAAGAACTTCGGCCGCGTTGATGTCCTCATTAACAACGCCGGTATTCTCCGGGATGTCAGCTTTAAGAACATGAAGGACCAGGACTGGGACCTTATCACCAAAGTTCACACCTATGGTGCATACAAGTGCGCAAGAGCTGCATGGCCTCACTTCCGGAAACAGAAGTACGGTCGTGTCATTAACACGGCCTCGGCTGCTGGTCTTTTCGGTAACTTTGGCCAGGCCAACTACTCTGGTGGGTATCCATGAGCAGAGACTATTCAGCGATCAAGAAGCTAACAGCACAATTAGCGGCGAAGCTCGGCCAGGTCGGTTTCACCGAGACCCTTGCTAAGGAGGGTGCCAAGTACAACATCATTGCCAACGTCATTGCTCCTATCGGTATGTAAAGAACATCAACGGTCGATTCTGACGGATGCTGACTGGAAACAGCCGCTAGTCGCATGACTGCCACTATCATGCCCGAGGATGTTCTGGAACTGCTTAAGCCCGAATGGGTTGTCCCATTGGTCGCCGCTTTGGTGCACCCCTCTAACACAACCGAGACTGGCGGAATCTACGAAGTCGGTGGTGGCCACGCGGCCAAGCTGCGTTGGGAGCGTGCTAAGGGTGCTCTGCTCAAGACTGACGACTCCTTGACCCCCGGTGCTATCGCTAGGAAGTGGAACGACGTCAACGACTTCTCTCAGCCCGAGTACCCAACTGGTCCTGCTGACTTCATGACCCTCTTGGAGCAGGGCCTGAAGACCCCCAGCGCCCCTTCAGGCCAGGAGCCTGACTTCAAGGGCAAGGTTGCTCTTGTCACGGGTGGTGGTAACGGGTATGTGTTTCAGCACACGGCTTGACAATGACTGTTTCTAACACTTTTATAGTCTCGGACGCGCCTACTGTCTGCTCTTTGCTAAGTATGGCGCCTCTGTGGTCGTGAACGACCTGGTCGATCCCGAGCCCGTTGTGCAGGAAATCAAGAAGATGGGTGGAAAGGCTGTCGGTAACAAGGCTTCCTGCGAAGATGGCGACGCCGTTGTCAAGACTGCCATCGATGCTTTCGGACGTATCGATATTCTGGTCAACAACGCCGGTATCCTGCGTGACAAGGCTTTCACCAACATGAACGACGATCTGTGGAACCCCGTTGTCAATGTCCACCTCCGCGGTACCTACAAGGTTACCAAGGCTGCCTGGCCTTACATGCTCAAGCAGAAGTATGGTCGTATCGTCAACACCGCAAGCACCAGCGGTATCTACGGTAACTTCGGCCAAGCCAACTACGCCGCGGCGAAACTTGGTATCCTCGGTTTCTCCCGTACCCTCGCTATCGAGGGCGCGAAGTACAACATCAAGGTCAACACCATCGCTCCTAACGCCGGTACCAACATGACCCGTACTATCATGCCTGAGGAGATGGTTCAGGCCTTCAAGCCCGACTACGTCGCTCCTCTCGTGGTTCTTTTGTCCTCGGACATTGTCCCCGGAACCGGTACCAAGGGCCTGTACGAGTGTGGCAGCGGTTGGTTCACGAGCACTCGCTGGCAGCGTTCGGGCGGTCACGGTTTCCCTGTGGACGTCAAGTTGACTCCCGAGGAGGTTGTGAAGAACTGGAAGAAGATCACCAACTTCGACGACGGCCGTGCGGACCACCCCGAGGATAGCCAGGCTGGTTCTGAGAAGGTCATGGCCAACATGGGCAACCGCAGTGATGCCTCCGCGGGTGGCAACGACATCTTGGCCAACATTGAGAAGGCCAAGCAGGCGACCACCGAGGGTTCTGCCTTTGACTACGTGGACCGGGATATCATCCTCTACAACCTCAGCTTGGGTGCCAAGCGCACCGACCTGCCTTTGGTGTACGAGAACAATGAGCACTTCCAGGCTCTTCCCACCTTCGGTGTGGTCCCTTGGTTCAACACCGCCGTGCCTTACAACATGGACGACATTGTGAAGAACTTCTCCCCCATGATGCTGTTGCACGGTGAACAGTACATGGAGATCCGCAAATTCCCCATCCCCACCGAGGCCAAGACCCTGACCTTCCCCAAGCTCATTGACGTCGTCGACAAGGGCGCCGCTGCTCTCGTGGTTGCCGGTTTCACCACTAAGGACGCTACGACTGGTGAGGACCTCTTCTACAACGAGTCCACCGTTTTCATCCGTGGCAGTGGCGGCTTTGGCGGATCCCCCAAGCCCACCGCGGCCCGCCCCAAGGGAGCCACTGCGGCCTACAAGGCTCCTCAGCGCAAGCCGGATGCTGTTGTCGAGGAGAAGACCTCCGAGGACCAAGCTGCCCTGTACCGTCTTAACGGTGACCGCAACCCTCTTCACATTGACCCTGAGTTCAGCAAGGTCGGTGGCTTCAAGACTCCTATCCTGCACGGTCTGTGCTCTCTGGGTGTCTCCGGCAAGCACGTCTACAGCAAGTTCGGTGCCTACAAGAACATCAAGGTTCGCTTCGCTGGCGTCGTGCTGCCCGGTCAGACTCTGAGGACCGAGATGTGGAAGGAGGGCAACACCGTCCTGTTCCAGACCACTGTGGTGGAGACTGGCAAGCCCGCCATCAGCGGCGCTGGTGTTGAGCTGTTGGAGGGGGCCAAGGCCAAACTGTAAATTATAATTGAACCGAGTACTTTCTGCGTGATGGCGCACTGATGTGATTAAATTGTGTACATAGATATAACGATTTTCTGTTTCTTTCCAATTTAGCAATCTCGTGCAAATTGAATTTCAAATATGCGTACTTTTCCACTCGGTGCATCTAATTCGCCATCCTATAAATTATATACCTAAGTCCTCCAAGCTAGGATTCAAGCAGTGTACCCTACCCTGCACAAGGACCTCGTTTTTTAATGTAAATAAGAAAGCCCAGGTTAGGCTGAAGAACACATTGGCCCCACCATACGATACGCGAAGCAAGATTCAAGATTTAATCTAACCTTCTATCGGTACCCACTACTAGCTCAAGCCCAAGTTAATGATCCTCCTCGAGCCTGCATTAGTTCGATTTTGTAAATTCCAGCATTTCCCACTCTATATAGTCCGCTGTTCAGCTCTCGATCTACTTAGCACCTCGGGGTGGATATCTGCGGAAGATAAATACCAGTGACTAACATAGGCATCCAAAGTTTGGGGGAGGGGGAACTCACATATGGACCTAAGTGTACTTGAAATACCCTCAGGGGCTGCTGCTGCCCTTTATCGTATGTGAGTAACTGTAGTGGCGTCCAGGTAGAATTTGGACCGTTGTGGTTTTCACCAAATATATTGGCCTCTACAATTATGTGCCCTCTTTTGCAGGAGCCGTGACTTTTGCTGTACTATTTTCCTTGACGACAGTAGTACATACAGCGCAACTATGGAGATCACAAGCATGATTTTTTATTCCATTCCTTGTAGGCGGATTGTGTGAGTTCTCTTTGCCTGAACACGGCTGAACGGAAGATGCGCTAAAAGTCCCTAGTTGAGGTGTTTGGGTACACAACGGTGAGTTTCAACTTCCACTCTTCTTGTCAAGTCTTCATAGTATTGATATATGACATTCTCTGCCTATAGCGCGCAATCTCGGCCCACCAAGCTCCTAATTATGCGTCAGCGCCCGCAATCGCGCAGATTCTCTAGAGCCTGGTTGCACCCTCGCTGTTTGCAGCCAGTGTATACATGGTATTTGGGGGGATCACCGTGTGGTCTGAAGGAGAATGATTAGCCATCATTCGGCCCAGTTGGTTACCAAAGTGTTTCTCATCGGTGATATTGTCTCTTTTTTTGCTCAAGAGGGTGGTCAGTTTGAACCCTTATTTCTATCTCATCTTCTCCATTGACCATATTTGCACGATTGATTACTGACCCAATCTACTCCTTAGGTGCTGCTACTCTCCAAAGCAGCTTTACACGTGGTGAGAGATTGATCAAAATCGGCTTGGTCGTGCAGGTTATATTCTTTGGCCTTTTCCATTTCTGCGCCGCCTTCTTCCATTTCAGGATTCGAAGGCATTTCACAACCCATGAACTTTCGTGCGCAATGCTATGGCAATCGCATCTCTTGGTGCTTTACATAGTAAGCGTCATAGTTTTTGCTCGATCAAGCTCTCGTCTGGCCGAATATGTAGGCGCCCAGGGAGATATTCTGCTGCAACATGAGTACTATATATGGATTTTTGACGCCACACTGATGTTTCTCACCATGTTGCTTTTCAATGTGTACTATCCATTGGCTGCCAGAGATGGAGATAATGATGTCCCTAAGGAAGGCGTTCCTCAGGGACTTGTCAAAAGACTGTCCAAAAGCGACATCATAAACCCTATCCGAGAAAACCCGATAATACACCATTGCTGGTTAACGGTTATTGAACTTGAAATTGTAATGTAGGGCGAGGTTGACTTATACTTATTACGCAGTGGATCTACTAGTCCTGAGTATGATAAATAGGTGTTTTCGATGGTCTGAGAAGGTAGATAAGAGGTTTACCTGACATATACTTCCATCGATATATTTATTTATAGTAACACGACCAAAGTGTTTCGTCGTGACGGGTAGGAAGTTCTAGATTCTCCGGACATCGGGCCCGTCGTACGGTCATGTAACGTAACACAATACCATTGGCTGCTGTCAATCTAATTCATTCAACCTCCTCCGCTCTCTCTCCATGACTCCAACTCCACTTGATCTCTAGGCAGACAATTAATCCTGCAATTCCTCGCGCGCACTCACGCTCTCCAGCATACCCCCTTACTTTAACTGCTTCCCGCCTTAGGACGATCATGTAGCAGACTCCCCCATCGACGCAACGATGGTCCTTTCGCTACCTGTCCCGAGCTTCTCCAAATCCCCAACAACAACATCAACATCAACATCAACCTCCCCGCCGCCCCTCCGGCCCAACAACACCAACCAGTCCACCACCATCAGCGAAGCCCTCCGCAACAACCCCTTCGGAATCACCTCGCGCTCGCGTCTAATCCCTACATCCTCTACTTCAGCCGCAGAACAAAACCGCGAACAAGAAGAACTCAACAACGCCCTAGAAACCCTTGCTCGAATTTTTCCGGACGTGAAGATCGAAGTCTTTCGAGAATTACTCGTGCGGTTTGACGGGCAGAGCCGGCTGCATGTCTGTGTTGAGCAGCTCTTGCGTCATAAAAAGGAATGGGTGGCCGGCCGGTGGAATGTTCCTGGGGATGACGCTGAGGCGGTGCCGGTGGTTGGAGACGGGGTGGTTCCACGGAATGAACGGTTTCGGACGGCTGAGTACAAGATTGCCGTGAGGACAGTGCTGCTGAAAGAGTTCAGCGGATTGAGCAAGAGTACGGTTGATGCCGTTCTGGCGGAAGTGAATTTCTGTTATGTGCGGGCGAGGCCGACGTTAAGGGATCTTTCGAAGAGGACGTGGCGGGCGACGTTTAATAGTCTTTTTCCTTCTTTTAAGAGCAAGAAGGATAAGGAGGAGAGTCCTTTGGTTGTGTGGCAGCGGCATGCGAATGGAGAGACGGCTCCCGCGGTAAAGGAGACGGGGTGTGTAGAGTTGGATCGGGAATTGCATGATGCTTTGCTGGTGCCGCTGCTGAGCGCGAGGAAAGTAGAGTGTGAGGATCGGGATCACAGGTTGGCGGAGGAGCTGAATGAGGGTGAGGCGAAGGCCGCTGGTGCGCTTTACGAATGCGAGTGTTGTTTATCCGATGTGACGTTCGAGCAGATCTCGACTTGTTCGGATAATATGCATATCATCTGCTATGGTTGTATCCGGCGGACGATTCAGGAGGCGCTGTTCGGTCAGGGTTGGGCGAAGTCGGTCGACGTGGAGCGGTCGACTCTGAAGTGTTTGACCCCATTCGCTCATGATGGCTGTAATGGGAGCTTGCATCCGGAGGTCGTTAAACGAGCTATCCTCCTTGACAAAGGCGGAATTGAGACCTATCTCAAGTTTGAAGGCCGGCTGGCCTCGGAGGCTTTGCTCAAGTCTCAGCTGAAGCTCATTCGTTGTCCCTTTTGCTCGTACGCCGAGGTTGATTCGGTTTATCATCCCTCGGCGAAGGGGATCACCTGGCGCTTTCGCCGGGATGGCGTCATCTCTACTATTATACTTGTCGTCATGATCCTTGACATGATACCTTTACTCGTCATCCCTGTGATCATTCTCTACATCCTAGACCCTTCCACCGTTCAGAACTTCCTGCACAACTCTTTCCTAAACCTGTGTCTTAAGGTGCGGCCGAAGAGGTTCACCTGCGCAAACCCATTATGCCAACGCATCAGCTGTATAACATGCCAGAAACCATGGCGTGACCCGCATGTCTGCTTTGAGCCCCTCTTACTCGATCTACGAGCCACAGTCGAGGCCGCCCGCACAGCTGCAGTGAAGCGTACATGTCCCCGCTGCGGCCTGTCCTTCGTCAAATCCTCCGGCTGCAACAAACTCACCTGCGTCTGCGGGTACTCCATGTGTTACCTCTGCCGTAAGGGCCTTAGCTCCCCACCCAAAGCCCCCCAATGGTTCCGCCCTAGACAACGTCAACAAGAAAATGTCAACCCAGCAAATGAACCAGAGAACGATGACCACAACATAGATGATGAAGAATTCGAAGAACCAGAGGGCTACACACATTTCTGCGAACACTTCCGCATCAACCCGGGAGCTCGCTGTACCGAGTGCAACAAATGCGAACTCTATCAAGAAGAAGACGAAGAAGCCGTCGCGCGTCGTGCGGGCGAGAAAGCCGAACGTGAATGGCGCATGCGACAAGGCATGGCAAGCGTCGGAGCCCGGTCTTTTCAGGTCAACAGGTCCTTTTCTCGACAGAACAGGTCAGCCGGCGGGATATCGTTGCCAGGTCAAGGGAAGAACCTGAGCTACTGGCTGGATGAAGTATGGCGGGAGGGCCGGTGGAAGATGGAAGGACAGGCCTTTGTGGATTGGGTGGTGGAACGAGTGGTGGTTATTGACGAGATATGAGCATTTCTTTTCCGTTATTTTCACATTTCGGGCCTTTATGGTTTTAATTAGATCGTGTTTTAATATCGGCGTTTGGCATTTGGGGCACAACAGACCCGTTGCATGGATTTGATGATGTGACGAGATATGACATTCCTTTGGTTACTTGACGTTCCCTTCTCTATTGGATTAATATACCTTTCTCATTTAAGATACAATACATACATCTCCCCTTGGTATAAGCACGGCTGTTCTTATCCTGCGATAGTTGCGTTTCGGAGGTGAAATGTGGACCTGGCCGTGCGAGCTGTTAAGGCAGGTCTGCTAATTGAGGGTTGGCCGTATTCAAGGGGGCTGCTAGTTGGCAAAGATGAACTATTGTGGTTTTCGATTGCAGCTAGGGACTAGGAGAACTTGGCACGGTTCTGATGGGAATCAACGCCGTTTCACCCCGGCCTTAATGGTTCTCAAGACAGATTTGGGATGCAGCCATCAAGGTTTGAGTAATGGATGGTGCTACCCCGAATCATTCGATTCAACTCGAGCCATAGTAACTGTACCCTGTTGGACGTTCCCTAATATATCGTCGAAGCGAGCACGATACGCCCCTTGCCACCCAGCGACAATATACTGTTATACAGATGAGGTAGGTTACCTGTCCGTCATTGTCGATAGCGACTCTTCCAGACAACCACCCCGGCCAGCTGTTTCAAGTCCATACTACTCATAATATCAAAGATGGCGAGGTCCGCACCGATCTCATTATGAAACCAGTTCTTGAGATCCAACGCCATCAACGAGTCCATCCCGTATGCATTAACTGGTTTTTCAGGACTGATTTCCACTCCGGCAATACCCATGATCTCCGCTAACTTGACGCGGATCCAACCAGTCACAAGAGATACAGCCTCGTCCTGTGATTCTACCGCCCCGAGTTCAGATGCTCGATCTATAGCAGTAGTTATGCTGGAGGCTTTAGCCTCCGCACTACTCCCTTTTAGTTGCCGGTCAATGGCGAACAGGTGGCGGAATATAGGGCGACGCATGAAGTGATGGAGATCTTTCCCTTTGGCTCGTACGTTGGATGGTAGATCAATGCCAACGATTACCTGAGCTTCATCCTGGGAAAGTAACGGCAGGCCTGGGTTACAGTAATAGTCTAGGAGGGCCATGAGGTCGTCCTGCGATATATCCATTAAGTGGCCCATCGATCGCAGGGATGCTAACAAGGACTTGTTCTCGGCCACAAGACCTTCTGAAACCATGAGCCCAAGATCAATAGCGACGGCCTTTTCTCCTGTACTAATTCTGTACCGTGCGAGTGCATCCTGAAAGGTGTTGCCCGCGGCATAATTTGCCTGAGCCATTCCGCCAAGAATTCCATTTACTGATGATAGAAGGATGAAGAAGTCCATGCCCTTCGGCAATAGCTGATGCAAGTTCCAGGAGCCAGCAACTTTGGATTGTGTACTCTGAGCCCAGTCATCATGACTCATGTTTCCGAAAAGATTATCCTTTGGAACGTATTAGTCAATCTGGCTCAGGACACGAAAAATGGAAGGAGGAGTGCATATGGAAACATCCCACCTTAAGAACCATCGTCGCCAGTATACAACCATGAAACGGAGGCATATACACCGACAAAGAATGAATCACTTCCCTGAGACCATTAAGATCACCAATGTCGACTCGCGGTGCAACAACCTGAACTCCTTGGGCTTTTAGCTCCCGTAGCAGGCATTTCGATGCTTGAGTCTGGGGACCAGAGCGAGACAGAAGAACCAGGTGACGAGCACCTCTGGCAACAAGCCATCGCGCAAAGCTTCGCCCCAACCCACCAAAACCACCAGCAATGATATAGGTAACGGCATTGGAAAGGTAATATCCAGGCTTTTTGATGGCATTTACCTGGAACATTTGTGAGTAGCTGTGTCAATCGACTGGAGGTTCGTGTGCGTTACATACGGCGATTGTGGCTCCTTTTCCCAACTCCACGACTTGTTTTCCAATCGCATTTGATTTGTTGAAGCTGTGGAACACTCGCTCAATATCTATGATAGGGGTTATGTTAAGGGGGCGTGGAGGCTTTAGCGGTTGACGGAAGTACAGCTCCATGGCTTCTTGGAAAACCTGATGAGCGGCGGATGCCTTTGTTCGAAGAAGTTCTGGGAGATTGATTGATGCCTGTGTTACATTCACGAGTCGGCTGCCTGGCATAGGGCTTCTGAAAATGGTCGATGATGGCACTAAGCTGGTATCGACGAGACGTCCGTGGGGAGCAAGATACTCATAAAAGTCAACCATATTATACTCCGCGAAAGAACCAACGATGACATCGATGCCTTTCCCTTCCGTACTCTCGTGCAGTCTGCTACTCGTATTAGGATCGTCGTTCAAGAAAACGTCTCGGCGCTCAAGACCAAATGTATCGCAGACAAAGTTTCTCTTGGTCTCAGAACTAACGAGTGCAAGAACGCGAGCCCCTCGAATGAGTCCTATTTGTATGGCCATCTGAGCGACGGTACTGGACCCTTGGCAAATCAAGAGGGACTCTGCCCTTTGAATCGCAGCAACACGAACTAGGGAGTGATAGGCTAGCCAGACAGCACAGGGTAATGAAGCTCCTTCAGCAAAAGTCACATCTGCAGGTAAGGCTCTAGCACCATCTGACCTAACCCGGACAGATGTGCAAGCCATAGATGTCCCAATAGCGCAGACACGGTCACCTAGGTTAAAGCCAGATTTACATCCAGCTACCGTAACAATTCCAGCACACTCCATACCAAGCTCAGAGTTATCAAGTTGCCCCATAGCAGTGAGGTAATCCCGGAAGGACAGCCCCACAGCTTTTACTTCGACGATTAGTTCGACGTTACTAATCGCCTGTGTATCACATGGCTTCTCCCAAAATCCCAAGCTATGGTGAGGGCCTGGTGAGCCCAGTTTGATGGACGCCTGAGCTCCACTGGGCAGCTGCCAGGGTTCCTGTTGGTATTGTTGCTTCCCCTGACCAACTTTGTGATTCATGGTAAAGTCTGCCGAGACACGGGGTATCTGCAGTAAACCACCTTTAACGATGAAGTTCGTCTCAAGATCACTCCGGGGTCCGTCCCGTATCCTCTTGATCATAAGTGAAATCAGGTCACTGCGTTGTTTGATTCTCATGTCAGAACCATCTAGAGCAAGTGTGACAAACACCCGAGTTGAGTCTTCGGATGCCAGCGAGCGGCCGAATCCCTCCACTAGACATTGATGCGGATCACACGTCCCATGTGCCTGGGTGATCCAGAGAGTGTTCTTCGATTTAAGGAGGGCCGATTGGAGCCTGCCGAAATCCTGTACAGAAATGGCATTAAGGAATGGTTTCCTCAGCTCTAGAAGAGATACCACTAATGTTGAAGGTGAAAGGTTCTCCCTGGCGAGGTTGTGGAGGCTGTAGGTGGGAATATTACCGAAATGTTCCACGAGTGATGCTGCGACTTGACACTGATCCTCAACTTCCGGGTCTACCATGACGGCTATATCGCTGCAGATGCCAGATACGCTGTTTGCATGAGCTACTCCATTGGCGTGGGCCGTTACCCTGGAGATAATGATACTGCTGTATTGACATTCAGAATATTGCTGGCCTTCGAATTCCATATCCACTCCCGAGAAACCTGCGTTCTTCAGTTTATGGTCCCATTGAGCAGTAGTCAGGCATGGACTGTGCTGGGACCGAGGCTCAAGTGCAAGGGGACTCCACCAGCCCTTGAGTAGCCCAAAGGCGAACCCAATTGGCAAGGAATCGGGATCCGTAGTTTCGAACAACAAGAGCTTCCCGTTCGGCTTGAGAAGCTTTCGAATATTCTGTAGAGCCTGATCAAGATTATCGACAGCGTGAAGGACATGGGATGCGATAATCACATCGTAATCGTTTTCCTCAAAGGATTGGGAGATCGGGTCGGTGGAGAGGTCGTAGACTTGGAAGCGCATAATATCTGCATACTCCTGGAACCTCTGTCGCGCATTTGGAAAGAAGGCCGGCGATATATCGGTATAATCATACCGGGCACACCTTTGCAGACCATTCCAACCGATGGATTTTAATACACATGCTGTTTGACCTCCGGTACCGGCACCGACCTCAAGAAAGTTCATAGATGGGTTTTTGAAGCAGAGATAATCAAGATATACTGTCACAGGATGAGTATGGTAGGGGTTTCCTAACATCTGCTGATAATAACGGTCCGTAAGGTCGTTTTTGAACATCAACTCTAGAGGGTCCATGATGCCAGAAAGTATATCGGTTAGGTTCCTGCCAATGTTCATAAAGAATTCGCCCTCTATACCAGTTTCTTCAACCAAAGTAATAGTCGTCTCGTGTTCGCTGGTGTTAGCTATTAGCCTTTGGGCCATTCTGCGAAGTTCAGAATTCTCCGGTCGTTGCTGTTGATATTTCATCCAAGCCATGTATCGTTTAAACTCCTCTGGTATTGATGGGCTGCGACCCTGATTAATGCTGGTGATGGCAATCTCGACGAACGTAAAGATAGCAAGTTTTAGGGTCCTGTATCGTTGCACAGAATCTCTGGGTTCTTCCGGTCGTTCACGCGAGCATTCTTTCCGGAGCTCTTCAACACTCATAAGATCAATATCAGGCCGCCACAGAAGGCGAGTACACAGATTACGGATAGTCTCACTTGCACTATTGGAGGTCTCGAGAGAACCAAGGAATGTAGTTTCCAAGCCCTCGATATATAGCAATGGTATATTATCGGACCCAGTTGAGGTTCCTATAATGTTGGCCGAGGACCCTCGGGCTCCACGCATGCTGCATCTAGCAGCGACCCCAAGACTGCCCTTCTGAAGAAGCTGGGGCCTTCTGTAGTTGATCCATATGCTGGTGGCGCGAGTTGGGACCATTGTAGGAAGGGCTTTCCCCCCCTTTATGAGGGCCGGAAAGAGAACTTGAGCCAAGCCATCGACGGTGCAAGGGTGGACGGCGTACTTCTGGGCCCATGTATCGGCGTCTGTCCTTGACTTCCAAGTGTCCATTTCTACCTCTGCTATTGCCTGGCCATCATCTCCCAAGCGTAAACCTCGAAGGTTCTGAAAGCAGGGACCGTAGTCTACTGCGGTACCCTTCAACATGGCATAGGCATCTACCTCTGCTTCTCGGCAGGCATCATGTACCTCTTTAATCCAGGGAGCAATTCCCCGAGTTGCGAACGGAATTCGAATGGGGGAGCTGCTTGTGGTTTGTTGGTCACAATTAAGGGTAGCACGAACAAGTCCATTGCAGCACTCCACGTATGAGCCATTCTCAATAGTGAAAAGCCTAAACCTTGACCAGGAGGTGTGAGCCATAGTTGAGCTCTCGGATGAGAGAGTGAATTGCGTCTCCACTTGGTCTGTTTCATCAGAAATGCGTATTGGGTGCAGGAAGCTGACGCTTTCGAAATTGATAGCATCAATACTTCCCGTATCTTCAATCAGCTGTCCCAAAGCTTCAACTCCCATCACGATCATGGCGGCAGCAGGTAGCGTGATCAACCCTTCCACTCTATGATCACGCAACCATAACAGTTCACTAACTCGTAGAGTATTTCGCCATTGTGCCTCTCTCGGATTCCAGTCAAGTGTACGGGTCCCCAGCAAATCATGTCGTGGTTCTGGGCGGAAACGAAAGTTCGAGCTAATTCGACTTTCCTTCCAATACACCGTACTATGGTCGAATGGATACTGTGGCATTCCCTTTGGCGTTGGCCTCGGCATATCCTTAAGTATATTTGCTTTCAGCAAGTCGACCTGTAACCCGGCGCAGTATAGTTTTCCGACTGTTCTAAGAAGGGCGTGATGAGCATTCTCACCCCGGATGAGCGATGGAATGTAAGTAGGCTTCTCTGGAGCGGAAGACGCTTGCAAGCAATCCGCTATTGGTCCCTGAAGCACACTATGGGGTCCGATTTCCAGGATATGGGTAACTCGAGGAGTCCAACGGTTGATTGAGCGACCGAGTTGTTTGCGGGGTCCCTTGGAATATTGCATCAAGAGATTGGTCATAGCTCCATCAAACTCTACCCTAGAATACATGTTTCGAATCCAGTACTCCGCATTTCCGATAGTATCCACCGCTGCGACATCTCCCGTTACCGAGGAGAGCATTGGTATGTGTCCGGATTCTCGGCCTTTTTCAAGGCTTCCAATTGCCAGCATGTACTCATCCGCAATATGAGTCATTGAGCTTGAGTGATATGCAACAGAGACTCGGAGTTTCCGTGTAAATATATTATCCTTTTCAAGCCAATGCTGCACCGTGTCCAGCTGTTCAGCGCTTCCACTCAGTGTGATACTTTTTGGACTATTGACACATCCAATCACAATGTCGACTGTGTTGACTTGCTCTCCAAGTCGCTCAATATATGGAAGAATATTGCCTTTCGACAGACCTACCGCCATCATGCTCTGATCAGGGCCATTACCTGCAAGCTTAGACGATAAGACACCCCTATAATAAGCAACCTTAATGGCAGCAAATCGGGAGAGAGCCCCAGCAGCGTACGCTGCGGCTATCTCCCCGGAGGAATGACCTAAAACAACTGTTGGCGTGACGCCTATGCTGGTAAGGTAGTCAATCAAGGCAATCTGGACACATGTTGACAATGGCTGACTATACTCGGGACTATCAATTTGAAAGTCGTCGTGAGCGACACTAAGGAGTCGATAGAGTGACCATGAGCAATTGAGTCTTTTCAAACATTCATCCGATAAACCAACACTTTTCTTAAACTCTGGATAGTGGAAGAGTTCACGACCCATGCCATGGTACTGACCTCCCTGGCCGGTAAATATAAATGCAACGCCAGGGTTCTCGTGTGCTCTAATCGGCCTCTGAACATTTGTGTTGGAGGTGCAAAGCCTATTGTCGCATCCACCTGATATTGTGAAGCTGCGCCACGATAGGTGGCTTCGCCTCTCTGTCAGGGTGTATGAGAGGTCTCGCAAGTCACAGTGAGCGTCCTGAATAAGTTCGCTGTACGCCTCAGATAGTTTCTCGGCCCCTTCCTTCCTAGTGGCAGACCAAACAAGGAGTTGTGGCATGTCACACCGATCTAAAGAGTCACTTGGTTCATCGTCATATGATATAGCTGTAATAGTACGATCAACGGGGTTTTGCTGGGCAGCTAGGACATCGCATCCTCCTTTCCGGGTACGGTGATGACCATGAAGACCATTGAGATGCAGGTAGTTGTACGGGTCGTCGAGGATAATAACGGTATTTGTGCCACCAAATCCAAAAGAGTTTACCTATCCGGGTAAGTATCTGTTGGAAGGATAGATGTAGAATGCGATTGAAGAACCTACGCAAGCGCGACGAAGACCGGATGTTGGCCAAGGAACAGGGCTTGTGGGAAACTGGTAAGGTTAGCCAATGAATAGTGGCTAGTGATAGCTCCAATTGCGGCAACATACACATATTGGCAGAGCCTCCGTATCGATCTGAGTACTGACTGTCTGGAACCTGGCGATTGGTGGGATCACTCCATTTTCCAAAGCCAGCAGGGATTTGATGACACCGGCAAGGCCGCTACAACCTTCCAGATGTCCAATATTCGCCTTCACAGCACCGAGATATAGAGGATCATCCAGGCTTCGATGATATCTAAATGTTTGACCAATAGCGGTTGCTTCTATCGGATCACCTACCAGAGTACCAGTTCCATGTGCTTCAAAAAAGCGAGTAGGTTGCATGTCAATATTGGCACGCCTGTATGTTTCCTTGATCAGGTTTATTTGGGACTCAAGACATGGTTGTGTGATCCCGGGGGTTCTACCATCTTGATTTGAGCCGGTATTACGAATAACGGCTCTGACAGTATCTCCATCGCGCAAGGCATGTTCAAGACGTTTTACTACAAGCATAGCTATGCCTTCGCCCCGTGCATAGCCATTTGCTCGTTCATCAAAGCTCCAGCACTGACCGTCTGGTGTTAGAAAATTAGCGTTCGCCATCATTTTCATAAACTGTGGGTGGAACACTAAGTTTGCACCACCCACCAGCGCCTAGACAAGAGTATTCTTGTCAGCATTCTAGGGATGTAGCGATGAAGTAAAGGTATTCAATGTAAGTTGGACCCACCATCGATGCGGTGCCCGCCCGGAGGTCTTGACATGCAAGATGAAGTGCAGTCAAGCTACTCGAACAAGCAGTGTCAATATTCATAGAAGTTCCCTTCAGATTGAAGAACCAGCTTATGCGATTTGCCAGCATGCAGGTTGCGATACCCATAGCAGCGTGGCGCTGTTCTGCATCATAGTCCTGCTGTAATATACTGAGATAATCATTAGTGAAGCTTCCCGTATACACAGACGTGTCGGAACCGGAACATTTCTCCATGGGTACCCCAGCTGGGCCATCATCGTCAGTAATTGATAGATAATTATAAAGGCTAGTGAATGTGGTGAGCTCACCATCTTCTAGTGCATGATATGTGGTCTCCAACGAAAGTCTATGCTGCGGATCCATGCACGCTGCCTCTGCGGGTGATATGGAAAAGAACGGCGCATCAAATGCACCCAAATTGCCTTGAAGGAAGTTTCCGCCCTTCACTGGGACCTGGTTGAATAATGAGCTTCGGTATCCGTGGTCTAATAACCAAGAGCATGGATTAACCATACAGTATTTTGCCTTGACTTGTCAGGGTGGTAGAATCCATTTATGTTCAACCGATCCTCAGGAAAGTCTGAAGCTGCTGATCTACCTTCCCAGATCATATGCCAGAAGTCGTCTTCTGAGGCAACACCGCCTGGGAATCTGAGGGCAAAGCCCACAATTGCCAGTGGTTCTAAGGGGGAATAGATGTCTTGACTTTCCTTTGACCGAGACTGCATGATGTTTTGGTCAAGTCTGCTGGTATATACGAAGTAGTTTAATTTTCAGGAAACGTATTTTCGAGCCACAATCCATTAAATAGCTTTAGTCCATGGTGACTGGCTGACCATCCTTTCTGTCCAACGCGGCATTGGTTAACAAACATATACCATTGCCGGCACCAAATTAGCCATTCTAAACCAAGTATTTTCTCTCTTTCTTTTGATTGGTTCTTCATAATAATTGCCCTTGTCCTTTTTTTTTTTTACTTTTTTCTTTTTTTACCCGCATGGACTAGTACGCATGCTAATGATGTACGCAGTCACAACCATGTAGAGTCCAGCGGGATATATTCCAAATCTAGTATATTTGCATCCACCCGAGTCTCCCCTTCCTAATATAATCCCTCCGGGCAAGTGGTGCGCCTACGCCTCATTTTCCTTTAGGAACTGCCAGTGACATAGGAGGCCCAGACTCATAAACCACGCTATTCACACATTAGTGAACTAATGCCTTTTGATTAGCTTTCCTAACCTGCTCCGTCACTGGTATCTAGCTATCATCAATTTAGCAGACAATATCTAAGCAAAATGCGACTCGACGAACCATTGAAGAACCGGAGGCTTAAGATCCTGTGTCTCCACGGAACAGGGACGAACAGCGAGGTAATATACCATTCCTTTCTTGATTCCTTTAATTTAACGACAAGAACAAACGAGCGTTCGGGGGAAGAATTGACACTTTTACAGGTTTTTGAGGCACAGACGGGTTGGTCTACCCTCCAACACGACCTCCTTCTGCTTACACGAACCACGTCTTCGCGACTATGTTTCGCTTCCTGATTCTGATAACGAGATTTCCGTAGCTGCTCTGAGATATCAACTTGGGGAAACCTTTGAGTATGACTTTGTTGACGGCGAGTACCACTGCTCTGCGGCCCGTGGTATCAGTGAGATTTTTGGCGACGATCAGATTTATTACTCCTATTTTGATGGTTCGGCGGATAGTGCCATGAAGGCTACTCGAGACCTCCTCGCTTATACAGACGAGAACGGTCCATTTGACGCAGTAATGGGATTTTCCCTCGGCGCCGCTCTGGCAGTCATGCTACTGCTTCATGTGAATCAGCTCCAGGCCGCTGGGGAACAAATCCCGGTCCGTTTACCATTCAAATGCGCCATCCTTCTGTGTGGGGTATTGCCCTATAGCCTGACTGAACTGCAGAGGGGACAGAAAAAACTGCTCCACCCTGAGGAGACTGGTGCCATCATTCGAATTCCCACTGTTCATGCCTGGAGTCCAAACGATGTGGACTATCCCGGACATAGCCGCCTGCTGATGCAGATGTGTGATCCCGCCAAACGGGTTGACATAGCACACTGCGTGGGACACGGCGTACCCAGCCGGGGAGAAGAGTTGATCAAGCTGGCGCAGGCAATTTGCAGCGCAGTGGGAGGTATTAGCGAGCTCGATATGTAACGTCGGATGAAGACGGAATCGTGCTGCAGCAGGTAGAAGGGATGATCTCAGGACGCCTATAGTTTGTTGAAACGTGATTCGCATGTAGTCTACCTTTTTTAGGGTGTGGCATGGTGTACGTACATATATGGACCCCACGAGCAAGCGGTAGGAGGAGGTTCCTGGTCTTAGACCCCACAGTGCAGGTGCTCCCGACCCGTTCAGTATTTAATAAATTCTACCCGAGACCCACCTGCGGCGGCGGGCTTTGGCTATAATACATTCAAGATATGAAATCTTGGCCTGCCTAGATCTATCTACCAGACCACGTCCCTGATTTTAGTAGTGAATACGTAACTCAACCAGGGTTTCTGAATCGGCGGGTGGTAGATACTCTATCTCGGGCAGATGTCCTATACCCAGACGTGATTAGCCCCTTATGTATATTTCTGTGCAGAGGGCCGGAAAATTACTCAAGGTATTCGGACTACTGAGGATACTTAAGCAGTTCAAACAATTTAAGCAATCTACTACGGAGTACGGAGCACTCCGAGAGTAGACTTAACAAAAGTAGTAGTTTTTGCGAAATTTCATTTTCATCGGTTGGTACGGTAGTAGGACTTTTTTTTTTTTTTTTTCTTACAGGGATCGGGATTTGGATTTTGGGGAGATTTTTACAGGACCCAAACATCAACGCATATACGGAGGCATGTACGCCTCCGTACTTCGGCGAGTACCAGGGAGTATTCTGTACACTATAACTACTAGATCTGGTTGGTTATATGATGTTGTGAATCCGTGAAATTAGCTTCCAATTCAATATTAATCTACCAGTACGTACCTGGATTAGTATGAAACGAATAAGTCACTTCATTATTTAAACCTTACGGCCTTACGGAAACCCATACACATAAAAAAAAAAAGGGGGGGGGGGGGGGAAAAAAAAAAAAAAAAAAAGGGGGGGGGGGGGGGGATGAAAAGAAAAGGAAAAAGGCGGTGATGCATTGTAAATTAGGGCTGGTGGGCCGTGGTTGCGCTATCTAATAGTTACATATATCCATGTCAATATCTACCATTCGGTGATGCCGCCATCCCAAACCAGCGACTAGCCGGCGTGTCTAAATTGAAGGATTCTCATTTTTCTTGACAGCATTTGCTAGTCATAATACTCATATGTTTCGCGTCTAAATATAGGTAGTCCAAGTCGGTCGACTTATTTAATAGATATGTCATCGGCGTGAGAACTAGGGTTGAACTTGTTCCTTGCCAAGCCCAACTGCTTAAAGCTTAATCAAAACTGTCGATAGAATTCAAGCCTCACATATGTAGCAGTTCGAACAGAATCTGTCGGAGCACCAGGCTCCGAGTAACAAGGGTGCATGTAAGTGAGATTCATCATACATTAGCGCAAGCATTGTGATCACAGCCTCAGCTGTATATCCTTGTACTTCTGTTAGTAATAGTACCCCTCCCAGGCTGTGTACAGGTTAAAGTCAAAAGTCCTCGTCAGCTCGGTAGCATACTGCAATGTCTTTGGCCAATGATCCCTTGGCTAGCGTTTTGTTGCCTGATGTTTGGTTACATCGCATGGTTCCCTGTAAACTTATGATGGGTTGCATTGATCTCAACATACACCAAATCTGTATAACTCCAGAATGATAGCTTTCCACCTGCATTAATGTGGAGAAAAACAAGCCGGTTGGACTGTGAACGCATTGATTGGCAATTGAAATTATAAGAGATGTTAAAAATCATATGGAAAGGAAATTGACAGCCGGCGGAAGGCCATGGGTGGCGTCACATTACCATGGAAAGGTCAATGGCAAACCACAGGCTGTGATGTGTTAACTTGGAAAGGTGACATAAATCAAAGTTCTACTAGTTCAAGCGTGAGCCACTATTCGTGCTATCTAGCTGGGTACAGTATATCTTGCCGCCTATTGGGGCTTTCTTCCCACCACGCTCCACCGAGTAAAGGCCCAACAAGCACCATTACGGGTCTCGCTCTCAACACGGGGCAAGAGCCCCTTCACCAATTCCATCACTTTTTCGTTTTTAGACTTGCGTGCCAAGATTTCGCTAATTAGCAAGTTGCATTCATGCATCGCAAGAGCAAGGTGTGGGGGTGCATCCCGGGACTCGGACTTGATATTCTCAAACCCCGCAGCCTCAAAGCGAGAAGAGAGGCTGGGAACATAGGTCGGACTCAGCCTTTTGTCCTGCCCCTGAGAGAGTTTGAAAAGTGTCTCCAGCGCCTCAGACTGGTTATTCGGGTTGGTCTTCAAAATGCGGAACGAGCTCATATCTACTTCCACCCATTGCAAGTACCCACCAGGTTCTATATATATACGGATTAGTTTCTGAGTAGAGTTCTGTATGAATAGGTAAAATAGGAAAGAGTAATATACTTAGCAGTTTGAGTAATCTGGTAAGAACATTTTCCAACTCCTCTTCTATCAGGACCAAAGTAAAATGTCTAATATGGACTATATCGTAGACACCAATCAGATCCTCCGGAGGATCTGTTTTGATATCCCACACGAGAGTGCGGATATTGGAAGGGAGCCACTCAGCTGGTGGGGTTGCCTCAAATGAGATATCTAGTGCATCCAGTTGCACTGTCTGCGGCAATCGCTTAGCTAAATCAGTGAGCCAGATACTAGTTCGATAACAAAATCAGTATAAAAAAATTCAGAGATATAGTAACGACTGACCCTGTTCCTGTCCCTACGTCTGCGACTTTCAGATTGGGATCCGCTGTAGGGATATCCGGATGGGTGTGATATCCGAAAAACTCCACGCAAAGGTAATGGTGGAGGTTGATTCTGAATCACCAGGTAGTGGTGTATATCTCATTAGTCGTGGGCAACTTAGGTATAGTAAGGATTATTTTGCTTCTGTTGACTAACCGATTGTTATCGAGGTAGTCACGCGTAAGGACATATTCCGGTTTCAGCGCCATCTTCAAGGATTGTAACTGGGTTCTAAAACTTCAAAGTTGTTCTCTTTGGGGGAAATTTTCTTTCTCTATTTCTTTCGTTGGCAGCAGAATGAAGATAACCTGGGAGGTCTTTATAGTTCTAGGAACAAGAGAGATGGGATGCCTGTGGGGTGACACATTAGGGTCTTTCAACCCAGGTCCGCAATGTCCCACCGTACGACGACCGAAAAGCGACTCCGTCATATAACACCAAGGAAATACAAGGTTCTTTTGCGGCCAGGCTTTCTTTGTTAAGCAATATAAAGTGGGGTCATCGGGAATCAGGGCGTCATATGGTTGGTCCGACCAAAACATGAGCGCTGCCAGCGTTGCTCGAAAATCTGACGTGAGTTGCTCTTACATTGACAAGGGAAAAAGCTCTTTAGGTCCGAAGCTACGGCGTTGGTGCTACTATAGGATGTTGTCGGCTAAGTAGGATATAGTAAAGATTCACGTCTCGTACTATTTATTCTGTATAGACCACACATATGATCGGCATCAGCCTAGGGCACGGCCGGTAAACTAGGTCCTTTTTCCGTGGACTCAGATACCTTGTGAAACCTGAAGTGCTGCATTTTCCATGCTACATATGGTATTACCCACGACCCCTCGACTAATGTTATCCTGAGGGGGCCAAAAGCAACGAGATCTGCCTGTCGCACCGTGAAGGGTCAAGCACGAAGCTCATCTGCATATTCCCTGGTTAGTCTCAGGCTGACCCCGCAAACCTATCTATAAACGGAAACTAAATCCTAGGGGAAATATGGACTTACCAACCTAGATCATGACAGGCTGCAAGGCCTACAGGGACCAAAACTGCCCCCATTTTGCGCTCGAGCATCAGGCGGAAAGCTGCGCCGGTTACTGTGACCTATCCTTGTTAGATGCTACCCTCATCTGCTCACTGGACCCCAAGTAAACATTCTCGGCCAGCATGAAACCACTAGATACAAGTCATATAAGGCTCTGGCTATTCTGCTAATTGCCTGTTTACCACATGTGAAGAGCTCTATTCCCACTTGCCCAACTCTCGTGCTCGCCAGTTTATCAACCATTTTGCTGAAAATGAAGAGTCGAGATACTAATAGGGTCTCATCAAGCCCCTCCCATGAGAGCAAGCAAGCTGTCCTTTATTCCATAACAATTATATTTATGATCCTAGAGACGATAGCGGTCATTTTACGCTTTGTTTCCCGCCGCATCGGTCAGGTCTCATGGAGCCGTGATGATACCTTAATCATAATTAGTTGGGTAGTGACCATCGCTTTCAATGTAACTATTTTGGGTAAGTCAAACTGCACGCAGAGGTATCATTGCTTTGGCATTGAAGGCTAATCAGCGTTCGGTCATTCGCAGTTGATGTCCACTATGGAGGCACTGGCCTCCATATGGCACGAATCATGGAAACTGACCCGGCAATGTCTGTCTATTTCTCCCAGGATATCATTCCTGTGGGGGTGACCTGGCTCTTTTCTGTCGCATTCTCAAAATTAACCGTATTAAGTCTTTATCTATCACTCTTTGCGATCAACCGCGTCACGCGATACATTTGCTACGCGACGGGAGCTATTATCATCTTAAACTGTCTGGGGGGATTTCTCGCTTGCTTTGGTGTATGCGTCCCATTGAAGGCACTCTGGGACCCTACGGTTTCAGGGCGCTGCTTCAATTTGAACTTGTTGCTTCGATGGATCCGACTCCCGCATATATTGTCGGACGTCATCATGTTGATCCTTCCCATTTCGCATATCATCAAGCTCCAAACCACTCGACGGATCAAGTTGGGACTTCTGATTACTTTTTTCCTTGGTAGTGTGTAAGTTCGTGCTTTCACACAACATGCCTTTCATCCAAAGACTGTACTGACGCGTCGTGTGTAGTGGATTTGTCTTTGGGTTGGTATGCTGGGTACAATACTTCATTACGGATGCGATAGCCGATAAGACATGGTCAGCAGTTGACATTTTCATTTGGAGCGTCATGGAGGCTGGCATGTATCTCACTGCTGCCTGCCTACTGGCATATCAGCCCCTAGTGAGCCTTATTTGGAGACAAATAAAGAAACGCCTCATGGGTATGTCCATAACCAAATCCGAGCAAGGCAGCACTAGAGACTACCAGATGGGATCGGGAAGCCATGATCAGATACCCGATGGTCGGGCCTTCGTGCCCTTAAACGATAAAGAGGAGTACATAGGTTTGGTGACAGTGGCCAAGGTGAAGCAAGGTCAACGTGATGAGGTTGTATGAACTAAAAGCTAGTATTTGTTGAACAGGAAATACTACTTAGGCATCTTCTAGATACTCATGAACGAGGGCTTTTCAATTCGACCCGGGCCTCAGTGTTGGACATCATAAATATTACTTCAGCAGCGTAAGAGAGACTTATCTATAACGCATAGATTAAATTAAGCTCAGTAGCTTATGTTAGGTGCCTGATTACCTAGGTAACTCTGCAACAACGGGATCTTATCAATTTCTGCTGGCAGAACTAATAACTATAAACTCGCTTAGTTTTACTATCAACTTAACTACTAGTCCTGAGTACTATATAGATATTGGAGTTGATCGGTAACCAGCATGTTTTGTGTTTGATGAGACGTGTAAGGGTACCGTGTTAGGCTGCATCAGACCCTGGCCTTTATCACTACATTAAATGTTTATCCCCTGAGGGAATACTGTAAATTATATCTACCCTGTGCGAAGCATTCGGTGCTTGCCATTTTAGAAAAAATTGACAATTATGTAGTAAACTTTAGACCAAAGTACAGTCGCATTTATCCCACGAATCACAAGTAAAGGCAGTAACTTATAAGATATATCTCTTGAATACACAGTATCATGGCTTGGTGCAAGTTCTGTTGTTGTGTGACTAGATGAGGATTCGCGGGGAGTTTTCGGATTCCCTGATCAACTCTAAGTATGATATTATCTCGGTCACCATATGAAAAAGAAACCAAAGAGTAACACCCCAATATAACGGAATACCGGATAGGAAATTGCCAAACCAAAGTATAATAATAGATATGGGATGTGGCGCATCAAGTTCAGGCTTACCCCGAGGCATGATCTAACAGCAATTCGTCGACATTCTCTCCAGATGTGACGACCGTAACAATCTGCATGGGCTAGTTAGGTTTGCCCTTGGGTTATTAAATAAAGCGCGTTCTGACCATATAATAAGCGTCTCAACCTCATTTCGTGGAGGAATCTAGGTGCACAGGAGGTCCGCCAGGCCATCTATTGGATGCTGTAGTGATTTGAGCTCCCGCTGACACCACTTTACACCTGCTCATTACCATATTCCTTATCAGATGGTCCACTGTTGCTGTCAGTATTCGCCGCACTAGTTGGATGGTGGGTTGACTGATCGCTTGGTAAGTGCGAAGGGTTTGGCCCATCAACGTGCCAGTTTATCACTTCGTGCCACGGGCCGGGGCCCGCAGCGGCCTCCCACTGATTGAAATCCTGGCTTGGATTAACAGTTTCATAATGAAACATGCTGAGAAAGCCATAGAATCCACACGCAAGGAGGGACCCCAGCAACGGTCCTACCCAGTAGATCCAGTGATATCCTGGGAAGCTGCGGTTGATCACGTCAGGGCCAAGGGCACGGGCCGGGTTGAGGGCACAACCGGTATAGTAGGTCCCTAAGTTCATAATCAGCTTTTGTGCATGCATATCTACACAATTAGGCATATTGACCGACTAGTTGGTTCACAAACAGGACCAGGCCAATTCCAACAGGCGCAAGAAATGTTGACTTTTGCTTAACTACAGCCAACATGATCACGACAAATACCAGGTTTGCCGTCAGGAACATTTCAATGAACAGGCCTTGGGAGATTGAAGTGCCACCGCCCAGCCTGGTCTGGACGTTTAGAGGTCCTGGGAATAGACAACTGACCACACCCGCTGATGCAATCCCCGCCACGATTTGAGAAGCAAAGACTAGTACACCGCGAACAGGATGCATGCCTCCACAGAGACAGAGGGCTAAAGTGACCTGAGGACTATTAGTACTAGTATCAAAGTCACGTTACTGACCAGGGGGTCTGGTCCGTATGTCAACGCTAGTTTGGCGCGGGAACGTACCACTGGATTGAATAAGCCACCCGTCACACGGTAAAACGTCCAAACATTGACAAGGAGAGAGAATCCGAAAGTCAGCGAGAGATACAGGAGGTTCGCGGTATTTGGTGGCGCTCCTTCAGCCGGCTTGGGGGTATTGGATACCTGGCCACCAGCAAATGCGAAGAAGAGGAACATGAAGGTTCCGACAAACTCTCCCACAACGGCCACGAAGTTATTTTGGAATGTATGGGGTACGTGTAACATAGGCAACTGTCCCTTCTCTGAACGGACGATGGGGGCCGTGTTCCCTCCAGGCTGGCCCCGTATGCGACCTGCTAGGCCTTGCATTATCGGAGTGGTCGACATGGTCGATACATTTCTGGAGGAAGTGTGATTCACACTATCGCCCCGTCTCGGATGGATCGAGCTCGGCATTCTTCTGTAGTCGAGATACTAAGTCTGATAGAAAGGAGATCTCAGCTCGGGAAACAACTTCTGTACGGCAAACCGGGAATCCACTGTTTGGAAACTAAAAAGGCCAATTGTTGACCATTATTTATAGTTGAACTCTCTTGTCGGATACCATGACTGGTGGGTATAGATGATATCATGAGCGCTATCTGCGCCATTGTTTCTAGTATCGGTATCTAAGCGTAGAGGACTCAGCGTGTCAGAAGATGAGGGCGTGGCAAGTTGACCGACTTGAACGCACTGGAGAACCAATCATTAGCTACGTAAGAAGGATAGCGAGTCAGAAATTTCATGCAACTTGCTCAGAGCTGATGAGCTAGTGGTTCACCGATGTTTTCGGTTGAGCAGTGGTCCGATGGAATGGTGCCATGTAGATTTGGACAAGATTTCAGTCAAATGGACACTCCCAGGGTACGATCAAGGAATGCCGCCTGTTCTACTAGGCTATAGGATAGATTGACACAGGTGGCAATGGCAATTGCATTCACAATTCTAGAACCTGTCCTCGAAGTTACCACTCTACTATCGTACGATCCATATGATATCAGCACTCTGCCCGATAAAAACCAAAGGTCTAAGGTTCTTAAGCAAAGGTGTCAGATAGGGTTGTACAAATCTACAACTAACTCTCCAGGTGATACTTTAGGAAAGACTAATTGACCAAACATATCAAGTTCGGTCTGGACCCACGCCAGGGGTGGGGCCGAGCTGGGTACGAATAGCCGTTTAACCAAGGTTCTTCCCACTGACCTTTCCGTACTGAACATCTAATTGCATCATGTAGTGGGCAGATTTTGTGGAAATACCGTCAGAACCCTTGCTTACCTAAGCCTGCAGACGTGAGGGCCAGGCATGTTGACAAATATGTAATAAGGAAGACTTCTGTCTAGGACATCTATATCTAAAGGCAGTCTGGTCATGTATAACAGAGTTAGAGGATCGCCCCAGAGGGAGGATAGATGCCTGCGGGAAATAGTTTCGCACAAGGAAAATAGGCATATTGGGAATAATTGCCGACTACGTAGAGTAGCATATACTAATTTCAGGTATTCCTACTAAGCATTTCACTCTACCTTGCTCACAGGAAGGACTCAAACTTGTAAGGAGCTCATGCCAGAAGTAATCTGGCTGTTAGAATCATTCTCGGTGTCTGTAGAGATCGGTGTCATGACACGCAGAGAAGACGCAGGAGAGGCTTTGCGAATACGTGGGGAAGGACGCTTGAACTTCCTGTTTCTTATTTGGTCGGGGGTAGCAAGTCGCTTAATTTCGCACACCTCTCTTCGCCTAGGAATTTCTCTGCCGGAGTCTTGCACCGGAGAAGTGGGCACAAAATAGCGTGATGCGGTATTTGTGTGACCAAGCGATTCCATACTGCCTTCTTTCCACTCAATCAAGGCGCAGCAAAGCTCTTCAAGGAACTCGCGAGGGAGATTGTCACTGCCCAAAAATCGCGACTTAGTCGCACTTCGCACCCATGTATCTATCACAAGTAGGCGCAGTGGGGACTTGGGCAGGGTATGAGAGTAGACATAATGGATTGTGTGGTCATCAAAGGCTGTGTCACTTTTGCTATCAATCCAAGTTTTGCAAAGGGAAATGACGTTGTTCTGCAGTTCCACCATTTCAAATTTCCCAGCAAGTACCCAGAGTTTAATCAAGAAGAGCACACTTTGGGGTTTCACAGCTATTTGACCACAATACATCCAACTAATGAGTACGGAGAATACATCAGGATCGTCGTCTGGGAAATGAATAGGAAGTTCTGTGACAGGACTCTGAGCTCGGTCCGCATAAAGATCGTCAAAGTAGGGCGAGTGGTCGCATAACAGTTCTAAGTGCACATCAAAAGGGGTATCGTCGGTCCCCACACTGATACGCGCTATCCCAGCAGTCAGAGTACTTCTCATTGATTAGTATGTAAATCTAAAGACATTCGAGCATCCACCCACTTCTTCGTGAGTGGCTTAGCCATTTTCAAGCTATTTTATCGGAGTATTCGGGAGAAGCTCTATGGGTGAAAAGTCGCAAGAGAGCTGAACGATTGATCTTGCGTCAAGGAACCACGATACGCCACACGAGGTTTCACCCTTCTAGAAGATAGTTCGTGTTAGAAATTGTGATCATATAGAGTTCTGTTCCATGCGCCCAAAGCCCCACTTGGAGAGCTGGTCTGTAGAGTTGGCGGAGCGAAAATGTCACGAGTCCCGACTCCCGAACGACGACAAAATTGATAAGTACTACACGTGATTCATGTAGTCACATGTCATACAGCAGATTATATTAAGCCACGGCTGCCATGCGCTTATATGAAATTTCGATAATATTATCTACATAGTAGGGTGCTAGAATACAGTATCCTTCAGCATAATTAAGATTATTAGTAGCACTTTAAGTTTATAGCTTCAGCCTAGCTTATTTAGAAAATTCTATCTATAGTAGTACCTAACTTCATTACCTCAATCTCGTAACTCAGCGAATGAATTTATGCTATCATAGTGGCTGCTGCGGTGGCTGATAGTAAATGACTTTTTGTTTTTTTTTCTGTGTCAAAAAGTTGACACCGAGGATCCGAGTTCTTCCCAGCCAACACCATTGTTATCGCATGCTAGACAGTGGTTGTGTGAAAATACTCGCATTCCTAAGGGCTAGGTATCGCTTGTGACACGCTACTGCATGCTGACCACCGGTAAACAGATCCGTTCGGGTCCATTAGGGTCGGTATAAGATCGCTGGCTCCGATCAGACAGTCCAGTCAAGGGGCGCCCTTTTCATATTGAAGATCGACCTAATCTCGGTACTACGGTCTGCACGTGTGTCAAATAGCAGGGGTGGGAGATGTCTGCTCGAGCAGACATCTCCCATCCCTGCATTTAAGGTAGGTCTGAGTCGGGTTCCTGTGACGTCAGGTGACCCCATGGGAGACCTTCTCCTCCTCTGCCTGGGCAGGGCTCAATGCAAGGCGTTCACTGCTCTGGTTTTAACCGTGGCGCCGGCTTTCCGTAAAGTACAGTAAGAAGTACAGCAAGATTAAATTATCATAGCTGTGATATTTTCAGAAGTGAACTAGTCGATATTCCGAATATATAAACTACTATATTTGGTCGATGATATAGCTTCACCATACTATGTGTACCGCGAGCTGTAGTGAAGATATACCGAATAAACAGTAAAAGTTGGCTTCTTCCTGCAGCTTTATTCGCTTCCAGAACGGTACTGTCCTAGTTTATTGCAATCCTTGTGTAGCTCGTCTCCGGGTTGCTGTTGTTCCGAAGGGGTTGTCTAGTTAATGATGTGAATCATTGCCCTAAAATGGTTTACCAGTAAGCTATAGAATATGTTAGAATAACAGCCATCTTTCTGAATCATCGAAGCATAGATACTTAAATTATTCATATTGCTCATCCTCAAATACGAATGAGTAATTCTAGATTGTATATAGATGTTCTAACTATCTGCCGCCTGCATCATGATGGGAATAGCAAGAGAGGATACAGTAGCTCCAACAATCTATATATTGTATACTTATAAACGATATCAAGATGTCGTATTGCAGCACGTCTTTATCAACAGCCAATGTGAGAAAAGTAAAAGGAACTGTAGATGAGAAAAGATTTAAAATAGTCCGAAATCTATAAGCCAACAATCTACAGCAACAGGAGCAACAATGACAATCATTCCCCATCACATATAAACAAAACCCTGACATAAGCTTCAGACAGAGGTGTGGATTGCCCTATCGCTGCCGATGCTGTTCAATTACAGGCAAATTATCACCAACATTGGCACCACCAGCCAATGGTTCGTTCTCCTCGAGATGATCGGTGTTAGTAGTCTATAAAACTCATTGCCACCATTAGCTAGTGCGTGGCATTCATGCGTCAAAATGACCTACTTGTGTATAGAAAAGAAGACCGGCTTCGAGTCTCTGTGGTAATGTCTGTCGACTAGGACTCGAAAATCTCTGCACAAAGGAATATATGGACTCGAGTTGATATATTTCGTTCGGAGGATAGTCGGATGCATCAAGGGACAGGAAATGGTTCTCAACAGAAGGAGCCGAAGTTGGATGAGGATTCTCGGGATCCTCGCAACCTGTATGCAAGGCCAGCTTTAAATTAGTGTAAACTCACAATAGATGGTCAATTATAACTATGGGAATTCCATACTTCGATCTCGGCTCCACCACTGACATATCTCGGGTTTATGGATTATAAACCGGATCCCAGGAACACACGCGACAAAGAGCGCTATGAGTGCAATGATTGCCCCGGTGGTTAGGGTCATTTTGTAGTAGACGACGGAGATAAGGGGTAATCAGTCTATGTGGCTTTAGAGATTTATATCACTAGACCCATGTATTTTGTTGAAAAAGTCGTTATACATAATAATGTAAAGCTTGATATTTATCGATGGATGCACGGAGACTCCTTAGAAGAGGCTGAGGTGATATACTACTTAGAGAGGGTCATTGTTGTAGGCCCAGTCGGGGCTAGCATACGTTTCATAATTCACCACGGAACTTAGGACTTAGGCATTGACCCAACTCGCTTTGACTGCAAGACTGACTGGCAAAAGGTGGCGCGGCTTGGCCTGTCTATTGCAATTGGTCACTCCCTTTTTAGCCTTTTGGATTATACATAGTGTGACCCACCCCGATCCACGGCCAGGTATCCTATGTAGATCTGCCCTTACACATTTCTACTATTCGGCTGCTGTAAGACAGCGAAGACAATGGACAGAATCTCTATGTCTTTCCCCAACAATCGACAATAGCGGTGCACCTAATCGAAAAGTAAAGTTTGTCATGGGGCGCCCAAACCAATCAGTCAGTAATGTCAAGTTAGTTCCTGTCAAATGGTTGTTGGGGCCATCTCAGCTCCAGCGAGAGGGCAGCTTGTCTCTCCTTGGAGGCTGTGATACGTATGTAATAGTAGGCAGACGTTCAGTAGAGCTCCGCTCTACAGCAAAGCTTGCACAATTACCGTGTGATCTCCACTTGGTACAAATTAAATTGGTGTTTTATGGTCCCAGATATTCTTATAATCTTGAGAGTGAAAACCCTGTAATAGATTTATAGGGGTAGTATTAACATCTGTACCCGATAGTTGGTCAATATCTACCTGGGTAGACATTGACCGTCCGAGCGTCTGCGCCCGTGCGCTAGAGCAGTCTCACGATATGAGCTGGCGTACAAGTTTTATCCTACCATTATACACAGCAACTGGAGACCATGTAGGATGAATTCCTTGATTAGATTGATTATTTTACTTCAATCCATCAATATAATTGTGTGGGAAGAAATCGCCTAGGAAGAACAACAGCGCTAGGCCTAAGTAGGCAGCGTCGATGTTTGCTAATTAGGCTTACATGCTAATGTCGGATGGCAGGAGGGAAGTTACTATTCAAGGGTTGATTGAAGATCCGCCATCAGCGCCAGTATTGGTTGGTTCTATTTCATTGTGATGGTTCTTCTGATTGGGTGCTCCGTCTGCGATGGATGGGGGCCAAACCTATTATTCTATAAAAGCTTCCGAGGTACCAACTGTATAGCTAGCAATTTCAAGACATCCTCAATGCTCTGTATAAATTCGCTGGGTAATTTCGTTAGAGAATTATTTTCTTGAGCCGCGACACCTTAGGGCGGACACCCAGAGAGCGTTGCAATCAACCACTCAGTCACCTTGGTTGTCAGAACCCCCACGCATGATCATGTCCACACATTTATACGACGCACTCGTTATTGGCGCCGGGTTTGGGGGAATCTACCAACTATTCTCCCTCCTCAAGCTCGGGCTGACGGTCAAGCTGGTGGAAAGGGCCGGAGGACCCGGAGGAACATGGTATTGGAACCGCTATCCGGGCGCGACAAGTGATACCCCTTCTCATCTGTATCGTTATTCCTGGGATAAGGAAGACCTCCAATCATACCCTTGGTCTCATAACTACCTGGAGAGAAAGGATGTTCTCGCCTACCTGGAACATGTTGTGGACCGCCACGACTTGCGCAGGTATATGCAATTTCATACGGAGGTCGTCTCCGCGAGATGGAACGAAGACAACTGTACGTGGACTGTGGAATCTAACCAGGGTTCTTTCATGGCTCGCTATCTCATCACGTCTCTCGGTATTGTCACGGAGCCGAATTGGCCGAATATCCCCGGGCGGGATCAGTTCCAGGGCAGTTTGTACCATACTGCTCGGTGGCCAGATCAGTATGATCTGAAAGGCAAGAGGGTCGGAGTGATTGGGAATGGATCGTCTGGTGTGCAAGTGATCACTGCAATTGTCCAAGATGTCGAGTCCTTGGTCTGTTTCCAACGACATCCCCAGTACATCGTTCCCGCTGGCAAACGAGCCGTCTCGCAGGAGGAGCGCGATGAGATTAACAAGGCCTACGATGGGATATGGCAGAAAGCAAGACAGGAGATTGGAGGAATGGGCGTCGAAGAGGCCAAGGCGAGTGCGTTGAGTGTCGTGGACGAGGAGCGCGAGCGGATCTACCAAGCCGCCTGGGACGACGGAGGAGCCTTTCGATTCCTCCTGGGTACATTCAATGATCTAATTCTTAATGAAGAATCCAACCGAACGGCATGCGACTTCCTGAAGAAGAAAATCCACCAGATTGTGCAGAATCCAGAGAAGCGCCGCAAACTAATCCCGAGCGAACTCTACGCCCGCAGGCCGGTCTGTGCCGATGGCTACTACGAGCAATTCAACCGGGAGAACGTCGATGTCGTCGACATCGCGGAGAATCCCATGCTCAAGTTTACCCGCAATGGGATCAAGCTGGCCGATGGAACTGAACACACGCTGGATGTCATTATTTGTGCCACGGGTTTCAATGCATTCGACGGGGCTTACAGAAGAATTAATATCATCGGGCGGAAAGGGAAAGCATTAAAAGAACACTGGAAAGACGGACCGATCACGAATATGGCGGTTGCAACAGCAGGATTTCCGAATCTCTTTATGATAGTTGGGCCTCAGGCTCCCCTGACTAATGTGCCCCCAGCCATTGAAGCCCACGTTGAGTTCATTACCAGGGCCATATCGCGTGCGGAAGAACATCGCAGGGAGCAGAGTACTTTGCTGTCTCCGGATAAGAGTGTAATCGAATCCACAGAGGGAGGGGAAGCCGCATGGGGTGTATTGTGCAATGCTATCAGCGAGGCGGCGCTGTTTAGAACAGCGGCATCGTACTTTAATGGCGTGAATATCGATGGTAAGCCACGGTCTGTGTATATCTTCATAGGCGGATTAAATATGTTTCTACAGAAGCTGAAGGAGTGTGAGGAGAGTGAATACTCTTCTTTTCATCCGTTCTAGACCTGCGACACTGGGAAGGTGTTCTATAGCCTCTTCTTGTTATCTACCGGGTTATATTTCTACTTATAAATGAATTTATTTTCTAAACGTATAGTAAAGCCGACACACTGGACTGCTGACTCTCGGTAGCATTTCTTAAGTGAATACGAGCTTGAACAAGGCACTGGTTCCTTCACACCTAGTAATGACATAAAAGTCTGCAATACGTATGTATATGGTGTAATGTAATACTCTACTCTAATATATTATCTCAAACGGACACGGACTAAGGCGACAGGTCAGGGGAGGGTTAATGTTGATTATGTACTATGACCTGTATTAGGTTTTCCCTAAACCACACTCAGTGAAATAGGTATGACACTGTTCCGCACAGATTCTGAACTAGGGCACTGGACCTACTAGTTTGACTATTTAGACCCCTCTTCTTACTTTCTTTAAATGAGAGCAATTATCATGGCGTGTACCTATCCTCCCAGGGTATCCCGCTTGGGATGAGCTACCAAGTCTCACAATCTCTTACGACGTCTGCGTCTCAGTTCAGTTGGAAGACCAGGAGTCGAGACGGCAGAGATTGGCCGTGCTTTCCAGGATGTAAAAATATGCGATAGTAATACGTACCCACTTGTCATGAGGTGTATTTTTGTCATGTTAGGTGATTAAATGGCAAATGGATTGAGCGCCAAACTTGGTTAACCAACCAACTAAGTGGAGAACTCGATCTTATCAATCGCATGTTTGTCCCCACCATGGCCTCTCTATCAATCTAAGCCAGAACTTTCAAGTCTACTAGTCGCGGGATGGAATTAGGCAGCCATTTATTATTCTCAAAGCCATCACATTTTCTGTGCACAGGAGTACAATGATTCAAAGGGGCTTTATTCAGCTGTGTATGTTATGTTAATCTTGGTGATGAATTATGAAAGCCAACTCTATACTATGTAAAAGCAACTACTCCGTACTCTCAGCTTTATTCAAAATCAAATTATTTGAACCGCCTCTTCAAACTATAGGTCCCTGACTCAGGGTTCTTGAACCTGGCGAAACTTACCAATTTTGGCCCCAGTGGGGAACTCTAGTGCCGACTAATATAATTTGGTCGCAATACCTCCACGGAACCTAAGACATGCTTCGCTTCGTACAATAAGCCCTTTGCCACAACAGCTCTGGCATTGTTCTAAAGACTGCCTGAATGAATTGATGGCACATAACCTCAATCTATTGATGGCCCATGGTGGGACTAGGTTTGAGCCATATCAGTGGAATGGGTACTTTCAAGTATCAGGTCCCTTTCAGGCCGATTTCGACATTCCTCTCAACCGGTTTCTCAATGTTTCACCTTGAGGGTTTCGATCTTATCTCGGCCCACTTCTGGATTCAAGGCAACTTTTTTTTCTTTTCGGTAAGACTGCCGAGATTGGCTAAGAGGCCGGTCTCCAGATTGACCGTAACGCTCCTAGACTACCAGACTTCATTGATCGGGTATTTACGGATGGAGAAGAGAGACCATTTCAATCAGTAGATGTATGTGGAGGCAGAGTCGTAGCTTGAGTCAATAGATGTTCCAAGTGCAAGAGTAACTCTGAGAGGGTTTTCTGGGCGTGCGACACACACGAGCCCGGCGTATACACAATCTGTTCACCAGGCCCATCTGCAATGCTTGTACAGAAAGCTTGATGGGACTTGTTTTGTGGGTTCGGTAGTAGTTCCTACTGGTAAAAATCTTTGGTGGATTCATGTAAAAGCCGCTGGCCTCAAATCATTAGTTGGTCTAGAGCCACAGTCCCACCACTCTACGCCAAAAGTGGTATCGACTGGAAGGCGAATTCCATTACTTAGTGATTTCTTTCAAAGAGCAATAACGCGAAAAATTCTCAAAGTCAGAGTGGGGAGACCACGGGATGGAGACCATCAAATGACCACGTACTAGAGTTATAAGAACCCCATATTCCAGTTTTGGCTTCAACATCGATCAAGGTATTTGTGATTATTGAGAGCAGCTTTGATAGCCTTTATCCAAATGACTACCCATAAGGATTCCCCCTCTATTGGGGTCAATGAGGATCCGATGACGGTGAGCTCAGACATCCCTGCGGTGGCCACCGAGAATCAGGACCAACAAGACGGTGTTCGAGTCGCTGAGGCAGTGACTGCCTCCTGGTCCAAGAAATCCCTCATCATAACATATGCCTCGTGAGTAATCTTCGTGTGTTCCCTAATCTCATCTTTCGCTGAGTAACTCACAGCATGTGGATGCTATACTTTGTCAACGGCCTAAACAACAATCTAACCTCCAACCTCTCGGCATATATTACGAGTGGTTTCTCGGAACACTCGCTGTTGACGGTCATCAGCGTTGTGACCAGTGTGATGGGTGCTGCATGTGTCATGCCGATTGCAAAAGTTCTAAATCTGTGGGACCGTACTCTGGGAATATCTATCATGGTCTTGATTGCCATCATGGGTCTTATTATGATGGCTGGTTGTCACAATATCACAACTTATTGTGCCGCGCAGGTAAATCCTCCCAGTCCGGTTTTCCCAACCTGAATTTCTGCATGTCAAGATGCTCATCCCTTCAAGGCATTCTATACGGTCGGCTTCACCGGTATGATTTTCAGCGTTGATGTGATCACATCGGACACTTCGTCACTTCGCAACCGTGGCATCGCATATGGCTTTACCTCGTCGCCTTATATCATTACTGCTTTTGCCGGATCACCCCTATCCAACCAATTCCATGAGACCAACTGGCGATGGGCATACGGAACCATTTGCATCATTCTTCCTATTGTTGCTTCTCCCTTGATCATCACATGGGAGTTGGCCAAGCGAAAGGCAGACAAGGAGGGTCGATTGCAGTATAAGCCGCGTAGCACTCGGACATGGTGGCAGAGTGTGTGGTTCTATATCATCGAGTTTGACAGTAAGACCCTTTTTAATCTTTTGTCTTTCCTGTATTGTATAACATAGACTAATATGCTTCAACTATTTTCACAGTCATCGGTATTTTCTTCATGATCGGCGGATTGATCCTCTTCCTCACCTCTTTCAACATTGCCGGAAACACCAAAGGAGAGTGGAAGTCGGCCAAGATAATTGCCATGATGGTAGTCGGATTTTGTGTCCTTGTTGCCTTCGTTGCCTATGAACGCTGGGCAGCGCCGAAACCATTTATTCGTTTCTCGCTACTCTCCAATCGGACTGTGATCGGTGCTTGTCTGTTGGATATCACATACCAAGTTTCCTACTACTGCTGGAACAGCTACTTTACGTCCTTCTTACAGGTGGTCTTCAACACAAGCCTCACCCAGGCCGGTTACATTAGTGCGATATTCGACTTGATGGACCCCATCTGGCTCATTGGCTGTGGCTACCTCATCCGAGTTACTGGCCGGTTCAAGTGGCTGCTCATGTTTGCCGTTCCACTCTACCTGCTGGCCAGTGGCTTGATGATCTATTTCCGCGGCCCCGGGCACAGTGTCGGGTACATGTGCATGTGCCAGATCTTCCTCGCTGTTGGTGGCGGCACCATGATCTTGATTGAACAGGTAGCTGTCCTGGCCGCTGCCAAACATGAAGATTATGCCTCCATGTTGGCGCTGCTCAGTGTATTTGGTAATGTGGGCGGTGCTGTGGGCAGTAGCGTGTCCGGCGCCATCTGGACCAACACGCTTCCGAAGAAGTTGCGTGAGCTGTTGCCGGCGGAAACAAAGGATCAGTGGGCGGACATTTACGAGTCGCTGGATGTTCAGCTTAGTTATCCCGTGGGCTCGCCTACTCGCACTGCCATTCAAAACGCGTATGCGTTCAGCCAACGGAACATGATGATTGCCGGGACCGCTGTGATGGGCTTGTCCATTGGCTGGGTTCTGATGATGAGAAACATCAAGGTGAAAGACAACAAGAATGTAACACAAGTTCTATTTTAGGTTTGAATGCCAGAAATTGACCCGCGCCGCCGTATTCCCCGATTTCATGGTCACACGTTCACATTCGCCGGCCTGGGAGAAAAGATTATTCCAGAACAACAATGGGAGAATGAGCAGTAGATCTACTGCTGGGTGGGGCGAAACTTTGTGCGTGGAACCAGGGTTCTCGTATGTTCGTCGTGGTTGCATCTCTGCGTCTTCTAGTCACCCTGTGTACTTGTCATCGTTTTCACTTACGACTTAAAGGGTTCCAAGCCTTAAAAGAAAAGGGGTGAATACGACGCGAGGGTAATAGGGCCCTTTGGCAAAGGGGCACTGAGTACTATCCGAGCTAATCTAGAGGTTGGATTGCTGGACGCAGGTTCTTGGCCGATGCAAGGATAAATACAGTTTAGGGATAAGTTAAGAGTTGTGTACTATTTTCATGTGCATACAAAGTAATGCACCTGCCGATATGTAGCTCATGGAATATCATTTGAGAATTATATGCCCCATTCAAGGACAGAGTCAGTAAGAGCAATCAGGTTGAAATTGACATTTGATGGTGCGATCAGTGATCCTAAGCCAGGCTAGCCGAATTGAGTTAGATTTGCGAGACGTTATTTAATAGTCTGGCAAAGCTTCGGCTCATTTATCTCTCCGGGACAGACAAACATCAAATATCTCAGCGTTTGCTTGACTGACTTCACACATCACAGTACAAGTGGGCCATTCCAGATATTTCATAGTACCACAATGGACTCTATTACCGATGACCGAGGCATTGTTCTTCTAGACGACCCAGATACTTGACATTTACGCGTATAAAGTGTGAAAGCGGAGCTCGATGACTGTCTAAATCTACCGAATTGTACGGAGTATTTGATTTTCTATGCAAAAATGTCAAACTCGAGCTCAATGCCAGTCCCTGCACTCCCATCCTACAGTCAAGTTGCTTGCATTGGGGCAGGAGCAAGTGCGATTGCGTTAGGTGCATCGCTGAAAAGATGGTACAGTTTAGAAGATATTCGCTTTTTTGAGCGGCAGACAGACTGTGGTGGAACATGGCATATCAACACCTATCCAGGTAAGTACGAGTGATATGTTTCAGGGTAGTACGCTTTATACAGAACTCATTTCTCTCTCAGGTTGCGCGTGCGACGTTCCTAGCGCTCTATACAGCTTTTCATTTGCTCCTAACGCTCAGTGGTCGAAGTTGATGCCTTCCCAACAAGAAATCAAAGCGTACCAGGACGGTGTTGTGGCAACATATGATTTGAGACAAAGAATGATATTCCGCACGGAGGTGACACGGTGCGTATGGCGGGATGATGCATCTCGATGGGTTCTTTTTCTCCGCAATGTCGAAACTGGAGAAGAATCAACACATGAGTGCCAGGTACTATTTTCCGCCACAGGGCACTTTGCTGAACCTCGGCCCTGTGAAATTCCGGGGGCTTCGTCTTTCCAAGGCGACATTATTCATTCCGCCCGATGGGATCCTAACGTCAGCCTAGAGGGTAAAAGAGTTGTGGTTGTCGGGAATGGATGTGAGTGGGATGTATCTGTATCTGTTATGGCTATCAACTAATATTATGCGCGCTTTAGGTACGGCAGCGCAGATTGTACCTGCTATTGTCAAGCAGACCAAATCTTTGACGCAGATCATTCGGTCCCAACATTGGATCTTCCCAGCAACCAACTTCACCTACCCGAAGATCTTGAAATGGATCTTTGAGTACATTCCTTTTGCATTGAAACTTCATCGACTGCATATTTTCCTCATTGCGGAGAATGGCTTCCGAATGTTTCCAATGACAAATAGGGCTGCACGGCTGAGACAGAAGCGCAGAAAAGAGGTTGAGAAGTACATGAAAGAAACAGCGCCGCCAAAATATCATGATATTCTGATTCCAGATTTTGAGATAGGATGCAAGGTGCGTTCAGATTACATATAGTAGCGGCACCAAAATGCAAAATACTCATGTCACTAGCGACGGATTTTCGATGATGGATATCTCAAATCGCTTCATAGTGAAAACCTTTCTCTCACAACAGCCAAGATCCTTGAGATTGTTCCTGAAGGTGTGAGAACTTCCGATGGAATCGTTGCTGCCGATGTCATTGTCCTAGCAACCGGGTTCAAAACGAATCAATTTACGCCCTTCATGGAAATTGTGGGACGTGATGGAAGCCTGACTGACCACTGGAAGAGATATGATGGGCCTGAAGCTTACAACTGCTCTGCTATGAGTGGATTCCCGAATTTCTTCCTGCTGTTTGGGCCCAACGCAGGAACTGGTCATACCTCAGCGCTGATGGCTGCGGAAAAGTAAGCTAAGGGGAAAGGACCCAGCAAGGTTATCTTCAAGCTAACCTCCAAAAGCTCTGTCAATTACGCTCTTCGTGTACTAAAACCGGTCTTTGAAAAAGGAGCGGATTCTGTTGAGTTAACGCAGGTAGCGGAGGACGAATATTCCCACAGAGTTCAAGATGCATTAAGAAAGCGAGTGTGGAATGCTGGCTGCCAATCGGTAACTTGTCTTTCGTTGCGAGGTTTAAAATCATTAAATAAATGATGTGCTAATCAAATATATAGTGGTATCAAAATGATAAAAACTGGAATGCCATGGCCTATCCATGGTCCCAAGCCTATTTCTGGTACCGGAGCTTATTTCCAATCAACTCACACTGGAATGTCCGGGTATGATATTTGTGGCACGACTGAAATCCATTGATGGAAAAAGGCTAATTAGATCCCCAGACCCGTGGCCCCAGGAAGTCTCAGATCGGCACATACTGGACGATAATACCCATTCTTGTTGGTTTGAGTATCGCCGCATCCCGCACCGGGAATATTTGGACCGTTGGTCCTATGCTACTAGACTTTGGCAAGAACATGCTGTCTTCCATACGACACATGTCCACTTCTGGTTTTGCGGAGAATTGGATCAATATAGCCAAGGGCTGATTTTCGAAGTCGAATTCATCATGTCTCAGAGCCCGATCGTAGAACAGACAAAAAAAGCTGTCTAGGCGTTATCACTAGAGAGAAGAACACGATTGATTCTGGGCTCTGCTCATTACTTGTCACTTAATCCGTTTTAGTTCATTTGTTCTCAACCGTTTTCCTTTTTCCATTCTTTAAATTTTTTTATTTTATTGAGCCCCTTTTTTCAGTCGATATACTCCGGCATAGCATAATAGCCCGCCTTGGAAATGCAATAGCAGGGTGTGTGTTACTGGGTCAGGGACCTATGGAATACAACAACTAGGCCATACCAAGTTAGATAATTTCTACCAGTATTTGCATAGTTTTCGTTTTCGTCACCTCCTCCGAATGGTCTTATTCCAAATAGCTTTGACCAAGAAGAGTGTGCTAGCTTGTTCCACGGAAGCTTCGCTTCATCCAAGGCGGTCTTAATACCCTTGTGAGGATGATAATGAACATAGTTCCAGGAAGTGTTTACTTGTTTCCATGGCAAAATCCCAAAAGATGGCCTCTCGAGCTATGGTACCAGCACAGCCTTTCTACTGGGTTTGCGTGTAGTATGGAGGATTTGCCAGATCTGCTATAACACTAATCAGCCTCGGTTGAGCTTATCTGTATTCCCGAGGCTTAGGTTTGGCATATGGACAGAATGACGAAGAGCAAGGTATACATTCAACCATTTTTATATCAAACGGCCTTCGGTGCAACCGCGACTCCGCCCCACCTAGTGGGTTAGTGGTATCAGTCCCACTTTGAGTGCAAAAGATAATAGCAGAACTTTATTTATCTCATAATAATGATTTGCTGTTGGAAATAGATGAGTAGAATATAGCCCTGAGCACAGACTATACAGCAATGAGGCTTCGACTGTACCCTTTCCGAGGGGTCTATATAGAGCACACTAGGACATCAATCAGGCACTGAACATTTTGAGAATTATCTCCACGCTGATCCAATCAAGGCCTATCAAGATGAGCCCAATTTTCTATCTGAAAGTATATCTCCTGCGCCTTCTAACTCGCCTATTCGCTTGGCTTGACCGAAGAGGCGGCCCGTTGTCACCACCTGGTCCAAGTTTGAAAGTAAACATCCCGTCGACAATTTCCGGTTCCAAGGGATCATTCGATGTGTTTTTCTATTTCCCCCCGGGATATGACCGCAACGATTCCAAGGAAAGCGGATACCCAGTCGTTGTTAACTTTCACGGCGGAGGTTATTGCGTCGGGCATGCTCGCGACGATGAACGTTTCATTGCCGAGTTGACATCTCGCGGTGCTGTTGTTGCAAGCGTCAATTACCGCCTAGCACCCGAGAGTCCATACCCAGTCGCGATCGAAGATTGTTTGGACGCATTGCTTTATATCTGGCGCAATGCCTCCTCTTTACATATTGACAAGCATCGAACGATTCTCTCTGGTTCAAGTGCTGGTGGCCACCTTGCCTTCGCTTCCCTTCTCATGCTCTGGAAGCGGATGAAGGATAAAAACCTCCAAATTAACCCTTTACGTCTGGGAACCGTCAAAGGATTAATGGCTTTTTATCCAGTCATGGATATGACTAAGAGCCGTGCGGAACGTGCTCTATCCAATCCAGCATTCTCAGCACTGACGAAAAAGCCGGCATCCTCATCAAAACTGGTCGGATCTGTTTTCGACGAGGCTTTCTTCCGGAAACTGAAAGAAAAGCCAGACAAAAGCTTTATGTACCTCTCTCCCGGGCTTGCGCCTGAGAATACGCTGAAAGAGGCATTGCCCCCTATCATATCGTTTAAACTCGCGGGTCTCGACTACCTCTTGAGCGAGGAGAAAGAAGCAGTTCGTCGGCTGAAACTGCTGGGAAAGCAAGTCGATTGTGAAGTTGTAGAAGGGGTACCCCATTATTGGGACCACATGGCAAGAACAACGGAGATGAAGGAACTGAGGGACAAATTTTTGGGAAAGGCAGCAGATGAGATGGAGCAAATATGGCAGAGTTGAAGTGGTGCAGGGATTGGATCTATATCACTACCTAGCATCATACAGTTAAATATTCTCTTTTCGAAAAATACTGCCGAAAACGCTTTAGTCACACGCCGGTGTGAAGTCTCTTCAGCTGTAGGAACAGGGGTTTCGGTGATACATCCTCAATCAATGACAACAGATTACATCTTCGACAGAAAAGCACCACTTTTCAGTTAGGTTTTGAGTAATTTATTAAATCTCTGTTCTCGACTGCGGCGGAGAAAGTATGGCGGGGCGGGGTATTTGATTAAATTCTTCTTGTCACAACACCATTAAATTACATCTTCGGCTCTCACAGGATCAATCATTACTGTGTTGCGTACTTATCATGACCCACTAAGTCTCATAGATCGAAAGTATTTGCGCGATGGTCCGTGGCTCCTTTTCAACAATCAATTAATCAAAAAAAATATATATATTCCCGTCTCGCCATGTTATTCTGATACACCCCGCCATCATTCAGGAAAATGAGCAGCATCCCTTCCATGCCCAAGACTCCGGCCGAGTGGCTCAGATATGTACAAAGTGAAGTCTTCACATCCGTTCCATCGAGGCAGGAACAAAAAACCATCCAGGTCGGTATGACATAGTCCTACTTCAAGCCAGGCAATTAACGAGCCATAGAATAGTATCATCGAGCGAGATATCTATCTAGATGAAACAAAGATTGTGCAACCACCAGCCCAGCTATGGTACGTTTATACAGACGTCTTCGCATTCACACAGCCGGAGATCACCATCTCTCCAGAAGCCTACGGGTCAATGCAAATTATTGCAAGGGTTCTGACCGCGGACACACCTGTCAATCTGAAGGTAATTCCTGATACAATATGCTGGGTTTATCTCTACGCTTCCATCCTCGATCAGCCGATCTCAGTGTCTGTGGGCGATCAGGAGCCCCTTCTCCTAGAGCTAGGTCCAGCAACGGGAAACGTGGGTGTGAAACTGATCGTCACCCCAGATCATATCGATCTCGAGTATCAACAAGATTATATTCGAGCGGTGGATGAGGATTTACAAGCGAGTCTCAACACGCAGTTGCGCATTGCTCTAGCGCTTTCGGGGAGGAATACCTCCGTTGCTAGTTCTATCTGCTCGTATGTTGCTTCGGTGACCGCCAATATAGCATTGAGTTTCTATTCCCAGACCAATTCCCAGGCAGTGGCACTGGGGCAGCAGCTGGAAGTCCAAGGGATGACGGGGCCGGATATGGGTTATGCTCCAATTCTGAAGATTGACTAGTATATGTCCATTGAAGTGATGCTCTTGGCGGAATTACAGCACTTAAAGAACCATATCAACGTTTTCAGGACAACGAAAGCAGTGTGGACAACCTGATACAGGCATGGAAGGCCCTGCTTCAGCAGGCTAAAGCTCAGTTGAGCAAATATCTTGAATGGAAAGAGTTTTTAGTAGCCTCCTTTCTCAAAGAAAAGACGACCCAATAGCTTCAGCCAGATCTTTCAGTGATGCAGGAAACCTAGCACATCGCAAATTACAAGTCTATAGCAAAATGAATTCCAAGCCATGAAATCAAAGACCGCTTAAACCAGTTACTCAAACTATCATCTTCTCTCGTCTTCATTAACCTCCTCATCACTATTTTTCTCCCCCTTAACTCTCTTCCTTCCCTCCTCCTTCAGTTTCTCATCATCTGCCCGGTTCAAAGTCACCTGAGGCATCAGCCAAAAGGCCAAAACGAACGCAAAAGCAGCCAATGCGGCGCCGATGAGAAATATAATCCGGAACCCCTTTTGGTAAGCCGGGATCAACAAAGATCGGGCATGTTCTGCTTCGTCTTGGGGTAGTTTGGAGAGGTAGTTCTGAGGGCTTGATAGGAAAGAGCGGGTTTCAGATTGCGTGAGGCCCAGGGAGGAAATAGAGCTTGTGATTAGATTGTTTCTATTTGTGAAGTAAGGTTAGCTGGGTTCCATTATTTCAGTTGGGCTGTCGGTACGTACATGATTGTTCCGGCGATGGCGAGGCCGAGAGTGCCACCGAGGTTCCTTACGAAACTGTGTTTGTTAGCATATATTATTCTCCGGAATTTCGTTAATTGAGGGGTGGAACTGCGGTAAGCGTACTTTCGAAATGAGGTAACAACTGCCATATCTTTCCGTTCAACTCCTGCTTGGACGGCGATCAGGGCGCTGGGACAGGTCAGTATCAGGTTACCCCTGTGCACATTATTCAAATTCGAGACTTACGGTTGCAATGTATTCCCCACACCAACACCGGTCAAGAGTCCATAGCCAATCTGTTTTCCCAGGCCGGATGATTCATCTAGAGTCGAGAACAAACCTAATCCAACGGCCCAGATCATCCAGCCGAAGAGAATACACTCCCTATAACGACCTACCCAGTGAACAACAAGACCTGAGACGGTGCTACTAACAGCTTGTATCCTCGTCAGTTGAAACTGTCCAAATAAGGGATATGAACAAGACATACTCTGCATCAATGTTACAGGCAAAAGCATCGCACCAGCTTTCACGGTAGAATACCCAAAAACCAGCTGATAGAACGTCGGGATATAATAAACCTGGACGAGAAAGTTCCACCCGTTTATAAACATAGTCAGACACGCACCATTCACAATCCGAGATTTGAATATATGCATTGGTACGAGCGGGTAGGTTGCTCCTTTCCACTGCCAGACCACGAACCCAACAGCCACAGCAAAACCCACCACAATTGTGGCAATAACATGGGCCGAAGCCCAAGGGTATTCACCTCCGCCCCATGTCAGACCTAAAAGAAGAACAGCGGTACTTCCTAATGCTAGGAATGCGCCGAAGAAATCAATGGCTTTGAGCTTCATCTTCCAGTCCCCTGTTACCTTCCGTAGAGGCATGAAGAACAGTACGCACAGGGTTGTTATTGCGGTGAGTGGGAGGTTCAGTCGAAAGATCCATCTCCATGAATCCTCGTTTATGGAGGACAATGCACCGCCGATGACAGGCCCAATTCCATTGGCGATGGCTACTACTGCACCCAGGATACCTTGGTATTTGCCTCTTTCACGCAGCGGAACGACGTCGCTGACGATCATCTGAGCCACAGTCATCAACCCACCACCGCCTACACCAGTAAAAGCACGAAAGACTATGAGCTGTGTGGCTGTCTGCGAAAGCGATGCTGCCAGTGACCCGATGAAGAATATGCCGAGTCCGACGAACAGGACTAGTTTGCGAGACCATATGTCTGAAAGGCGGCCATATATAAGCTGGAAACAAGTCGAGGTGCTACATGTCGTTAGTATCTTGCAAAAATATCTAATGATAGTTCCTATTACTTACACAAAGTATCCTCCTGATATCCAAGAGGTTTTATCACTGGCATGCAAGGCATTCCCAATGATTGACAAACTGGAGGCCAGAGTGGTCTGGTCCATCAATGCTATGAGGTCGACCGTCGAGCATGCTAAGAATATCTGATAGTACTGTCAGCTAGAGATAGCTGTTAGTGTGGCTATTAATACACACACCGTAATGATTGTGCTTTTCGGGACATAATTTGTCTGCTCATTGAAGACATGAGGTGTCTTCGTCTCCCCATCGGCCTCTACGATAGCTGTGCTCGAGGATTCTGACGAGCTTGGAGGCTTTTCAGAATTGAGTACTGCTCCTGACATGATGCTCAGACGTGTTTCAAAATTATCGGGCGGGAGTAGTGAGGAATAGTGACGAGAACCGGCACATGCCTTTAAACGACGAAGAATACGACAATCCTACATCGGAGCCACATTCTGGGCAATTCTAAGCGAGCGGATCCCCAGATTGATATTATGAAGATCAATTTGCAGGAAATTGAAGTAGTCCATGTTTGTAAAAATGACGAATCATCAATTCGAGTTCCGTTGACGGGATTAAGAAAGACAAAAGGGAAACAAACTCATTAGTCAGTTAGGGCTAGGGAAATGATCAGCGCGATTGTTCCGCAACTTGCTCAAAAGGACTCATCAAGGTACTCACACAGGCCTCTTGCCAAGAAAACAGCAAGTCCAGAACCTGATAGAGAACTTGCTAATTGTGAGGACCTGCGTGCTTTTTGTATGTCCGTCGAACCCTGGCCAGGGACCTTGCGAGTTACTTTTGCCCGTGGATCGGTCTTCACAAGCCTCGAGCTTATGGACTGACAGTGATGGGCATCCAAATGGCTGGTACTGCAGAGATTTATCGAGGCATTGAGTTTTATGGCCATGTAGATCTTGTCTTGTCCTCGCACCCTGGGGGAAGGGATTCTCCGCTACATCTACGAATCGCATACAATTTCCTACCCGATGTATGTAAATACATCCTGCTATCCAGCATCGGCTGATGCATTGTCCAACCAATGCCCACGTTTCACGACAAGCGGATATGATCTTCATTGTCGGGAACCGCGTTTCCAGTAATCAACTTCCTGAAAAGGAGTATTATGTTCCTAGAACGAGAGCAATAACGCCATGCGGGTGGGTCATAGCCTTTGACACTACAGCAGTCTGGTTTGCTAAAGTTAACTGTAAGAGATTTCATCAGAGGAGGGGTTTATGCATTCTGCAAGGGTATAATTTAGAGATTGTCCCTCCTCGCAGTTCCTACTACATTATAGGTCTACCTGTGTAAGTTTCTTACATTCTTGGTAGTTGGTACTCTCCATTCAAGTCAGGAAGATGGCCAATCTCAATGAACGCAATGTCTACTTCGGGCGTGATTCTCTCAAGAAATACTTTGATCCAGATTGCCAACCTCCTCTACCTCTCGTTGAGCTCCCAGAACACCTGAATCCTTATTATCAGGATGGTGTACGAATCTATGCCAAGATGATGACGATGCACCCAGCAAACAATGTCAAAGCAATGCCAGGTACTCATACTACACCACACAAAACACCCAAAAGATACCCGCTAATAATGTAGCAATGAACATGCTCGAAACAAGTGTGGCACCCGGCAAAACAAATACTATTATCGAGTATAGTTCCGGATCCACGGTGATCTCAATGTCTATGATCGCCAGAGTCATGCATGGCATTCAAGACACGCGTGCATTCTTGAGCAATAAGACAAGCGAGGCCAAGCTCCAGCTGATGCAGTTTTTTGGGCTTAATATCACTCTTTTTGGCGGTCCCTCCCAGCCTGAACCATATGACGAGCGAGGTGGTATACAAAGTGCCCGGAGGATGGCAATGGATTCGGACAGTGTCCTCAACCCAAACCAATACGAGAACGACAACAACTGGAAATCACACATTCGCTGGACGGGGCCCCAGATCTATAAACAACTCCCTGAAATAAATGTTCTTTGCGCAGGCATGGGAACATCCGGAACAATGACCGGATTGGGTACATACTTCAAGGAAGCGAAGCCCTCGGTACTCCGTCTGGGAGTGTGCACTGCCCCTGGCGATCGTGTTCCCGGCCCAAGGTCGTTCGCCTTGATGAAACCCGTGGAGTTTCCTTGGAAGGCAGCCGTTGATGTTATCGAGGAAGTCAATTCGTCGGACTCATTTTCATTGTCGCTGGACCTGTGCCGTGAAGGCATTGTCTGTGGTCCTTCATCTGGCTTCAATCTGCAAGGTCTCTTTCAGATGTTGGAAAAGCGCAAGGCAGCTGGTACCTTGTCCGACCTTCGAGGACCTGATGGTTCCATTCATTGTGTCTTTTTGTGCTGCGACCTGCCTTATCAATACATTGGAGAGTATTTCCAAAAACTGGGAGCTGACAAGTTCCACCCCATTCAGAATGAAGTGAGTACAATCTAACTGAGTCTCCCTCTCATATTTACTAATACACCGCCAGGGACTTACCAAAGTTGACCTATATCGCTACGACGAAAGCTGGGAACGTAGTCCAGTAGTTCTTTTCACTCACTTTTACAATACCCCCAACGTTTTGTCGGAATGTCTCCTAAGTGACATCAAGCTGAGGCCGCTGTGCTGTGTCCTAGACCTGAGAACAACGGCCGACTTTGCTTCGTGGCATCTTCCCGGCTCAGTCAATATCCCCCTGCGGAGTCTCGACTCACACACAGCGAAGCCGTTCTTCGACCCCGGTGTACTAGAGGCACAGTGGTTGGAATTAGAAGCGATGTTCAAAGATCCGAGCGTGATCACCAAGTTGGAATCCCATCATGTGTTAGTGATCTGCTACAATGGAGACACGGCCCGGGTGGCCACTAGCGTGCTGCGAGCCAAGGGCATCGAGGCTGACAGCCTCCGGGGAGGATACCAAGCTCTGAAAGACCACGGGTTATGGGGTAGCAGTGGAGTTGAGTCGGTGGAGAAGAGCACATATCCAACAACAACCACGACGGAACTGTCCGTATCAACAAATTAACCGTATTTATGGCGCTAATTTGAACTAGGCATAGGTTGATATGGGCGGACAAAAGATGTGTTTTCTTTTTTTCCCTATTTTTTTTATATGTTTTCCTCCCATTTTCTATTTCTCTTACATGTTATGAAATTTTCAATTACATGATGATCACGATGTTTGTATAAACCGACTACTTAACAACGATATCTTTTACTCTAGAGTAGCTCAGTCTAAGATCTAACATCAACCGTGATGTGCGGTTAGAGTTGGGTAAAATTTGCCAACGAAAAGATTAGATCGTTGAATCTAACGCAAATATGCTCACTCGTATAATTGAGCGCGTATCTGTGTGTGAGATTTTAATTGGCTTGATCGGCACTTAAATATTTGCAAGGACTTACTACATTCGTGCAACGGCGACGCTAAATCCAGAAATCTGCTCAATTGCGAGCATCCCCAACCACATCCGTCCAATCAGCGGCTAAGGAATGCTGCAACCCTAACACGGCAGCGGCAGATGCGATGATGATTGTAATCGAGGCCACACGTATGATCAATGCATGCATCCGTGACCCATTCCCAGTCTAGGGTTGATGGTGCAACCATGCTGGAGCGAAAGTGAGTTCACGAGTGGAGGAATCTACTACCTGACACATCTCCGATACAGCACACCCTGAAGATTCTTATCCGAATCTTTTGCTTCGCTCTAGTGCCCATCGTTTCCTTGCTGGGAACCCTTTCGGAATACAAGAGACCCTGTTAAAAGAGCCCTCCCTCGTTGGTAGAGGCATCTGCAGATAGTCATTAGTACAAATCTAGTCTCTTGGACTGTTATGCGCTTCGTGACGTACAACATTCACGATGATGTCCATGGATGAAAATTCCAGCGGCGGCCTGCCATGGCTAGATATGCCGGTCATGTTCCATTCGTCTAGGGCCGATACATGCAAGATGACACCTGAACAATGTGCCTATCGGTCAGGGCACTGGAGATACTGGTAATTCCCTTTTTAGACCAACATTATATAAATTCCCGGCTAATGAGGGGCTCCTCACAGGTATGAAGCAGACCACGTTTATTCATTAAACACAGTATATTTCCTTTGTGCGACTATCGGGTTCTTTGCAATCGTCCATTTCCTCTCAAAGTATGCGCCGGTACGAGCAAAACGAAGCGGCATATGGCGGAAAACGACAGCCATTGGGCGATACCTCGCATACAAAGGTTACCAACTACCTGCATTTCGGTACTGTTCTCCTTCGTTGGGCGTTATTCTCTTGGGTATCATAGGCACAATCTTTTTCTTTGGTTCGTACACCTAGTTCGCTCCATGGTTTTCAAATTGCTGATGCAGATATAGCCATGACGCTTGGTCCAAAACCATACTACTGGCCTAACACGAAAGATGGGTCAGTCTCTTATGGGAACAGTCCGCCTATCGCAACTCGAACTGGATGGATGGCATTGGCATTGCTGCCTTTTGTGCTGTGGGTACCTTAGCCCATGTCCAATATCTGTTGCTAACCAGTGCAGGGCTCTGGGCGCCAAAGCAAACCTTATATCAGCATTGACTGGTGTACCTCATGAAAAGCTTCAGGTATGTTGAAAAATTGCTAGAGTAATTACTATAACTGACTCGATAGGTCTACCACCATTGGACCAGCTATGCCATGTTTGTCCTCGCTTTAATACATACCTTCCCATTCATCATCTTCAATATCTGGAAAGGTCAGATGGTCGAGAAATGGAACACCAGTGTAGTCTACTGGACTGGAGTTGCGGCTTTAATTCCGCAGGCTTACCTCACATTCATGTCCTTGCCATCTATTCGGTAAGATCACTCCTATCAAGCCCCACACACGACTAAAACTAGGTATAGGAATCGATATTATGAATTTTTCAAGGCAACGCATTTCCTGGTTGCACTCCTCTTCCTTCTCTTTTTCTTCTTTCACTGTGACTTCCGTCTTTCTTCTTGGTATGTTCTTCTGTTTGTCGAAACATACAGTCTACTAACCACAACAGGGACTATTTTGTTGCCGGAGGCGCAATATATCTCTTCAGTCTCTTTGCAGCATGGACCCGCACCCATCTCATCAATGGCCGTCACTCAGCTACAATTGACCTCCTTCCTTGCGGTTTTGTTCGAGTCAGAATCCCAACAATCATGTCTTGGCGACCAGGGCAGCATGTCTTCATTCGATTCTTAAGCCCACAGCTGGGCTTGCACTGCCTAACAGCGCACCCGTTTACCATCTGCTCTCTATCGCATGACCCGGACAAGGTCGGCAAGGCATCCGAGATCGTGTTCTATGTCAAGCCCCGCCACGGCATCACGGCACGTCTAGCAAAGTTGGCTATTAAAAGCCCTGTATTCTCCCAAACTGTGCTCTTAGAAGGCCCTTACGGTGGGATATCTAATACTGCTACTCCTGCCGAGTTCGATACTGTCCTGGTCATTGCGGGTGGCTCCGGCGGTGGGTTTTCTCTAGCCATCGCTGAAGAAGCTCTTAGGGTGTATGGAAATATGCCAGATCTCCAAAAACGCAATATTCAGGTCGTTTTCGCTACACGGAATAAAGAAGTAGCCGAATGGTACAGAGAGGAGATTGATGATAGGGTCTCCATGTACGACGTACCAGCCAAAAGAATATCCATTTCAATTCATGATACCTCATTGGAGCATACTGCAAAGCCAGTGTCCGCACCCAGGGCCAAAGAACCATCCAATGAGATCACCGATGGGATTGAGCCTGCCTTATCAGAGAAAGACAGTGGTGCTGCCGCAATAGACCAGCACATGAGTACAATTGTACATGGCCCTCGACCTAACCTTCCTCATATCATCGATACAGCTACGTCAACACCAGGTAGCCACAAGATAGCTATCTTTGCGTGTGGTCCTGCGTCCATGCTTCATGATGTACGGAATGCGGCTGCTGAGGCGCAAAAGCGGACGTTGAGAGGAGGTGCGGAGGTCTATTTGCATACTGAATCATTTTCGTGAGTGCTCATTTCCTATGTCTCGGGATGTTGGCTAATTAGTATGTCTAGGTGGTGAAGCTTTGTAAAATTGTCCGAATAATTGAGTCAATAAACGTTCACTGTCTACTTGATGATTGTTGATCAATCTGTATTCTCAGACACATAATGTTACTTAACTTAATTATCGACTTGCATTATATAAGAATCATTTCCTTACCTTGAAAGCTTGGACCGAGTGCAATGCTTTTCTCGTGGTTGCTTAAAAATCAACACTTACGTCGCAACATCAGGCGAACCCCGTACGACGGATAAGCAGTAGTTTAGATCCTGTACCATCTACTCACAGGTCGAATTATTAGTAAAATGGGCCTATAGGGCATATAGACCCTGACCATCTACCTGATTGAATAGTAGCGCTAGCTCTATTTCTCTTTACTCTTCCACCCAATCCATACTCGAGTTTTCATCTAACTCTAACGACACCATCGAGTTATATAGAAGTGTGCTATTTACAATCCACCATAGTAGACCAACAATTTACCCCTAAGTAATTTCCAATAAAGGGCAATACAAGGTGAACTCAGAAGCAGCCTGATGCCAATTCTATTCCATCATCGCAACAGTACAGCATTATTAATATACGAACATTGGTGATACCATCACTGGGTCTTCTATCGATATGTACTTTTTTTCGGCCCCTTTCCTGGTTATTAAAATGACGAATAAAGCTCTGCTGCTCTCCCTGACTATCTTACTGCGTAGGAATTGCAAGTGATTGACAAGCACAATATCTCAACCAGCAATGACCAACTGTCAAATAGACTGTATTTGCAAGCTCGATTGCGTCGGTCGAGTCGCTGCCCTAGGAGGTGGCTTCGTTAGGGGATACTAATGAAGCTGCCGCTTAGGGGATGCTATCTGTGGTGTTTATGGGGAAGTGCTGCAGAGTGTTAGGTGTATATTGGCTGTTTTTTCGGAGGGGTTGGAGTTGGGGAGACAGCATTTTGAGGATGAAATGGTTTTTTGATCGGTATTAATTTGATTGAGTTGTGTTGGTGTTGGAGTGTTACGGATCTCCTTGGGTAAGATGAACGCTGGCCTATCTCAGGTATCTACGCCTACTTTCAGACACAACTGTCGATGCGAGTTACTTGGTTGAGCTAGAGGGATGGAACGAGGAACGGGTACAGGGGAAGGGAGCTAAAATATATTCTGTGACACCTCACGAAGGCAGCGAGTCTTCCACTATCTAGCTAGAATAACCCTGTACATACCTAAGTTAATCCCACCGGCTGGCCAACTGGCCGTCGGTGACCCGAGAAGAGCCCCAAAAAGGGAGCTGTATTCGGGTATGATGCACATCTCTCTCTCTATGTGAAAGCTGGCGTTCGTGTGGATGAATGGACATTCATCTATATTAGCTTCGATGGCTAGTAGCGATAGATGCTCAGAATAGAAATATAGATGGTAACTGATATTCTGCAAAGCTTCAAGATTTAAACGGTCATTGTAGGAATTATCAAGGTTATCCTCATAATACATCTTTCATATATATGTATCAGCAAGAATAGTCTTACACTGTGTGTACAATATATATATATACTCACCAACATCCAAGTAACAGTCAATCACTTCAATAAAATGTATATTATCACGTATAAAGCCTACGTGTATTCTCAATTATAAGTTCAGACGAGTGCATTGTATATAAAAGTGTTAGAGGACTACAGAGCAGGTGATGGCTATCGCAACTGATGTTACTTTAGGACTTAGATAGAATGCAAGTAGACCAAAAGTCGTGCAACATTCAACTCGGAAAGATAGCAGGGCATAGGGAATAGAGTCATTAACATTCATCACTTCATGTTTGTGCCGTTAAGAATGGATCCTGATGATCACGAAGTTACATTACACAAGTGTACAATCCTTGTCGTGAAAAAGGCTCTTCGGAAACATCCTTGCTGCATTAGTATGCCGTGATTGGTGTGGCATGGTAGATTTCTTCAATGAATGTACGAGGGTCGAAAGAATCTACGAGATTGACTGGACAGGAAGATTACCAAACAGAAATCAAAACGTTTAGGGTATCAAGCTATAGAGAGCATCAAGCTTTTCATTTTTGTACTAAAATCAGACCATCATGCCGTCAAAGTCCATGTCCCAGTACGAACACCAATCGCCCAGAGTAAGCGAATCTAGTTCATCTGGCGGATGAGGGCATTGATGTTCTCCTCACGGTTACCGTAGTCACCACCCTCGATGAAGTGCTTGAACTTGCGCTTGTGGAAGCCACCAGTGGGGTTGGAGAGCTTGAAGGGCCAGAGGAAGTTGTTGGCCTGCTTGAAGTTGGGGCCAACGGTGTAGATCTCGTGAATGAGATCCTCAACACAGACAATGCCGTACTTGCCGAGGTTCTCCTCGATGATCTGGTTGTCGGAGATAGCAACACGCTGCTTGTTGACCTTTCCGTAACCGCGCTTGTAGATGAGCTCACGGATGCTCTTGAGGTTGGGGTAACCATAGGCAATGTAGGGGTTGATGATGGTCAGCATCTCCTGGGTAGCCTTGGTAAGGCGGACGAAGGTTCCGTTGTTGATCTGGAGCAAACGGAGGAGCTGCAGGATCTTGCGGGGCTGGGGAGAGATCTTGTTGATACTATTGACATAGTTAGTTGCTTGATCTTCAACAATGGATATACCAGAAAAACTCACCCCTTGATACGGATAACGAAGACAAGCTTGGGCTCCTCAGCAACGTAGAAGTTACCCTCCTTGCGAGCAACGCGGCCAAGGCGGATCTTCTCACGCTCAGCATCGCGGTACTCCTTGACGTAGGACTCGGCGCGCTTGAAGATGGCGGCACGCTTCTCCTTGCTGGCCTATACATCCTCTGTTAGCGAGAATTCCACCCAGTAGTTTGTTACAAAAACAGTGGTATTGTTAACGTCAGCCCCGAAAGATGGTTAACAGAAGCGACAGCATCGACCGATGGTCTAGTCGCGTAGTGGTTGCTATCATCACCCGTTTTATGTGAAAAAAGAAAAAAGAAATTTTGAATACTCACGGCCTTCTTCTTGGCAGCCTCCTCACGGGCGACAGCGCGAGCCTGCTCCTGGCTCTTGCGCTTCTTCAGGAGAGTCTCGGGGACGAGGACATTGTCCTGAGTGGGGACGGTGCTGTGAAGGTCAGTTTCGTCTGTCCATGCAAAAATATGCATATATTCGCCGAGTGCAAGAACTGCAGCTATAGCGCGGCATTCTCAACTGAAGGCAAGAAACAAGAAGCACTCGACGACATGTATTTAATCAGTGAGACATGAAGGGCTTGCCAACCGGTAACGAGACGTTACTAGTCATGCATTTTCAGCATGGGTTCACAACTCCGCGATGGCAGCGACAATCATTCAATTCTCATCCGACAAAGCCCCAAGCATAACGCCCAGGAAAACAATGTTGACGCCGTTTGTCCCATCTCTGTTAAGCCATTCCTGGTCTAGTCAGAGTATGGAAACGCAGCTCGCAACAATTTCTTTCAAGGAGAAAGCAGCTATGGCCTTCAACCTCAATACCCCAAACCGTTGTACAACCCATCCATCATCTCGTGCTCATATCACTGAGGCGCAAGTTCATGGGGGGGGCACAGAGGTCACGGGAAAAATCGAGCTGGTGCCCAGCGACCGTTTCTGATCGCAGCATCTCCAGCGAGAAGGACGACTATAACTTCAACCCTTACAGGCTCATAAAGCGAAGCAGCCGAAAGGGTATCCGCTAAAGGGTATCATACGTAGCAGTAGAGGCCATTGCGACGGTCCGTTGAGTTCGCGAGTTGGGCGGTTGGCGAAAGCTGTCGTACTGGAAGAAGTTCAAAAAGAAAATTGTTTCGAGTTGAAGAAAAATGAGTTTGTGGGTGGGTCTCCGCGCTAGCCCCATATGCGGCTAGCCTCTGTTAGCATGACGACCTTCCCCTTCTGGGTGATCTGCTTAGGGCACTTACGAGTCAGCTGACAGCTCCCGATAAGGAGCTGCGATAACTGATGACATGCCCATCTTGATGTTCTCCATACCCCACGTCCCTCCTCTTTGCCTATCCTAGACTTTAAATTGCCATGGCGTCGCGTCGAGGTGTCGGGTTAGGTGCCTTCGCAAATCGCTCTCAGGCTAGCCAATTCTACGCCAACCATGGCGCCAATCTACGTTCCACGCATCTCTCCTCCCTGCAGGCACAATTATCCGTCTTCCAGTCGTTACTCCACACATTCGCATTAGAGCATAGCTCGACGATAAAATCAAACCCAACGTTCCGTGCAGAGTTTGCTCGCATGTGCAATGCAATCGGTGTTGACCCACTTGCAGCGAGTAATGTTAAAGGCAAAAATGGTCGGAAGGGAATGGGTGAAGGGGCGAGTTTCTGGACCCAGATCATGGGCGGGGATATGAACGACTTCTACTTCGAGCTTGCCGTCCGTATAGTAGAGCTTTGCCGAGAAACAAGAAGTGAGAATGGAGGCTTAATAGGCGTCGAGGAGTGCCGTAAACGAGTAGGTAAAGGCAAGGCTATAGGGAGCGGGTTGGAAGTAACTGAGTATGTGACCTCGAACCACGCAGTACAGAAGGCCGACTAATTGCTATGTTTGCGAATTAGTGACGATGTTCTACGTGCCGTCAAGGCTTTGGAACCTTTGGGCTCGGGCTTCTCGATTGTCCGCGTTGGTAGCAAACAATACATCCGATCGGTCCCTAAGGAGCTTAATACAGACCAAGCCACTGTGCTCGAGGTTATTCAAATCCTTGGCTACGTGAGTATATCCATGTTGCAGATAAACTTAAATTGGGAAACGGCTCGGGCGCAGACTGTTATTGATGACCTTCTGGCGGACGGCCTGGTGTGGCTTGATGTCCAAGGTGAAGAGAATGAGTATTGGTCACCACAGAATCTACTCGACGATAGTGGATGAGGCTGTTCTCTCACTAGAAGAGATGCGAGCGAGCTATTTCATGGGCGTTATATCAATTGAGTAGATGACGCCCAAGGTTTCGTTCGACCATTTCGAACCCTTACTTGTATAGACATTGAAGCTTACACAGCTATCATCATGGTGTATTTGAGGCTACAGACGCATAAAGATTAACGAACAGCCGAATTGCCCGATGGGTTGGCAAAATATTGGGTATTAGCTATACCCATCCTTAAATACGCCCTAATAGAATATATATTTTCAGAACTGCACGCAACTCCACCACAAGATCCAGGGACTGACACCTCGAAATATGTATGAAAGTTATCTATATTTCACCATATTCGTAGTTCTACTACAACATACATGGAATGAAGTTTCTTGGTTCCAATATGCCTGTGTTTACGTCCGTTTCCTCATTGCTCAGAGCACCTATCTCTCGACTGCGCTCGTAACTCTAAAAAGGGGTTTATTTGTAAAAGAGGAAATGCCATATGTATCAAGAAAGGGATAATCGAGAAATTGACAAGAAATTCGTCAATAATAAGAGCACATGGGATCATACGTAGTTAAATTCCAGGAGCATTAGAACCATGAAAACAAAGGAATGCCATTACAAACAATTTTATGCCTTGATCGCTCCGCCCAATGCACCACCGCTGAATTGCTGTCCACCGGGCCGACGACCTTGTTGGCCGCCAGGCAGTCTGGGTCCACCACGGGCTTGGCCCCCGCGTCCAGGACCACGGCCTCCACGGGCGCCGGCGCCCTGATCGCGCTGGAAAGCGTTGGCCATGCCTTGAGTGCGCTGCTCGAGAGTCTTCTCGTTGGCCTCCAGAAGGTTCATCGACTTGTCGGCGAGGGTGACGATCTGGGACTGGAGACGCGACAGCTCGACACCCTTGCGGAAAACAATAGCATCGTTGACCTGGTCAAGAGCAGCGGCGAGCTCCTCATGAGAGATCATACGGCTGATGATGGCGGCAATCTTCTTCTCAGACAGCTCGAACATGCTTGACAGGGTGGAAATAGAGACACTGTCGTAGAAGGGAGCATATGTGAAAAGGTAAGTTCGCAGGCCCTCTTCTTGGATCTGCTGAGACAGCATCTCCTTGATCTTGTCGGGCTGGGGCATCAGATCCCAGATCTTGATAGAGTTGAGCATCTCTGCAGCCTTCTTCCAGTCACCCGCAGCAAGGAACTTAGCGCTCATGATGACACCATCACGAGTGTTCTCTGCAGGGCCAGTGAATACCTGACGCTCGTTGTAATCCAACATACGACGGAAGGTCTTTGAGATGATGCGGCGCTTCATCTCGGGTGAAGAAGAGGTCTGAGCCATGAGAGGGACTTCCAAGAACATGCTTGAGGTAAGGTAGATACACTCAAGAAGTTCAAGGTTGATGTGCATGTGGAAGGGCAGCTGGCGCTGACGCTCAAGACGTTCCTGCTCAGGAGAAACAGTAGAGTAACGCTGGAGGATGATACCTTGAGCGAGAAGTTCCTTCTGACGGCCACTGCCACACACTTCGGACAGGGTATTTTGAGCTTCGTAGATAAGGCCAGCACGGAATGCGCACAGACCGATTTGAACCAGGGTCCGGTTGAAAAGAATCTGGGTGTTGACATCGAAGTTGGAGATGTTCTCGGTAAGATGAGACATGAGCATCAGGTCACGAGAACGGTAATATTGGTCGTGCAAGGCAAGGAAATAGATCTGGCACAGCATGGCACGGGCCCTGATGATACCGTCACTGTACGTGAAGAGATAGTTGCACAGGGTCTGGACCAGTCCTGTTACGTCACCCGCGTTTCCACGAGGAGTGACCTTGGAGTCCAACTCGGAGGGAAGTGCCTTCCAAGTACCCTCTTCCAGGATGTTAACGACCTGAGAAGGCTTGAAGTAGATGTGCTCCAGCCTGCGCATGACAACCCGGTTGAGGCTGTCCTGACGTGGATCGCTCTTCTCAGCTTGGGTAAGGCCTTCCACGTAGGCTTGAACGCGGACAAGGTTGGTATACAGCTGCTTCTCATCGCTCAGACGATCGATGTATTCAGCAGTGTGGGGATCAATGTGTTGCAAGGACCGAGTCAGCTCGTCGTCGAGCCTCTCGACGTGAGACACAATGCTGCCTGGGACGTGCAGGGTCTCTCCTGGCTTAATCTGGGGTTGCTTCTCATCATCTTCCCACTCCTCAGCTCCTTCAGTGACAACATGGTCGCGGTTTGTCTCGAGGACAGAGAGCAGAGCGCCAAGCTCCTTCTCAGCAAGCTTCCATTGGTCGACACTCATGTAGTTGGCGGAAGACGTAGAGCTAATGTCGAAGCGGGTAGAGAGAAGAGTGAGGTAAACACGAATGCGCTGGTAGGGAGTCTGAGCAACCTCCAGGAGCTTCTCCATGGTCTTGATCTGCTCGAGGCGGTCTGTGTTCTTCTTTCCTCTGGATTCGACAATGACGCGGAGGTGCTTAAGGATGCTCTCTGGGGTGTACTGCAGGGTTTTGCCACCACGGCCAACAGTAGCGAAACCATCATCAGTGGAGGTTGCTGCTGCAGGTGCCTCAACAACACGCTCAACCTTGGTTAAGCGCGGGGCAACGACAACAGGCTTAGCCTCCTCTTCCTTGCCCTCCATGTAGCCATCCTTATCATTGCGATACTTATCGATATGAGTGGCGTACTCCTTGTTGTTCTTCTTGATACGTTGCTTGACCGCGTTGAAACCCCTGGAGTTGCTTGCGTTCATCGCCTTCTTCGATGCCTTCTGCTTCGTGATAGTCTCGTTCACGAAATCCTCGAGATCGGCAACGGCTTTGACATAAATCCTGGGAACTGGACCCGATTGCGTGACCTTCACGACCTGGCGGTTAAGCTTATCGAACTCTGGAACCTTCGAGTCAGTATGCATGCACAAGGTTATCCCTACAGGGCCAAATTTTTCGGCCTATATTCAACGCACCTGACGAGATAACTGCCCAGTCATTAATCTTCTCGGCATTCTCGATCAACTTGATGATGCCCTCAAGTTCCTCCAGCCTCTTATCCTTGGCACTCTTCACAACCGTTACTTTCTCCTCATCCTCGCTCTCCTCGCTCTCCGATGCGTCCCTCAAGAAACGACTGGCACCGGTTTCACCACCCTCATCATCGGAGGATTCCTCCTCCGAAGTCTCCTCCTCCTCCTCGCTGGATTCCTCCTCAGACTTCTCCTCCTCCTCGCGATCGGAGAGAAGCTCCTCCTCATCCGAGCTGGAATCGCTGTCGCTACCGCTACCGTAGAAGAAACGCGACATATTGGCGGATTTTCAGGTAATTCGGACCGGAAAGCGTCGCGGGGTTCAAAAAATGGCCGTCTCCTTAAGTGGTGAGACGCACGGTCGTGGGATGGTTCGAAGGACGATTCCCTTAAAGCCCGTCGGTTCGCTCTCAGAAAATCAAGTTGTGAGGGTTGGAGCCGCAGAGTCAGACCGCGCGAGCCACAACGAAATTTAAGCGAGGTGGCGCCTAACCGTATCGGGTAATCATCCATCGTACTACGGATCGCGCCTCCGCGACTAAACGTCCGAACAATGCGGAGAGGATTTATTCATATCTAATAAATGGGCTTATATAATAGATCTACATAATCAGATACTCTCTGCTTCAACCTACATCCCACCAAGGGAGTAGGAGAGAGGAGCAGAGACCCTTTTTTCGCGCAAAAGCCGACGGTGGTTCGATAATGATGAAATCCAAATATCCAAGCTTAATGATGCTTCTCTTAAACGGGTTCGAATAAAAGGTAGAAAAAGGGAAACAGATTTATAATGGGAAATGGTGTACCATTTCCGGACACAGAAAGAAAAAAAGAATAAAAAGAAAAAGGGCAAAAAGTAAACATTCAACATGATAATGCGGTAACAAAGAGCATAAATCGCGGTCTTTCCAAGTACTCCTGGCTATGCCGACAACAGCCACATGCACAAATCTGGAAGAACTTGATTGGGAAGACAGTACACCGACGGCGAGTACCAGAGTACTCGAAAGGCGATTGTGAACAAGGACCCCCCGAAGGGTCGGGGGCGTCGTCGGTGAATAGCGCCCGTGAAGTGTTGCGCACTCGGCACCATAGCGGGGTACTGACTTTACATTATATTCCCTCCTAGCCAAAGCTCGAATCTATACCGTGTTGGTCCGCAGACCGTGCCGACCAAGTGCACAACCGGACGGAACAGGATGCGCATTGGAACACTTTTTTTTTTTAGTCGTGGCCGGGGCATGTTGGACGGCAAAGGCTAGTAGCAGAGGGGCTGGAAGGGAAGCGCATAAGGGTCCAAATGTCAAGCAATGCAGAACAATAATTTGGAGCAGCTCTGCGGTCATGCCTAGCGAGCATATGCATCTGGAGTTATGCTTGCCCGGTCAAAAGTGCACTCACTAATACAAGATGTTAATGCACCCACGGGTGCCACTCAAACTGGTTTCAGCACATTTGTGCTTAGTGCCACTGGTTCTGACCCATGAAGCCATCACCCCCTAGTACGCCGTCTTCAAGGGTCCTAATAAAGTCCCGGTTACGTGTGCCACCTGCACGACTCCCTCGTCGTCGTTGATTCGCAGCACCGGTGTCAATATATCCGTCAGGAGGGGGAGGGTAATATGCCGGACTAGGTTGTAATCGAATGGGTGCGTTCGGGTCGAGATGACTGGCAACTCGCTGAATAGTGGGTGGGACCCCGCCACCCTGAGGGTCCATCGTGGAGGCACGTTGCCGACCCGCTCTTGTAGTTGCCTGTGCATAAAGACTTTGGGATGGTGCGTATTGTGATTGAGGCATCTGACCTGGCATAAGGTTCATCTGATGACCGTAGCCAGGTGGCTGCTGGGTAGGGTATGGCGGAGGAGCGCCTTGTTGGTGGCCAGTGAACACCCCATTGTACATGGGAGGTGGGGGCTGAGCATGGGCGGGTGTGTGGAATTGGTTTAGTTGCATCGAGTAGGCAGTCTGTGCAGCCGACTGAGCGTGTGCTGCCTGTGCCGCTCTCTGTTTGCTTGCGGCCTCGGCCTGCTGCTGCTGCTGAATACCAGGAGCAACAGTCTTGTTAAGAGAGGAATATTTCAGGTTCATGGGAGGTACAAAAGGTCCTGTAAACTTCTGCTGCGTAATGAAAGGATGCAGCTTGGCTTGTTGTGGAGACCAGCGTTCCAGCGGATTGATTGATAACAAGCCACGAACAAAATCGATAAAGGCCACTCGGTTATTTAGCTCTGGTGCAATCTGTTAGCAAAGAGACAGGTACTATCTTTGTTGGAGACAAACCTCGC